ACTTATCTGCATGCTGAACAAAACTGCTCATAATAGTCACATTTACGTCAGACGTTCAGTTATTTAAGGGTGCAAGATGGTAGGACTGCTTTAATATATTGATTGTGAATCTTTCCCATAGAGACATGAATTATTTTAACAAGGTTTATTTCTTTGAAGTCAAAAAGTAGAATACAATTAAAACTGACTTAATACATTGTTTCACGGTTATTTGGATCTAAAAGGACATTTCCTGTTGCATTTGAGAATTGTTTCACAGCCACAGTAAACTGAGCAGTGGGGATGACGTCAAGGGCTGCTGTGCCGTTTCCATCCAGCGCTGGTGCCTTTGACTTCACGTCGCCCTCAGGTGAAGACTTTTCTAGAAAGGAGTTTTTACCAGCATTGCCATCTGTAAGAAGTCTGTTGCAGCAACAATGCCATTTATTTAATAGGACTTTGCATATTTACCTTCTAGATCAGATCCACTTCTGACATCTTCAGTCTGAGCAGTTCCCTCGTCTAATGTAGAATGTGAACCAGGACCCTTTCCATCTAGGACAGAAGTATAGTGTCCCTCACACCTTTCTTTGCAATGCAAAAAATGCTTGAACGCCACAGGACCTCAAGTAAAACCCATCCTCGGATGATGGATTAGCTGATTTGTAAGTCAACTCACCAACTTTTATGACACTTCTCCACTGGCTTCCATACCGCGAAGGTCGTGTGACTTCACGTACAGCAGGAAGCTCCTCTGCAGGTATTTGCTGGTTGGCAGGTAAAATTATCATTGGACCCACTCTTGCATCCTGTCCCCACACTGAAAACAAGGATCCAAACCATGTGTAAAGGCTGAGGAGACCACACAATTAGGCAGCTGAAGGAATCATGAAGATGCTGAGAAACCTAACCCGCATTGGTCCTCCTGCTCCAGGACAGACCAGGTTCTTCTGGCGTTGCAAAGCCACGAGGACCAAACTTGCCAGGACTGCTGGGCTGATTGTGACTTTGACAAGCCCCACATAAATAGTCATTACCATCAGCTGACCTCCATCTGAGAAGCAAACATTCAGGCCTCCTCATTTACTCTTAATGCGTGTTAAAGAGTAATTTTGGACTGGAGCTCACTTACCTGTCGTTTACAAAAGAGCACGCTTTATTTGGTGCGTCTGCACCATTCTTTGCTACAGCAGTCAGGTGACATGTGATGTAGAGCTGTTAGAGGGGACAAGAGTGTAAATACCTACAGGTGTAGTAATTACTTAACCCACCTCAAGTAGAGCCTCACCTGTCCCTGGTCCTCATTATAAAACTTGAAAGCATCAATTGTCAAGTGGAGCTTGTCATCCTCGATCCTGGAAAAGAAGTGGGACCTAGAACCTGGAAGCTCAGAGTCAACCAAGCACCTGTGTAGGATAATAGAATGAGAGGAGAGCTGGTAGTGAACAATCATCCAAGCAATGCCAGAATGAAGTTTGGTTGAACCAAGTCCAGAACCACCCTACCCCTAAATAAAAATTAAAAAAAACTTCCTCTGCAGCCATAAAACACAATGTAGCATTACTTAAGAACTGTGTACAAACTAATATGTAAACACAGGTTTTCTAGGTTCCCGTTTGAGTCACCATAAAGTGCTTACCCATTTTCAATAAAGACGTATCTGGGATCAGAGTTTGTTTCGGGTTCCAGTGTCGCCACACAGCTGCTGACAAACACTCGGAGCGCCATGTGATGTCCAACTCTGACTGAGGCTTCGATGGCGATGGGCTCACCGATGTAAAACACATTAGAGCTTCTTTCATGGAGCCAGTCATCTGAAAAGAAATTACAAATCAATAAAGGTTCAAATAAGTCAACAAGTGAGCAATGAACCAAACCTACTTGTCATAATTCTCAAGTCAAACTGCAAAGTTTCCACAGCAGTTTGGGTCGACGTGAAGGGGATCCAGGTGGGAGAGAGTGAGGAGCTGGACAAACTGTACTTCCTGAGAGGCAGAACAAGTATCGTTTTAACTTTAGTGAGACAGTGTCTCAAGAGATGAGCTCTGGAAGACAGACCTTTCATAATGACACTCGATTGGAATTACAGCCTCGTCCATGCGAACAACCCCGTCTGGAGACGCCACAGGAGAGTAGATGAGCAGGTTTGTGTAGGCCAGAGTGTCTTCAGTCATCTGGATAGACAGGGGGTTAAAAACTGTCGCAGGATGTCAAATAAACAAACAATTATAACTAAATTAATTACCCATCGTTTAGTGCCGCAGTTCACGAGTGAAACGTGTATCCTGAACTCATCTTCTGAAGACATTCTAGCGAAACAGTAATCATCGTACTCCACTCCAAGGCGCAATTCATCACTACGAACAGGAAATCCAACTCCAAACAGGTCAGCTTTGATGATTATCTCCAACGAGTCTGGATAGCAGGTCACTGAGACGGTGTTCACCTGCTCTCGTTTCTCGGCCGGAGCCTTTTGCTGGGGAGCGAGTTGGGAGCTCCCTGTGGCCAGAGGTCCTTTAAATGAAGCACGTCGTGTGTAATCTTTGGGAGGAAAAGCCAAAGACGATCTGAAGAAGAGAACAACCAGGAGGTTGAGCCAAAAACACGAGGTCTTCATGTCACAAAAATACCTGGTGAACTAGCGCAGACTACAAACTGTGTTCCTGTCAGACCCACTAGGTAGCACACAAGTCTCAACAGTGAGGCATGTTTTACTTTATATCACACAAGCAGTCTAATCAGACCAGCAATGCACACCTGAGATAGATCAGCACGTGATTGGTTTCACACCCGCTGGGAATCAAGGGAAAGGGAAGTGTGTGTGTGGGGGGGGAATTCCACCAGAAATGAATATGTTAAAACATTTAAGACAAAAGTTTGTATCATTGCTTGCTTTTTTGGAATTTCCGAAAAGTACTACAGTTCACTACAGTGCAGAAAATTGCATTTCAAATATTAAGAATAAAAATAAACTTGATTGAACTTCTTTACTAAAATAAATGACATTTGAAACTAGTAATCAATGACCATGCAAAGATTTGTGATTTCCATCACAAATATAGGTTGGATTTTTAAAAGGAATGACAATAATTATAAGTCATTCAAGGCATTGAAGATTAGCTGCACAGACCGTATGTATGTAACTACTATACTATACTATAATTACACATCAAAGCTGAAGAAAATGAAATGTGGTGTTCCCCAAGGTTCAATAGTGGGACCCCTTCTTTTCCTCATATACATGCTTCCATTAGCTCTGATTATGGAAAAGAACAGTGCGTGATCATAGTTATGCAGATGACACACAAATCTAAAAAATGTTATACAAATTAAATTGCCTTGCCTTGAACCCTGAAGGAGCTACAGACGTCCCCGATCAAATGGTAGATTGCGACAACAATGTAGAAATATATGGCGAAGAACTGATGGCATTTTATTCATCTGTGATTTAAACCCAGGCTCTTTCCTCATTATATTACATTACATTTAATTTAGCTGACGCTTTTATCCAAAGCCACTTACAATAAGTGCATTCAACGATAGGGATACAAACTCAGAAGAACAAGAAATAAGAAAGAGCAATTTCCTCAAATAAGCCGATTTACAATTTGTTATAGACAAGTGGCGTTACAAGTACAATTTAAGTGCTACAATTTGTTAGTCTTTAGTCAAGGTAGAGTCTGAAGAGGTGTGTCTTTAATTTTCAGCGGAAGATGTGAAGTCGACCGGCGGGAGATGACAAGAGCCTGAATCAGTACCTGCGCTAAGAAGGAGACATTCTCCTGATGATGTAGAGCGTGTCGCTACAGGATCCTGTTGTTGCAGTGATGTTGAGAGTCAGGGAAAGTTGGCTGTCGAATGTGACGCCGAGATTCCTAGCAGTCAAAGCGGGCGTTATCACAGAGTTGCCAAAGTTGACAGTCAAGTCCTGGGTCGTAGAATCTTTTCCCGGAAAGAGAAGTAGTTCAGTCTTGTCAGGGTCGATTTTCCGATGGTGAGCGGACATCCACTGAGAGATGTCAGTCAGACACGCAGAGATCCGTGCCGCCATCTGGGTGTCCGAGTGAGGGAAGGACAGAATTAGTTGGGTGTCATCGGCATAGCTGTGGTAGGAGAAACCTGAGATAAGAGGTAATTTCAAATATTTTACTAAATTTTGGATGAATAAATTAGTAAATATAGATTCTTATTTAATTTTTATATAATTTATTATTGATTAGATCGTAGAGGCTGAATTGACATGTGCCGTCTTCTTGTTTACCTTCGTGCTTCCACTAGTTATCCCGTGTCACATTGCAATGAGTTGTGGGTAATTGGGAAAAAGAGCAGCCGAATTTCCTCAAAAGAATCCCCCCGCGACTTTTGTCTTGAGTCTCAGACGGTGTGAAACAAATTACACAGTGATTAGTGGATGATTAGTCTCAGGTGTGCATTGCTGTCTGTTAGACTGCTTGTGTGAATATAAAGTAAAACATGCTTCACTGTTGAGACTTGTGTGCTGCCCAGTGGGTCTGACAGGAACACAGTTTGTAGTCTGCGCTAGTTCGCCAGGTTTTTTGTGTGACATGAAGACCTCGTGTTTTTGGCTCAACCTCCTGGTTGTTCTCTTCTTCAGATCGTCTTTGGCTTTTCCTCCCAAAGATTACACACTACATGCTTCATTTAAAGGACCTCTGGCCACAGGGAGCTCCCAACTCACTCCCCAGCAAAAGGCTCCGGCCGAGGAACGAGAGCAGGTGAACACTGTCTCAGTGACCTGCCATCCAGACTCGTTGGAGATAATCATCAAAGCTGACCTGTTTGGAGTTGGATTTCCTGTTCATTGTGATGAATTACACCTTGGAGTGGAGTACGATGAGTACTGTTTCGCTAGAATGTCTTCAGAAGATGAGTTCAGAATACATGTTTCATTCGTCGACTGCGGCACTAAACGATGGGTAATGATTGTTTTTGTTTTCATGGTTTCATTTATTTGACATGTTTTACGTGGGGTTTTTTTTTTTAACACTTTCTATCCACAGATGACTGAAGACACTCTGGCCTACACAAACCTGCTCATCTACTCTCCTGTGGCGTCTCCAGACGGGGTTGTTCGCATGGACGGGGCTGTAATTCCAATCGAGTGTCATTATGAAAGGTCTGTCTTCCAGAGCTCTTCTCTTGAGACAGTCTCACTAAAGTTAAAACGATACTTGTTCTCCCTCTCAGGAAGTACAGTTTGTCCAGCTCTTCACTCTCTCCCACCTGGATCCCCTTCACGTCAACCCAAACTGCTGTGGGAACTTTGCAGTTTGACTTGAGAATTATGACAAGTAGGTTTGGTTCATTGCTCACTTGTTGACTTATTTGAGCCTCTATTGATTTGTAATTTCTTTGCAGATGACTGGCTCCATGAAAGAAGCTCTAATGTGTTTTACATCGGTGAGCCCATCGCCATCGAAGCCTCAGTCAGAGTTGGACATCACATGGCGCTGCAAGTGTTTGTGAGCAGCTGTGTGGCGACTCTTGAACCTGAAATAAACTCTGATCCCAGATACGTCTTTATTGATAATGGGTAAGCACTTTATGGTGAATCAAACGGTAACCTAGAAAACCTTTACGCATTTGTTTGCAGACCTTATTGTGAAGTCTGAAGAAATTAAAAGAGAGAAATTAATAAGTTATGTTTGCGTCAGAATGAAGACCACAAACTATAACTTGAGTCCAGGTTAGCTAGAGCGGTTTGACTTTTCAAAGCTTTTCTTAATTCAGTTTGGTTCTAGTCTTTGTTCAAGCATGCATCTTTATTTTGGCATGGCTTTGATTGTTCACTACCAGCTCTCCTCTCATTCTATTCCCCTTCACAGGTGCTTGGTTGACTCTGAGCTTCCAGGCTCTAGGTCCCACTTCTTTTCCAGGATCGAGGATGACAAGCTCCACTTGACAATTGATGCTTTCAAGTTTTATAATGAGGACCAGGGACAGGTGAGGCTCTACTTGAGGTGGCTTAAGTAATTGCTACACCTGTAGGTATTTACACTCTAGTCCCCTTTAACAGCTCTACATCACATGTCACCTGACTGCTGTAGCAAAGAATGGTGCCGACGCACCAAATAAAGCGTGCTCTTTTGTAAACGACAGGCAAGTGAGCTCCAGTCCAAAATTACTCTATAACACGCATTGAGAGTAAATGAGGCCTGAATGTTTGCTTCTCAGATGGAGGTCAGCTGATGGTAATGACAATTTATGTGAGGCTTGTCAAAGTCACAATCAGCCCAGCAGTCCTGGCAAGTTTGGTCCTCGTGGGTTTGCACTGCCAGAACAACCTGATCTGTCCTGGAGCAAGAGGACCAATGCAGGTTGGGTTTCTCAGCAGTCTTCATGATGCCTTTCAGTCGCCTAAATGTATTGAGCCTACACCTGGTTTTGGACTTGTGATCCTTGTTTTCAGTGTGGGGGCAGGATGCAAGAGTGGGCCCAATGATGATCTTACCTGCCAACCAGCAAAGTGAGCAAATACCTGCAGAGGAGCTTCCTGCTGTTCGTGAAGTCACTGGACCTTCATGGTATGGAAGCCAGTGGAGAAGTGTCATAAAAGACGAAGTTGGTGAGTTGGAATCTCCACTAGGATCATTTGCCTTAATTTCTGATGACGTGCTTTGCAAAGAAAGCTGAGTCAAACTTTTATCGTAGATGAAAAGGGTCTTCGGTCACCATCCAGACGAGGTGACGGTTTCCCTTTTGATGACCAGCAGACCGCAGTCAAGTGGAACTGATCTAGAAGGTAAATGCGCAAAGGCCTGTTCTTTTAAAATGGCATTATTGAAACTGATTTCTTACAGATGTCGATGCTGTAAGAACTCTCCCCTTCTGGAAAAGTCTTGGACTACATGACGTCATAGCCGGCAGCCCTGAATGAAAACCAGACAGCAGCCTGACTGATCAGTTTACTCTTGTGCAACACATTTAAAATGCAATAGGAACTGTCCCTTCAGATCCAAATGTCTGTGAAATTTAAACTAGTTTTAATTTTATTTGACTGTCTGCAACACACAAAGGAAATAAACTTTATTAAAAACCTCTCCTTTGCCCTCCTGTAGGAATTTTTTCTACAAGTGCATATATTTAGAAAAAAACAATTGTCAGGTTTTTAAATCCCTCCAACCATCTCTTGTGATACATTCCGTTCAGGGTTTGACTCACAACATGGGTTATCACTCATTAAACACATGCAATGCCCCCCCCCCCCAGCTCAGGTATATGCTGAAAGATTACTATCTGTAATGCTTAAGATTCTATTCACAAATCCCCACATTTTCTTTGAGTACTTTTAAAACTCCAGGAACACTGGGTATTTCAACTAACCCTCTAATATTAATGTAATCCATTGATGGCTTTGTTCATAGAACCGAATTTCATTCTAGAGTTATTGACTCACTGAATGCTTCATATTGCAGGCGTTACACCACTACCTACATAGGGGACTGGCTAGAACAAAGGCTGCTTGTGGACAAGATCATTTTCAGAAACTTTTCTGCAAGCTTCCAACTCAATTTACAATCCTTCGCAGACGCCACCATTCTGTTTTTCTTTGCATAAGGTTGGTTTCGTCTTGAAGCTTTGGATAACTTTCACTACAACATTTTATGTATTGACCAGAACTGATTCTGGGCTATTTGGCGCTTTATAGATTCTATTTTCAGATTCATGGCGTTCAATCATGTGTTTTCTGTCCACATGAGTTTTTCGGTGGCTAAATTAAATTTGATTCTAAATACAGATTCTGTTGAAAGGGCCCCCGGAAAATGCCACTTGGCACCAGTGTATTTTTGCCATCTGAAATGAAACTAATGTGGGCTACCTTGAATGACATGGTCTCAACTAGTTTGTAAACTGTCAGCATGTTTCACAGTTCCTTTCACATTTTACTGTTCTTACCTCTAATCTTCTGGACAGAGCTAAGCTGTTTAAAATCAAATTATCAGTTTCTACCTATGCAATTTTGTTCAAAGATCTGCTCATTGTATGGTACCTGGAGTACTGATGACTTTCAGCCATCCTGAGCAAATCAAAGAAATCTTAAATCAAATAGAGAACTCTCCCAACAGACTGCAACCGGCTAGCTTCAAGTGTTCCTACAAGGGGTCTTAAGTTTAAAAAAATGCCTTTTCAAATGTCATCACATCCATTTTTCAAATATATTCAGGTTAGAAGTAGGCTGCATCCTCACACGAAGCACATCCCAGGAAACAATCGGTGGTTCACTGAGAGTTCGGGGTCTACGTGGAAGAACATGTGATTGGGTCTGGATTGTTTCAAAAGGCCAAATTAGTTGTCACTAATTGTGAATTTCAGAGCTCTAAAAAATACTCTAACTTGTATCAAATGACAAAAGGTAAAATCTTTAAACCACAGATCTTTTGGGGGGGACGGGAGACTCATATTTTACTTTATTCTTGTTGCACCAAGGCAAATCCCTCCTTTCCTTATGTGTGGCAATGGCTTGGAAGTTGGATCCCAGGCAGAAACGCAACGGGGCAGGCAACCCGAGCTGAAGGGGGCCCCGAGGGACGGCTAACGTCAATGACAAAATGATGGAACTGCTTTAGACGCTGCAGCGACAACCCATCGGAAATACCCCGCGCAGGGCCTCCTTTGTCACTGGCTAGTTGCTAGTAGAGTCCCCCGGGCAGAGGGCTGATATCGCTCCATATCAGCGACACAACTTGAAATCCCCGTAGACACTGCAATGACACGTCGGGAATCTCCCTAATGGGGCCCCCTTACTAGCCGGCATCGACGTGCGGTCCCAGTCAAGCACACAGATGAACAAATGAGGCGTACATCTCTCTGGGCTTGTACCAGGTTAACCGTGTGAGCAAGCTGCTGCAAAATCCAGATGTTTCTCTGGAAACTCTTAGAACAGAAACGCTGAGTGAGGCAGTAGCTGGAAAACTTCAGGGACAGTGGTCTTGCTTCAGGTCAATCTGATGCAGTAGAAAGTGCAGAAGAACTGGAAATTGAAATGGAGCTTCCAGAGGGAAGGCAGCAAAAAGATTTCAGCCTGAGGGAGCAGCAGAAACCCAGTCTAGAAGAGTTCTCCCCCTTTAGTAGACACAGCCCTTAGAAGCCTGAATGATAGATTCTCAAAACTGGGAGATGTCTATGCTCTCTACAGTCTCGTTTTCAAAGAAAAGCGTGCAACAGGTGCCAAGAGTGGCAAGCTTCGTGCAAGTTACAAGAACTCTGAGCAAACCATGCATGACATTGAGGCAGATGATTTAGAATTGGAGATAAATTCTGCAGTCTACTGCACCACGCCTCCACCTGCCCAAATGACATGTTAAATTACATTTACAGTGAACACCTTAAATCTGTACAGTAAGCTAAGCATTGCGTCTCCTCTTGCCTCTGGTGAGAACCTTTTCTGCTTTGCAGTTGATTGAAACCTATGAGGTCAACCATGTGCCAGGAGAGGCTCACAGGACTTTCACTGATTTCAATAGAAAGATGTTCAGAGGTCCTTAGATATGGGAGACATAGTGGCTGCAGTTGCAGAAGCCAAGGCCCACCAGCAGCAGTTCAGTAAAAAAGGCACTACTATTGGACTGGATATATGACCACTGTGTCACAGCAAGTCTTAAGTTTTTCCTTTCCACATAATTTCCTTGTTTTTTGCATTTTTATTCTGCAAATTTGGCACATTTGTTTGTTTTGCTGATATACATTGTGTGTAAAGTTTGCATTCAGATAGTTATGCAATTTGTATGTTAATTGTTTAACGAAAGATTTCTTAAATGAAGTCCAGGACTACGGATCAGTAATCATGATTCTGGGGGCCCTCAGGGGGTCTAGAAACACCCCTGGTCCCAGGTTAAAGGATTTTTTAGCACTCAACACCTTTTATGAAATTCTAAATACCACCCCTCTTAATACACTATGCTAGTAACAAAGTTGTCAAAAACAAGAACTGAAGATTGAAGTTCAATTTTAATGAAAGAAAAAAATGACAATTAAAACATTGTGGACATTTCTTTCCCTGAAACGGTTTAGTCATTTCCTGGGGAAAATCATCAAAGGGCCAATTGTGACAGTTCCAGAAGCCATGACATCTGAAAATAAAATTTAGGGCATTTTGTTGAGACTTTAGCAAAGAAATTCCACAGGTTCACACTTATGAAAAGCTAGAATCTATAACATACCTCTGTGATTCGTGGAATAATCCAGAGAGCTCTGGGAACAGATACTGCCACAACAATGACACACGTCACTGCCGTCAATATTTATCCATCTGAATGAAAAATATTCACATTGCATAAAACCTTTACATTACTGTGCAGCAGACAGTTTGTTGAACTACTTAAAATCCGATCTGTAGGGGGTATAAATGGTTAATGGACTGTACTACTTGGTGCTTTTCTAGTCTTCTGACCACTCAAAGCAGTTAGAACAGTTAATGTCATCATTCACCCACTGATTGTATGGTAGCTCCCTTAATCAGTCCCAGCTACAGGACCCATGTTGGGGTCAAGTGTCTTAGCCAAGGACACAGGTTAGAAGGGCCTGGGATAGAAACACCAATCCTCCAATTTGAGGACGACACGGTACTCTGCACCCACCAGCAGTCGCCCCAAATTCTACCAATTTGTTGTGCAGGTTGCCGATGCAATGTAGTTTGTATTTAAAACTATTGTTGAGGGTAGGCACCGACTCAGGTTGTAGGTTAAGGTCATTTATACAAGAATCCAAATTAGAAAACAAGTTCCAATATCATTTGGCCAGCTAAGTAAAAACTATATTCAGTTATGGGGCTACAATACACAAAAGGAAAATCACCTTGGATGTACAAAGTTGCAGGCCTTGTTGATGGAGCTGCTCATCTGCATTACAGAAGTTACCTTCAACTGGCAAGTGATGAATATCTTTAAAGAACAAGAGATCAATATCACCCAACAACCTCGGAGCATTTCCAAACACGTTTGAATCACCACATTTATAAAAGTGGCTCACTGAGTTTCTTGAATCATCGTGGAAAAGGAAAGTATTGAGCTGCAGTTGCAGTGAAGAAGCCCTCCTTCTGGGTAAGAATCGTGCGTTTGATTCTTCCTCTGTTGCATCAACGAGGCACCTGACAAAAAACAACGTCTTGATCAGTCTTCCAGGTTTCACACCGTGAGGCCTACAGAGCCACTCACCCATGGTTTTCAACGATGTAGTAGCTGGGATCCGACGTGGCGTCACGTGACAAAGTGGCGACGCAGCTGTCGATGAAGAGCCGTCTCTGTCCGGAGTCAGGACCAGTGTAAGACGCCTCCAGGTGCAGGAGATCTCCGATGTACAAAGCCTCGGGGAGCACCTCACCCGTCCAGTCGCCTGCAGGTAGACGGAGGTCGCTGCATGCACACTCGGCAAAAACAAACAGGTTGCATTCACTTACCGGTCATCAGCTTGAGAGAGAACGCAGCAGGGGAAAGCTTTTCAAGAAGGGAGGGGGGCAGCTGCTGCTGCTGATGATCAGTGCTGCTCGCAAGGTGTGTCCTGTGAAAGAAAAGCAAACGTCTGACCTCATCACGTCACAGAGCAGCTTCTCTGCAGAACATTGATGCAAATCTCACCTCTTATAGTGACAAGACACGGGAACGACGGCACGCGCCCTTCTGGTAATGCCATGGGAACCGGCAGCTGCTGAGATTATCAGCTCGTTGGAGTAAATCACAGAGTCATTAGAGACCTAGACACAAAGAAATCATGGAACTTACTGCAAAAGGTGCAGACTTTTACCACCGACATGTCCAGCAGTCACCAACGACTTACGGTTAATTTGGAGCCACAGTCTTGCAGTTCTGCTTCAATGATATATTCAGAGTCACCAGCAGCAACAGCTCGGCACTGAGTACTCTGTGAATGCTCCGACTCTCCTAAAGAAAGCTCTTCTGCAGACACAAGGAATCCATTTTTGTAGATATCAGCCTTCACCACAATGATCATGGAGGCAGCTGTGCATTGCACACGGACAGTGGGTCCATCGTTGCGTTGTGGCGACCTGGGGTATCCTGCATCAGTTGGGAAATTGGCAGATTTATATTCTCTTCCCTCAGCGTCTATCATAGGTCCATCTTTCAAAGTTCTGATGGCATCCGCCACGCCAAAGGAAAAAGCTATCAGCAGCACCAGAGAGGCTGAGTGAACCACGATCACCATTGTGCTGGTTCTCATTACGCCACAAAGCCTCCTGCTCGACTTAATCAGTGCAGCAAGTGGGTCGATGGTTAAACAGAAGCAGTGGTGTGTTTTAAAAAAGGCTGCAGAAGGTTCAAATGCTCAGCCTCAAATACTTTCCATCTCAAACCAATCAAATCACATGGAGACAACAGCTGAAGCCAATTACTCATTAACTGAAGTGGGAGTTGAAGCTGCAGTCACACTGAGATACAAGCCTGTGATTGGCCCACAATGAGCCAGTGATGCAGCAGAGCCAGTAGCTGTTAATTGACTTTCCAGCAACTGTCTGGTGCTGCTTGTGTAGGCTTTACAGAATGATCCAATACCTCTATAAGAGCTAAAGTATACTAATGTACTTCAGCTTTATGTTTCACAGTCAATGATCACATGTGCAAAAACTAATACAGTTCACAAAACATTAATATAAATACATTAACCAATTTGTGTTTTGTAATGTTTTTGTCAACGCTCATTTCTGGGAGCTTTTGAAAGTTTCATTGGTAAACGCAAAAATATCGGTCTTCAGAGTGAGCGCAATGTGGCCATCTTTACTGCAGGACAGGAATCTCCAATAATCCTTCGAGATGGAAACGGTACGGTCTACCCCATGGCTAAAGATTGCATGGGTGGAATTAGAGATCCTGATTAAAGGAGGCAGGTCCAACCAAACAGCCTGGGAATGGGAGTGCACGTTCTGGCCAACCTTCTCAAACGACAATTAAAAGAAAGCCGCGATTATGGCCAAGAAACCGACTGATTACAGCAGTAATCATTCACAATACATTTAATACCACCTAAAAAAGTGCAATTATTTTGTATACTATAGACCTACAGGATTAAATACCCAGACTATACAAACCTTTACGGTTCAGCACTGAACCACATTAGTGTTTTAAGCCTCAGAGTTTCTCACTACACAAACTGCTTTCATATGATGCAGGTGTCCAAGTGGTTTGAGTAGATGGTGCATTCAGAGTGGTTAATATACTCTATGCATGCAGAACCAAACTGGTCAGAGTACAACGTTTGAAATTCACACATGTCAGACGTTCAGCTATGAGGATGCAAGATGCAAGACTGAGGTCCAAAATGTATACATGATCCATCTTACATAAATCACATTGTAAGACCGCGATAATTTGCCAACTGAAGTACAGCTTTAGTATATTGAATGAGTTGTGAGACACGCATAATTTTAACAAGGTTTATTTGTGTTGCAGGTAAAGAAACGATACAATTAAAAAAAACGATTTAAGAAATTTCCATGTGTTTTGGGATCTGAAAGGAAAATTCCCATTGCATGTGATTATTGAGTCACATCCACAGTAAACTGAGCAGTGGGGATGACGTTGAAGGCTGCTGTGCCGTTTCCATCCAGCGCCTTTGACTTCACGTCCTCAGGGGAAGACTTTTCTGGAAGGGCAGAGTTTTTACCAGCATTGCCATCTGTAAGAAGTCTGTTGCAATAACAATGGCCTTTGCATATTTACCTTCTAGATCAGATCCACTTCTGACATCTTTAGTCTGCGCTTCGTCAAAAGTCTGAACAGTCACCTCGTCTGATGTGGAATGTGAACCAGGACCCTTTCCATCTAGGACAGAAGTATAGTGTCACTCACAGCTTCCTTTGCAATGCAGGAAATGCTTGAACGCCACTGGACCTCAATTAAAACCCATTGTCGAATGATTGATCAGCCGATTTGTAAGTCAACTCACCAACTTTTATGACACTTCTCCACTGGCTTCCATACCGTGAAGGTCGTGTGACTTCATGTACAGCAGGAAGCTCCTCGGCAGGTAAAATTATCATTGGACCCACTCTTGCATCCTGTCCCCACACTGAAAACAAGGATCCAAACCATGTGTAAAGGCTGATGGCACAACACATTTAGGCGACTGAAGGCATCATTAAGACTGCTGAGAAACCCAACCTGTATTGGTCCTCTTGCTCCAGGACAGATCAGGTTCTTCTGGCAGTGCAAACCCGCGAGGACCAAACTTGCCAGGACTGCTGGGCTGATCGTGACTTTGACAAGCCCCACATAAATAGTCATTACCATCAGCTGACCTCCATCTGAGAAGCAAACATTCAGGCCTCCTCATTTACTCTCAATGCGTGTTATAGAGTAATTTTGGACTGGAGCTCACTTGCCTGTCGTTTACAAAAGAGCACGCTTTATTTGGTGCGTCTGCACCATTCTTTGCTACAGCAGTCAGGTGACATGTGATGTAGAGCTGTTAGAGGGGACAAGAGTAAATACCTACAGGTGTAGTAATTACTTAAGCCACCTCAAGTAGAGCCTCACCTGTCCCTGCTCCTCGTTATAAAACTTGAAAGCATCAATTGTCAAGTGGAGCTTGTCATCGTCGATCCTGGAAAAGAAGTGAGACCTAGAACCTGGAAGCTCAGAGTCAACCAAGCACCTGTGAATAGAATGAGAGGAGAGCTGGTAGTGAACAATCATCCAAGCAATGCCAAAATGAAGTTGGTTGAACAAAGACCAGAACCACCCTACCCCTAAAAAAAGAACCTAACCTAAACTAGTCATTTTTATTTTTTAGTCTTCAACGCCAACGCAAATATAAACTTCATTCAAGCTTTGTAAAGGGAGGGGGATAGAATGGGGAGGGCTGGAAGTGAACAATGATCAAATAGAGTTTGAGTCACCATAAAGTGCTTACCCATTTTCAATAAAGACGTATCTGGGATCAGAGTTCATTTCGGGTTCCAGCGTCGCCACACAGCTGCTGACAAACACTTGCAGCGCCATGTGATGTCCAACTCTGACTGAGGCTTCGATGGCGATGGGCTCACCGATGTAAAACACATTAGAGCTTCTTTCATGGAGCCAGTCATCTGCAAAGAAATTACAAATCAATAGAGGCTCAAATAAGTCAACAAGTGAGCAATGAACCAAACCTACTGGTCATAATTCTCAAGTCAAACTGCAAAGTTCCCACAGCAGTTTGGGTCGACGTGAAGGGGATCCAGGTGGGAGAGAGTGAAGAGCTGGACAAACTGTACTTCCTGAGGGGGAGAACAAGTATCGTTTTAACTTTAGTGAGACAGTGTCTCAAGAGATGAGCTCTGGAAGACAGACCTTTCATAATGACACTCGATTGGAATTACAGCCTCTTCCATGCGAACAACCCCGTCTGGAGACGCCACAGGAGAGTAGATGAGCAGGTTTGTGTAGGCCAGAGTGTCTTCAGTCATCTGTGGATAGACAGGGTGTTAAAAACTGTCACATGTCAAATAAACAAACAATTATAACAAAATTAATTACCCATCGTTTAGTGCCGCAGTTCACGAGTGAAGCATGTATCCTGAACTCATCTTCTGAAGACATTCTAGCGAAACAGTAATCATCGTACTCCACTCCAAGGCGCAATTCATCACCACGAACAGGAAATCCAACTCCAAACAGGTCAGCTTTGATGATTATCTCCAACGAGTCTGGATGGCAAGTCACTGAGACAGTGTTCACCTGCTCTCGTTCCTCGGCCGGAGCCTTTTGCTGGGGAGCGAGTTGGGAGCTCCCTGTGACCAGAGGTCCTTTAAATGAAGCATGTCGTGTGTAATCTTTGGGAGGAAAAGCCAAAGACGATCTGAAGCAGAGACCAACCAGGAGGTTGAGCCAAAAACACGAGGTCTTCATGTCACAAAAATACCTGGTGAACTAGCACAGACTACAAACTGTGTTCCTGTCAGACCCACTAGGCAGCACACAAGTCTCAACAGTGAGGCATGTTTTACTTTATATTCACACAAGCAGTCTAACAGACAGCAATTCACACCTGAGATAGATCAGCAAGTGATTGATTTCAGACCTGCTGGGAATCACATAACTTAAGTCATTAAGTCAAGTAATTACTACACATGTAGGTATTTACACTCTAGTCCCCTCTAACAGCTCTACATCACATGTCACCTGACTGCTGTTGCAAAGAATAATGCAGACGCACCAAATAAAGTGTGTTCTTTTGTAAAAGACAGGCAAGTGAGATCCAGTCCAAAATTACCCCATAACACGTATTGAGAGTAAATGAGGCGGCCTGAATGTTTTCTTCTCAGATGGAGGTCAGCTGATGGTAATGACTATTTATGTGGGAATTGTCACAATAAGCCCAGCAGTCCTGGTAAGTTTGGTCCTCGTGGGTTTGTGTTCGGGAGAAGACAAGATAATTTGTTTCAATGTTTATCTCATAAAAAAACGTCAATTTATTGCTTGCAAGCAGGAGGTCAAATACACAAGCACGTATTTCAGCTCTATGGAGATGGCGTCTCAGTCAAAGTACCGAGCATGTATACACACAAAAGAAGGTCACCTCCAGTGGCAGGCGGTCCGCTGCGCTGCCGAATCCTAACCACTAGACCTCATGGCAGATGGCAGAAATGAGACTTGCGAAGCAAGTGAGATATGAAACTAGGTCATGAACCTTGCAAAACAGGTGAGACAGTCCGGGTAAAGTTCAAGATGGGTAGCAGAGTGTTTGTGCGAGAGCATGTTGACTCGCCCTCCTTTCTTCGTACACAGCGGTAAATGGAAACTTTGGGTCATTCTGCAGTTCCAGAAGAACCTGATCTGTTCTGGAAAGGATGATCCATTATTAGAGATTTTTTTTTATTGAGGTCCTATGGCGATCAAGCATTTACTGCATCACAAAGAAAGCTAGGAGTGAAAGACTTATTCTTACTGCCATTTACCAATAAAGCTTTCTAAAGTTTGTAAAAAGGTCCCAGAAATGAGCGTTGAAAAAAAATGAAATTAATGTTTTGTGAACTGAATTTCAGTATTAGTTTTGGAACATCTGATCATTGAGTGTGAAATAAAAAGGCAAAGTACATTAGTATGATCCTTTATCTCTCATAGTGTCAACATATTGGACCACAATGGCTCTGCTGCATCACTGGCTCATTGTGGGCCAATCACAGGCTTGTATCTCAGTGTGACTGCAGCTTCAACTCCCACTTCAGTTAATGAGTAATTGGCTTCAGCTGTTGTCTCCATGTGATTTGATTGGTTTGAGATGGAAAGTATTTGAGGCTGAGCATTTGAACCTTCTGCAGCCTTTTTTAAAACACACCACTGCTTCTGTTTAACCATCGACCCACTTGCTGCACTGATTAAGTCGAGCAGGAGGCTTTGTGGCGTAATGAGAACCAGCACAATGGTGATCGTGGTTCACTCAGCCTCTCTGGTGCTGCTGATAGCTTTTTCCTTTGGCGTGGCGGATGCCATCAGAACTTTGAAAGATGGACCTATGATAGACGCTGAGGGAAGAGAATATAAATCTGCCAATTTCCCAACTGATGCAGGATACCCCAGGTCGCCACAACGCAACGATGGACCCACTGTCCGTGTGCAATGCACAGCTGCCTCCATGATCATTGTGGTGAAGGCTGATATCTACAAAAATGGATTCCTTGTGTCTGCAGAAGAGCTTTCTTTAGGAGAGTCGGAGCATTCACAGAGTACTCAGTGCCGAGCTGTTGCTGCTGGTGACTCTGAATATATCATTGAAGCAGAACTGCAAGACTGTGGCTCCAAATTAACCGTAAGTCGTTGGTGACTGCTGGACATGTCGGTGGTAAAAGTCTGCACCTTTTGCAGTAAGTTCCATGATTTCTTTGTGTCTAGGTCTCTAATGACTCTGTGATTTACTCCAACGAGCTGATAATCTCAGCAGCTGCCGGTTCCCATGGCATTACCAGAAGGGCGCGTGCCGTCGTTCCCGTGTCTTGTCACTATAAGAGGTGAGATTTGCATCAATGTTCTGCAGAGAAGCTGCTCTGTGACGTGATGAGGTCAGACGTTTGCTTTTCTTTCACAGGACACACCTTGCGAGCAGCACTGATCATCAGCAGCAGCAGCTGCCCCCCTCCCTTCTTGAAAAGCTTTCCCCTGCTGCGTTCTCTCTCAAGCTGATGACCGGTAAGTGAATGCAACCTGTTTGTTTTTGCCGAGTGTGCATGCAGCGACCTCCGTCTACCTGCAGGCGACTGGACGGGTGAGGTGCTCCCCGAGGCTTTGTACATCGGAGATCTCCTGCACCTGGAGGCGTCTTACACTGGTCCTGACTCCGGACAGAGACGGCTCTTCATCGACAGCTGCGTCGCCACTTTGTCACGTGACGCCACGTCGGATCCCAGCTACTACATCGTTGAAAACCATGGGTGAGTGGCTCTGTAGGCCTCACGGTGTGAAACCTGGAAGACTGATCAAGACGTTGTTTTTTGTCAGGTGCCTCGTTGATGCAACAGAGGAAGAATCAAACGCACGATTCTTACCCAGAAGGAGGGCTTCTTCACTGCAACTGCAGCTCAATACTTTCCTTTTCCACGATGATTCAAGAAACTCGGTGAGCCAATTTCATAAATGTGGTGATTCAAAGTGTTTGGAAATGCTCCGAGGTTGTTAGGTGATCTTGATCTCTTGTTCTTTAAAGATATTCATCACTTGCCAGTTGAAGGTAACTTCTGTAATGCAGATGAGCAGCTCAATCAACAAGGCCTGCAACTTTGTACATCCAAGGTGATTTTCCTTTTGTGTATTGTAGCCCCATAACTGAATATAGGTTTGCTGAAGTTTTTACTCCGTTGGCAAAATTATATTCATTTATATTATATGGTGTCCGATGACTTTTTTTTTTTTTTTTTTTTTTCTTCTTAAGCGAATTCTTTAGTCAATCTTAATCATAATCTACCACTCTGATATTGTATGTTTTATGAAATACATGTGACTATTTTCCCAGGTGGGTAAATGTGGATCGCAGTGACGTGTGTCAATGTTGTTCCAGTATCTGTTCTCCGGATTCCACAAATCTGAGAGGTCAGATCCCTGAAGGTATGTTAGATTCTAGATTTTCATAAATGGTGGAAACTTGTGTTTCTGTGCTAAAATCCCAACCAAATGCCCTGTTTTTTTTTTTTTTCTTCAAGTTTCAGATATCATTGCTTCAGGAACTGTAACACTTGGCCCTTTGATGGTTTTCCCCAGGAGGTAAAGAACCAAAAATAAGGGAACACTTTCATTTTCTTTGTATTGTCATTAAAATCCATTATAAAATCCAACCTCTTAATTGTGTGTTTTTGAAAACTAGTTTGGTGCGGTACTAGCAGTGTATTTTCAACGGTTGTATTTCAAAGGGTTTTACGGGAACATAATGGTTCAAAAAGTTTTTTTTTTTTTTTTTTTTTTATTTACTCGTGGTTTAATCATAAAAATTCCAATATCTCGTGCTGTTTTGCCCTTAAAATTGAGTTCATGCCATTTTAATATAAAGCAAATGGGAATTAACTTACCCATGTCCGCTATTCTTCAACCTCAGTTTTGTTTTGTTTTTTTTTCCCCCCACTCAAGCTGCATCTTTTAAGGGTTGGTCACTGCCCTTGCAAGCGTGAAGTTTAACTTTTTTTTTTTTTTTTTTTTTTTTTTTTACGTGAGCTATGAATTTCTGTGAACACTGGTCCGGTTTTGGGTCCTTTTTATAACGCAACTATAGGTGAAGTTAGAAATAACCTGGTAGCAAGGTTGTTAAAAGCTGTTCAAAGAATGAGTTAAGAGCATTGCACTACTTCTTTAAAGAATCCGCCCTAACACTATTCTTATCAATGCATATCTGAATATAGTAAAGCAATTCAAAAACACTCAGGGGTTTAAGAGCTGATATCTCTGCCAGCCAAAATATACTCAATAAATCACGAATGCTTTGAGGGACAGATCCTGACATATGCATTATTAGGCTTTAAACAGACTCCATATCGCTCAGACAAGGTATTCAATGACTACTGTAATTTCACTGAACTGCAAGTAAATACTTTGTGCAATATTCAACACATGCATGTTGGCATGACCATAGTTCATCTATCATATCTACTTTAATGACATTACACCGTCCTAACACGTTCCTCTGCTTCAAATCTTTCTTTAAAAAGAAAGATCAACAAATAAGACCGTGATACTGAATATCTAATTATTCATTCATAGTTCATTGTGATATTTCAACCTTAAACCTCAAGCTTATTGTACTTCTTAAAGTTGGTTGCGAGATAAGGATAAAAGAGATAAGGAACATAACTTTTAAGCGACTGACCCAATAGTGCAACTATCACAGTGAAATGCAGACCAGGCACAAACTAACAGTCTGAGACGGCCTCAGACTGTCTCTCATGGCATCGTTACCTGCGGAGACGTCTCTTTTCCCACCAGCGTCCCGCAAAGAAGAGTCTTGCATTTACACAGACCATTTCATCCTTCAGCGCTTTAGCGGTATCTCCTCGTTCACACTACAAACATGGAACAGAGTGAATGCATAAACAGTTGTTTAAAGCCCTCACCAAACGAAGTTGGGGACACAAAGTCCAACAGCACTACATGCTGTGAATGCCTCATTGTTTAGCACAGGACAGAAATATAATCGCAATAAAACTTGCCTTGTAACTCCAGCGCCTTCACAACCCTACGAACCATATTTACTACACTTCTACACACCTGAATGAAACAGGAGAGAAGCCACAGAACATAGATGGGTTCAAACAAGTCATAGTCTTGGTTAGGTCATTTGATTAATATTTCCAATGCGCTCTTTAGATTGCTGTTTATCAGTGTCTCTGTAGTAGAATAGACAGTATATATGTATATATATATATATATATATATATAACATTTTAATTATATATATATATATATATATATAAACGTTTAAACCTGTATAAACAGCATATTTAAAGACACAACTCAGAGACCGAAAGTATAACGCTTGGCCAGGGAACAAATAAATGTATATAATCTCTGTCGGACACAATTGGGGACGTACACAGATGACGCATGCGCAGAAGGTACACAAACGAGAACAGCTGAAATATTGCCACAGCTGCCGCAGTTGTTTACGATATTTACATTATTAATTATGAGCCGAAGGTGGTAACGTCAGTCGCACTTGTCCACCGACACGGCCCGGCTGAAGAAGAGGGGCTCTGCTTGTGTTTTAGCCGGCGACGGGCTCGCTCGCGGCCGCTGCGGGACCATGTTTACCTCGCAGACTTCGTCCTTCCAGGACTCAATCGACGTGGAAGAGAGAGATGACTTTGACAACGAGGAAATCTCTGGATACGGTCAGAAAGTCCAGTTGAACTGCTACTACACCATCTATCTGTATCAAGGCACACGGTGAGGATCGATCCTACGCGTTACGAAAATAAAAGCTCTATTGCTACTGTGAAGAAAGTGTTGTTTAAGGAATTATTACGTAATCATATCCTTACTGCATATATTTGTTTATTTTTTTCTTGGTTTGTTTCATGCGTTATTCCTCACAATAGCGACTGTAATTATAATAATATTCTAATACTACAGGATACTAAACTACCCCTCTCTTTGTATATTATTCTTGCCTCCTATAAACCACTGTTGAGTATTTATTGCGTTTGTGCAGGTAAAACCAGAGGTATACTAAAAAAAAAAAAAAACTAACCAGGTGATGAGTAAACTGTCAATTGTCATAGATCTGAGGCTTCTGGGGAAAATGTGTCATGGAACCAAAGACGAACAGACTCCACAACCAGTCAGGAGGACTTTAGGTAACAAAGGAGCCACCCGCCTACCTTCTCGTTGCTTTCAGTGGTCGTTTCTCTGTGGCTTTCACTGTTGTTGCTGGACATCCAATCAACATGGAGTCAATGCTGTTTCCATCTGTGATTTTTGTTCTGATTGGTTGTGCTGAGTTACATTGCCTTCTTCGGTCTCTCCCAATTTGAACCCGTCTCCACTCCCAAGTGTCGAGGGATGTTGACGAATAGTGAAGGGAATTCTTCTTCTTCTTCTTCTTCTTCTTCTTCGCGTTGCAGCAAAATGGCTAAATCCGTTCTGCTCGTGACGTGGAGGGAGCCACAGGTCCGGGCTATGTGACTCAGTGTTGTGTTGGTTGTGGCTAATGCTCATCAGCTTCCTCCATCTGTTCTCCATTGACTTGAGTGGCTTCCGAATCCTCGATTGTCTCCACCGACCACTTGTATCCACACTGATGTTTCTCCCCCGCCCCCGCAGCCTGACCCTTATCGACAGCAGCCTTCCACCAGAGGCCGAACCTGAGCTGCGTACTTACATTTCAAGGAGGCTCGGCAAAGGTGCCCTGCTGGGAGGCATGGGCAACATCGCCACCGTGGAACTCAGGTGACAACGGGTTTTCTCCCACGACTTTTTTTGCACCAGCGATGTTGGATACTAACCAATAGGGACACGCGATCATGTGCTTCAACGTCATATTACAAATTGTGTTATTGTGCATGACATGTTTGATTGCATACAGTAATGAAATCAGTTTAGCCGGAGGTTTGTGTCTGTTATTATTAATATTATGTACTCTCGTCAGTATCCCGGAGCAGGGAGTGGGCTGCTATTGCTGTCTCCTGGAGCAGGAACGGTCCCCCGAACAGCCTGATGCTGATGGAAACGGATATGTCATCTGCTTCATGGGCGGCTCTGAAAAAGGACTCAACTTATATCCTTTGTGCACAGCTGACTGATGCCTAGTTTCCGGTAAAATTATTCGTAGTTATTAGCATCATGCAAGGTCCTGCAGCAATAATGCTTTACGCGCAGCTTGTTCTTTTCTGCATGGTTGGATTGCCTCTGCATTTCCTTGACCCAAAACACATTCAGATTAGAACTTGACAAGTACGTCCAAGGCCTGAATAGCAGCCTGCAAACCCCAGAGGTATGTGGCTGGCATAAGAGTGGCATGACATTTTATTTCTGCCTTTACAAAATGTGTGTGTTTGTGTGTCAGCTGCAGAACCTTGAGACAGAAGTGCGTCCGTATCTCAGCCAGTGGTACGAGGAGTCTGTGATGCACATTTATCGGGTGGTGCAGCTGGTCCAGAGCAACATCAGCTTCTTGCTGCATGCCGTGAGTCTGAATTGTCTTACCTCCGGAGCATTATGAAGGGAATCATTCCTCTTTTATGTATGAACTTTACAAAGAAAATAGTATTCTTAGGTGGTTTCCAAGCGTCTGTACATCTGATCTCCAGCTGCAGAGTGCACATCCTGCTTAAAGGGAAAAGCAGATCACTTTATTTTTCGAGGAACATTTCCATGGCATGCTTGTTCATCATATGCTTGAACATGCAGCTTTTGAATTTTATTTATGGGATATCATTCAAATTCAGTGTGTGTCCATGGATTTACCTTTTTTTTCTGGAACAACGCATTTAAGCCATCAAATGTTCTGTACACAGGCGCTGAGTCACACAAATGTGGAGCTGAATAATTCAGATGAAAGGACAAAGGCTGATGTGTCCAGGTGAGTTTGGTGACATCCCCAGTAACTACGCCAACAGGATAATCAAGATTGCTAGAAACTTGGCAGGTCACCCGTTTATTTTCATGTAAATGTAATTAGCCATCTGTTAAATGTCAGGTTCATCAAAGCGGCCAGTTTGCAGGGTCTGTCCCAACAAGACACCACAACAGCTTCTCTGTGTAAGGCTGTCACAGAAGACACACACACCAACCTGATCATAGACTGCTCCACCATCCCACCCACATTCTCCAACACAGGTAAGGCATGACATGGACCGAATCCCGCTGTGTCTCCGTACTGTCTAAGATTCTGATGAAGAAGTTTTCTCCCCCAGTCAGTAATCGCTTCTGTGACGACTGGATTCAGGCGTTTCTCAACGGTGCAGAGCGATGTAATCCTTTCCTGCTCAGACAGATTCTGGAGAACTTCAAACTTAAGGTCAGAAAACGTTCACATGGACATACTATGACATGGGTTGAGTGCAACATAAGTTTTGATTTTACCACTTTTTAAATGATATTGATCAAAAAGAAAGCCTGTCCAAACTGAATGTAAAATCCCATTGATTGAGAAGCTTTGGACAAGAGCTATCAGTTCCTCTTCACAGATACAAAGTACGTTTTTTTTAGTCTGCTACTTCCACTGTCTTTTGTTCAGATTGCTTCCCTTTTTTAATAAAACTTGTTTCCTCCTGTCCACCCACCACCACCCGCACCCTGCACAGGCCATCCAGGACATGAACAGCCTGAAGCGCTTCGTGCGTCAGGCAGAGATGAGTCACTACGCCCTGTATCGCTGCTGCCTCTTCCTGCAGGGCTGCGGAAACGGGGATGTGCTGCTGCAGAATGCGCGGGCAGAGCACAGCGACCTGCCCGAAGCCTGCAGCATCATCGGCGTCCTGGAGGAGTTCCTCAGGGAACCGTCCCCGGCCCGGGCCTGATTCCACCTGAAGCTGCGGAGCGTGGATACTTTGTCTGCTGGCAGCACGGCAGCAAAGCATATCACCCCTCAACCCCGTTCCACCTCATGTCCAACATCCGTTTGCTGGGTAAAAAAATGTAGCAGCTGCAAAATTCAGAATCTGTTTTGGTAGATGCAGAATTGATATTTTAAGTTTCCTGTGCTGCTGCGTCTCGACTAGTAAGACGGCTGTCGGATCTGGAATATGTTCTGGCACCCAGCTTCCCTCAACAAGTGGGTCCGTCTTTTGGGCTAGTAGGTAATATCTGTAACATCGCTGCACGTATCTTAACAATGAGGGTTAGTTGCCAACTGGAGGTGGTATTGAAAATATATTGATGTGTACAGATCATTTTAGATCTACTCATACAGTGGCACCTTCCCACCATATTTACTTTTGCAATTTAAGTGTTTAAGTGTATTTCTTATTACTTTGAACCAAATATTATTACTAGTGTTTTGCTAACTGACAATGATCACAAAACATAACATATCCAATCTTAAACCTCTACTCAATGAAGTGTAATTATATATACTTATATATCCAAATGTCTTATTTTGTATTTTAGTTGATTGTACTACATACAAAAATCACTTTTCTGCATTGCTTGTTACATAGGCCTTGTTTGTGCACTACAATAAGATTTTTGTTTAATGAATAATACTTATCAAGCGATATTCAATGTTAATTCTGTAGATTTGGGGGTATTATTTTCCGTTTACAAGAATCCTCATATTATTCATCAGCTGAAGACTATGAGAACAGAACAGGCACTTTGTGAACTTTGTCACTCACTATATTTACTGAGCATTTGTTTGAGGGTTCTAGAACATTGATATACACAGAAAAATAAAAATTCAGAATATGAAAGTGCTTACAGTAGATGTTGGCATCTTTTATTTCCCTTCACATTTTAAAATGTACCAATATTCCCAGTCCAAAGTGTGTAAAACAGCAATATAGTTGGTGATTTATACTTTTAATCTGTGAAGCAGGTGACATGTAAATGAGTCATTATCCTATCGTGAGCTGTAGTGGGACTGTGGCCTGACCAGTGTGTGTGTGTGTGTGTGTGTATTAATGTCTTCGGTATCGTTAACGACTGTTGTTTTTGCTCTTGTATCGAAGAAACTAATGAAATAAATACCTCAGTTGAACCTACTTGTTGTGGTCGCAGACAAACCCCACAAATGTTTGCACTAATATTTATATCTGAGGAGAATACATGGAAGAGAATAAAAGCGTCACATTTATCAGGGTAAAAGGTACATTGTGTGATCGGGGAGGCGGTGGTGCCCTCCTTCATCCTCAAACTGGATCTCATATCCTCCAGTAGGCCCCGTTGTCCCGCTGCTGCTGCTGCTCTGGAACCACAAAACAAACAGCTGTGAGCTTGAGATCACATGTATGCAGCCGCTGCACATGTTGCTTTTATTACACAAACGATTATGTGTTACATTTAAGAAAGTGTGGCCGCCTTACAAGAGCTAGTGAGTAGACATTAACGGGGAGCAGGATTTACCTGAAGCGCCACTGGGCCTTTTCCTCAAAAGAGAGCTCGGTACATCGTAGATGCTTTCTGTGGGCTCTGACACTTTGGAGAAAAATATAGAAAAAAAAAACGCTTTATTGAATTATTATTTCCGTCTCGCCAAGAAAAGCAGAAAACAACCCACTTGGACGTCCATCAGGCCTCCTGAACGCGAGAGGGAAGTCGTACACGTCGTCGTCCATCTCCGGAGCTTTGACCTCGCAAACCTCTGCGGAGACACAACGCAGGACAAGGTGGGCTTTAAACACCACCGCGTGTCACCTCATATCAAACGGCACATTCAAATGTTCCTAAAGATCGTACTTTTTCTCAGTGGTAAGACGTCATAGCCTCCTTCTTGTCCGTCGTCTGCACAGAGACTGTCCCCTGCAAACAGAGCAGCTGGCTTAGCAGAACCAAACGTGACCCGTGGTGAAGGTGAAACCAGAAGGTCAGATCCATTCAAAAGGTCACCCCCGGGATGCTGGTGTGGAAGTGGGCTTCGGTCGGGGGACTCCTCGCGGTAGGGGCCCTCGGACGGGCCGGCGGGGACCTGCAGGTGCCGGAGGCGGGCCGGCGGGGCCGAGAAGGGCCGCGCGGGGATCGAACCCATCGCGCTGTCCGGGCCGGCGCGCGCGCAGCTGCTGCTGCTGCTGCTGCTGCTGCTGCTGCTCGGTCTCCCCTCGCTGCTCGCGCGCGTCGAGGCTGCGCGGGAGACAAATGGTCACCGATTGGATGATTATTATTTCATTTCATTTTTTTTTTTTTTTTTAATTCTTTAGGAAAAAGTTGGTATGTGCCACGAAAGGAAAGCGCCGTTCGGACTCACTGCCTGCTGCTGGAGTCCGCGAGCGAGGAGGTGGAGAGATTCATGGCCTCCCAGAGACGTTCTACCCACTGCTTTCTGAGGGCTGCGGTCTGCGCTGCCTGCACGCGCAAACACAAACACGTACACACATTATCAGGGTCACACACACACACACACACACAGCGTGATTAGTTCGCGGTTGAACCACAGCAATGACTCACCAACACTTTCCTCTTCCCATCCGTCATGGTGATCTCAAACACAAAGCGCTTGCTGTGAACTGTATGGACCTCTCGCACTGACTGCACCTGACAAGAGAAGAAGGCTTAATACTGAATGCTAAAACGGTACAATCAAAGACATCAGCGATGGAGAAAGTGCTCCGATCTATAAGTGGCAAAAGCCCAGTGAGAAATCATCATAAATCAAAAGATCATATGAGCTGCAGTTGTTAATGTAGCGTCAAAATATTAACTTCTGAATAAAGATTGTTGGATTATAAGGAAATGAGTCATATTGTACAGTAGTTATTTAAAATGTACTCCTTGAGTATGTAGCAACAGTGATGCAGGAGCACTTACTTTGAAAATGTAGTAACAGCCTCTCAAGTCCGACTGTGAACGTTTATTGACAAGAAAACAGAAACTAGTCAAGTCAGCTTTCTATAAACACACTGAGATGAGTTCCCAAGCATGACATCGGCAAAATAAATAGAGGCTGAATTCACAAGAGAATTTCCAAAGAACTACTTACAGCGATGCCGTTTGTCTGTGTATAGAAGAACAAGGTGGTGTTCTGAAGCCTGAACCAGTATGTCACCCATCTCAATTTCTAGACACAAGAAGCAGATGTACGGCAACCAGAGTCACTTTCCCCCCCAAACACACGTCCACGTGTGAAACCTACCATGGTGTCTTTCCTTTTCTCCAGGAAGCCTTCAAGCGACAGCGCGGCCCTTTCCACAGACATGCCGTCCCTCAGCAGACAGAGAAGCAGCCACAGTGACACCAACAGTCACGTCTACCTGCGACTTCCTCCTCGCGCAGCGGGAACTTTTACAGAGCCGTCGCCCTCTCACTTCTCCATTCCACTTCGCAAAAAAAAAAAAAAAAAATCCCATTTGTCCACGAGGAGAGTTGACCTTGCGATTATGTCACACATCTGCTTTTGAATTGACCGCCACGGCGCTCTTCAAGGACACACAAACGCGACGCCGCTGGGTGTAAATGTTCGTTTATTACAGATATTTAAAACTTTGTTGATGTTGAATTGGCCGTCATTCCAGCCAACAATAACAATAATAAGCATTGGCGGCCGTGCCTCATCTTTATTGTAAATGCTGGGGAGGAGAATGAGAAGACACTTTCATAGTTTTCAAGGTGGGAGAAGCAGTTGTCGTTAATAGCATTCTCTGTTGATCTGTGGCGCCTTTGACTTCATAAAAATAGAACATGAGGGACATTTGTTTGTTTAGCCATTTCAAAACCAGAAAAATAAAACCAAAAAGCTGAAAATAATGATGAGCCGCTTCCTACAGCTTCAATATTACTAAATACAAAAATACATTGAAAATGTAAATCCCTCCGTCTGCCGAAAACAGGCGAAGAAAACAAAGAAAACGGGTTAATAAATTAAACACACAAAATGAACGAGTGCATGCCGATCCTGACCGTTCTAGTGTAAGATGAATCAGCAACATCTCTGTGCGGCCTGTGGGTCCAATACTAAAATCTTTGAAGAATACATACATAACATACTGCATATACATCTATTAACAGGTTCGAGTCCCTTTGTGGTGTTTCTGTATGTGGCTGCCTGTCTCTGCGCTCCAACCATCTAATCTAACGAATAATACTGACCTGAGACAAAAGGAGGGCCGGGTCAGCTGAACGCATCGGCGACTAGTGACGTCTGGACTAAACTAGACTAATAGACCACAGAATTCAAGTCAGTATTTGCAGACTGAACGATGGAAACGTGATTTTAAAAGTAACCTGGCCGTCTTCCCACCAAAAACAAAATATATATATATATGGAACCCCACTCTTCATGGTTAAATGCATATAAAATGTTTTGCTCATTCGATTTCTTGCCCGTGTTGCATTGTGGGAAAGGGGACGAGGTGGAGTATGAGGGGCCGAGGCAATGGGGCCTGGTCGGTCAGTCAGCCGGGCTCTTTTGAGTCTTTGGGGGGCGGGGCAGAGTCAGCGGGGGGACGAGGAAGGGGTCGGGGGTCAGGGGGGATCACCGCTGTTTGAGCAGCGCTCTGTACATGGCGAAGCCCAGCACGGCGAACACCGTGGCGCCGACGCTCGCCCTCAGCCAGAAGGTGGAGTTCTTCAGGTCGGCCTGAGCCATGTGCCTGAGGGGAGGGGGGTGGAGGGAGGGAGACAAGAGACAGCGGCGTGAGGAGGGACAGAACAGGGAAGCTGGAGGACTGGACTTAAAACAACAACCTACCGACTCGACTTAAAACTGGTGTGAACTCCACTTTACAGTATATTTATTAATTGAACACATTCTAAATTGTGATGTGTATCGTTATTCAAATATTAAGTTATCTATAGAGTGATAGTTTGCCGTATTGTCCAGCCCTCACACAATATAACGGCACATCACATGGATACTTTCTGAAACCAAGACCATGAATCCTAAATATCAGCCCCCGGGGTCCCAGCTGAAAACAGGAATACATAGTTTATCTTGACCGTTGGTTGTGTTTTGAGAGACAAAGTACGAGTGTTGGACTATGAGAAGCAGCCACCAAGCTTTGCAGCGGGAGACAGAAAACTAGAACAAATACAGTTCAATTAAATCAAATAACACCTGTACTACCAAACACCAAACACCAACACAGGGGAACTGAGCGGACTATGGCGGGTACAAGCGGTGAAAGGCGGCTGACGGAGACGGCCGGCCTTCACCACACTCACATTACCAACGGCTGTTCAAACAATGGCCGAGACGCTGTTGCGAATAAGGGAGCTGAATCTCTCAGACGCAACATCTCGCCAACTCTAACATCTCTCCCTCCGTCTCCCTCCCTGCCTTTACCTTCCTGCTCAGCAGAGGCCTCCACAAAGACGGACCCCTCCGCGCTGGAGACGGAGGCCTGCTGAGTCCTCCTCTGACAGCAGGTGCCGCCAAACCCCCCCCGGCCCCTCAAAGCCCCCACCAAGCCCAGCGGCCTCACACACACACACACACACACACACACGCACACACACTCCGATACAGTTGGTAGAGCACAGAGATACTTCCATATAAATATTTTAATTTCAAGATTAATGATCTATTAAGGGCATAAAAATCAAAACAGTGAGAAACGTCCACGGTGAGTTTTCACGGGTGACATCTTTAAAAAGAGTTTTTGGTTTTGTTTTGTTTTTTGCTTTAACACAAAATATTATTACGACTGTAATTACATTTTCATTAATATTAGTTTACATATATGTTAACAGGTATCACATTAAGGAAAACAAGGTTAAAAACGGAGACTAAATAGCACAGATTCAGTTTCTTGGCATCGTTATATTCTTCGGAGCAGATTGTATTTCACTAGTTTAGACTAGTATTGTGTAAAAGTATCTATAGTTAAACCAACAACACAGTAAGTTAGCAATATAATAGGATATCTGATCTCATCCAGATCACTGAGCTCCACCAAGCACCCACCCAAACCCTGAAGCACCAGCTCCAGCATCACAATAAAGACACACACACACACACACACACACACACCGTATGCAGACTGTACACACCACATGGCAGCGAGATTTAAAAGCTTTAGCGATGAAGCTTGTCTCTGGTAAAATACATTTCAGAGGTCGTAAATGAGGCTGTTTTTGGAAATAAAGTCTCAAACTCGTCACAACGTTCTCTGCTGACTTTTACTCATCGGTCATCGTGTGGCACCTTTCATACACTCCATTGGTAACAAATTAGAGCAAACTAAATAAATCACTAGAAACTAAAATGTTATTCCCTTTGTACCCATTTATTTGTAGCCGATCGGTTCTGCGACAGATGAAGATTTAAAAATCGCACTCTGCAAAACAGCTGCTCAGTGAGTAAAAGCCACTTTTCAAATGTGGTGTGTCGGCCCGCTGCTCATTACATGTCATGCTATTATTAGAGGCAACACCTCCAAAACGACAGGTGGAGACAGCGTTCGTGCTGGATGCAACATACAGGGTGCAGCTTTGTCCGGGTCCATCGGCACCACACAAGGAGCCGTGTTTTATGCTGCAAAGTATTTGCCTAAAATCTGCACACACCCAATCCAACGCTGTAGACAGCCATTCAAACCATTTGAACGCCAGCTGAGGCAAAGAACAGATGAATTGTGCAACACACAAGACGGATTAGCAGAAAGTGAACACGTGCAAGAGGAAGAGGAAGAGGGGGATCCAGAAACGGGTGTTTGAGGACCTATAGAGTGGAAGGAAAAACACAGGGGAAATACAACAGAGGGAAAAACAGGATGAAATGACAGGGTGACAATTCAATCAAATGAAACATCAAAGTAACACTTTGGGATTTTTAACATGAGCCTGATACATTTATGAAGTCTGAACCCAAAGGAGAACCAGTGAACAGCATTTTTAAAACATAATTATTGTACTAAAACAATGGTGCTTTTCAAAATAAAGTTTCTCCTGTAGGTGTAGGCTTTAGTATTAGGCATGCAAACGAAGACGGAAAACATCACAGTTAATCTCTGATAATGAATTACGGTTGGTGCCATAAAGAAGATTTAGAATTTGAATACTATTATTTAAAAATAAGTCACACATCAAGCACGCAGACCTCAATGACGTTTTCAGTTTGGCTGGTTTCTGTCATTCTCTGTGCAAACAATGAGCCTGTTAGTCAAGATTTACAGTTTGCATATCCACTGCAGGACAGGAAGGACAGAGCACCTCTTAAAGACAAGAGGTCAACGGTCAGCCACACTTCACCGTCAAAATTCACACCAGGAATTCAATTTGACTTTGACCTTTTCAAATGCTTCTTAACAGGATCTTTTTCCATAACGACTATGTGGATTATCCAATAATATACAAACTAGAATATAATTAACATGTTGGTGTTTTCTATGCTGGTCAGTATGAGGCGTTAGTTTGGAGGGGCACAAGCATATGACATCATGCATCGGTCTCCCCACACAGTCACCTCCCTGTTGAGCAGCTTGCGTGTTAACGAGCACAGCACGGCGTGGGGGGGGAGGGGGGAGGGGCAGGCTGCAGCTGAAGCAGAAACCAAAACACCTCACGTGAACCGGCGGCTTTCAGGAGTGAATCAGGTTACAGCTCACGTCCCATTTGTGGCGCGAGGCATCACGCTTCGTATCCTAAACGGCGCTAAAAAGTTCCCAGCGAAGAGTTTTCTCCTCACAGCATTTCTCCTGAGCTAAGCCCGTTGCTATGGTAACATCGTGTTTGATCGGGGTACCCACTCATTAAGTCGACAAGGATTGGTTCTCAGGGGACCAGACTGTTTGTGAACGACAATGATTCATCAATCTAAAAAAGGAGCGAGAACATTCATACAAGAGTGTAATCCATAAATCAAATAAGAATATATTGTGTCAAGTGCAACACCAAGTAGTAGACTCTGGTACACAGACAGCGATGAGGCAACACAGCGAAGCAGAAGTTGAATTTCTCCAAAAGTGTTCACAGAGTCTTAACCAGCACAAAATCTACAAAGTCCCTTTTTTCCTGAAGTGGATATGCAGTGTAACCCCGATCCTAGGGGGGGGGGGGGGGGGGGCTGAAGGGAGGTAGAGGAGCGGTCACCATCACCAGTGTTAAAGCTTGGGTCAAAAAGGAGGAATGAGTCTACGTTAAAACACTAGAGCTTATTCTACGTATGAACCTGTTGAACAAGACCCTGCGCAGTTGGGCCTTAATACTGCGCAGCAGCTCCAACTTGAGGAGGTTCTGACACAGGCAATATGTGCACCTGTTGGAGGCGCACATGCAGCGGAGGCGGGAGTGGCTGCGGAGAGACACACAGAAATGCGTGTTTTCACCACAACAGAAAGACAACATGTAGCAAACAACAGGAGGAGGCGGCCTCGGCATTAATAGAAATGCTGCTCAGAGCTGAAACCTGCACTGCCGCCGGTTACCTTCAACTCCTCGTCTCACAGACAAAGTAAACTAAATGATGTACAAGGAAATATCACGAATGAACTGTCGAGGTATAAACCTGAAGTAGAATAAACAAAAATAGACAAAATGTAAACGCTTTCAAATGTCTGTTTTTCTGCACTAGAAAGCAGATGTGACCGATTTCCTGAATAACGCTAAAACGAGACCAGGTTGGTCCCTTCCAGTGATCAGCAAGCTTTTACTGACATCATAAAATGTCAGGCACGGATTTCACCCACATGCGTTTTCTAGCATAATAAAGAAGTTGTCTACATACTGGCTTTAGTTAATGTCCCCTCCTGTAACCTTTGAACTCCCTGAGTGACAGAGGATGAGGCGTAAAGTCTGAACTACACGCAGCCCAATACTCACGGATACATGGCCATGGTGGTGAGTCTGGTGTAGATGTCTTTGTTGGGCGCCTCGGCCATGCTGCACGTGAACGGCTGCGGCGGGTGGAGCTTGTGCTTGCGGCAGAACTCGTGCGGCGAGAGGCTGTGGTGCTGCCGCACTTCGTGCAGGTCCGACTTGGCGGCGATCACCACGCACGGCGTCTTGCTGTCTATGAAGTATTGCTGAGGAGACACAAGCGGCGAACGTCACTCGGCGGAGGGGACGCGGCGGTGCGCACTACGAGGCCTCGGTGCACGTGCTGCGCGTACGTACCTTGTACACTTTGGCGCAGTATTCGAAGGAGCCGGGGTTGTTGATGTCATACACCAGGCACACCACGTCGCACGCCAGGTCCGCCTCCGACAGGAAGTCGAAATCTGGCATCACCTCGTGGAGCTGGAGGTTTTTGCAGACGAGACAGGAGAGCGTGCCGAAGGACGGATTAAAGTCTTAAGAATGATACACAACCCCCAGTGTGATGGGCTCAGATTATGTGGCAGTAATCCAGAGGAAAGGGTCGTTACCAGCAGGTACTTCTCCTGACCATAAACGTAGGTCGTGCTGATGGCGTAGAAGGACTTGTGGTCTTCTCTAATCCGCCTCTGTCCCTGTGGTGGAAAAAAAAAGGTCAATGATACGGTCACAATCATCCAGATTATATACACAAAGGTCTCCTCACACCCTGGTTTGTGTGCTCCAACTCTGGAAGTTTAATAAACAACAAGCAGCGTGACCACAGCTTGTCCTCCCTGGTCCCCTGGAAGCAAAACATTCATCTCCTTTCACCTAAACCTGCAATTCTTTACGAGCACTCTTTGAATCAGACCGTCAGCCGCGCTCTCCGCTGACCTGCAGGTTCTTGCCGAGGAAAGCTTGGAGGAAGGCGCTCTTCCCGCTGCCTCGGCCCCCCAGGACGTTGCAGCGGAAGACGCTGCGCTGCGTCTGCTTCTTCTGCAGGTCGATGCGCTTGTTGCGCGTCACTGGCGAAACAGGGAACGCACACGGTCAACAGTCACGTGCTGTAAAATTGATTTTACTACAAAAAAAGAAAACTATACTTCTTATGCAAAGAATAACTATAACAGATGCGTAACAATTTGTGTACTGATAAAAAATACAGTAACTATTTGCTGTTGTTTAAGAGTCATTTCACATTTCACAGTGCTGCTGAACATAATGAATAAATTACCTGTGATGGCAGCAGCTTGGGACTCCTGTTCGTAGATGATGGAGTAGCCGAGATAACCCAAGTACTCCAAGCTACGCTGTACATCTAAATATGTTGTTAGCCTACCACAGAACAAACACACAAGCCACCGTGAGGGATTCATACGGCGTTTACTTAAACCATCCCGGGCGTTCTACATATTGGTGTACGCGCTGCAGTACGACTCGCGTGCGTATTATTAGCTGCGTGCCACACTCACGTCCACTGGGAGAGGTATCCCTGGTATGTGATCCATCCCTGCTCGTTGGTGCAAACCGTGTGGTTGACATCCGGACCCCACGGCATGTAGGGGAACACTTTGAACAAGTCCTTCACCTCGTCTGGCGACAGCGCACAATCTCGGTCCTGCGCGGCAGCCAAGAGCAAACGGCGTGAGAACAGAGGGACAGAAAGGTGACCCCCCGTCAAAAAGTATTTTCTAATTCCTCACCTTGTCGTGTTTGTCAAAGACGCTCTGGAGGAAGAGGTAAGCGTTGTGGTTCAGCTCGGTGGTGCAGTCCGGAGGCATCTTGATCCTGGGACACGCAAACGTTTCACAGATAGAAAACAACCAGCCTGAATTGCGGCGATTCCCCTGTGATTAGCGTTATTATTCAGTGTTTAGTCAACTGGTTCCAACTTGAATTGGGAAAATTACCTGTAAATCATACAATTAAGTAAATTATCATCAGAAGCAACCATAAACTAATTTTAGAAAACATGTGTTAGTGACGTTCTTGGCACATGAATACTGACTGTCAAGGTTCCGTTCAGACTGCTTCCTCTTCCCCGTCTCCGCTGCAGCACGTAAATAACAACATAATACAACCAGGAAAGGAAGCTGCAGGTCTGCACTCACATGGGGAAGAGGTACTCCTGTGTGAGCTCCAGGTCGTCGTCATAGCCGAACCTCCGCAGCACGGTCCAGGTGGTCTCGTGTCGGCCCCGCTGGATGAACAGCGTGTGCAGGAACAGGAAGCCTGCGGGGGGAGGGGGGGGCAAGCAGACGGATGAGCAGACTGAGGAGGAGGAGGAGGAGGAGGGCAAGAAACCGGGAGTCCGTCCGACCTTTAAGCGAAAGCCCGTTGTCCTTGACTCCGTCCGCCATGTTCCTCCTGACCACGTTCTTTACGTCCTCCAAGGCCTGAGGTGCTAGCGGCGTATTGAAGCAAGTTCTCTGCAGACACACACACACACACAACCAGCCGCGCGTTCAGAAGGCCTTTCTTTCAGGTACGACAATACTGTACGGCCCTTTCACGAGTCACGAAGCTTAACCTCGCACGACAAGAAGCGGGAAACGTTACCTGGAAGAAGTTGAGCTCGTTGTCGTTCAGGATGCCGTCGTTGTCCAGGTCGGACACTTTAAAGATTCTAGTCAAAGACTTAATGCAAGACGGCTTCAACTGTGAGAGAGAGGCAGCATTAAGCTTCGTGGCAGTTCATTTTAGGGAAGAGATCCGATAAGATCCAAAAACTAGATCTGGCACTAAAAGACTTTTTTTCCTCATTGAATCCTGAACAATGACAAAGACAACATTTAGAGGGATATATCATTGGTGCAGTCTAATCGAGAGTGAGCATTTTACACTTCTGACTGATGCACATTTGTAGACTTTCTCCACATAAAATCATTCTGAAATGCCACAGTGAAGAGAGCTCAAACGAGAAATAATAATACGGCTATTCTACTGTGTGGATCTCACCTCCTTCTGCTCCGGGCAGTACAGGGGTCCCGTCGGGTGGAGCACAGCCTTCTGAGCGTAGTAGAACAGCTCGGAAATGTTCTTCAGGTTTTTGGCGGAGCACTGAGATCAGAAAGAATATCTGTGAGCAAATGTCCTGAAGAAGAACTGTGGACACGTTTCACGCTGCTTGTGTAATGTGTGTTTGGTGCACAGATTTCTAAATCCATCTTCTCCACACACACACACACACATCACATATATATATATATATTATATATATATATAATATATATATATATTATATATATATATATAATATATATATATATATATATATATTATATATATATATATATTATATATATATATAATATATATATATATATATATATATATATATGGAAAGTAAAATGTAGATTTACATAATCCTGAATTGACATTTCAAATGTTTTTTTATTCCTTTTTTTAGTAGGGGTGTCGTCTTCTGTACCAAATAAGGGTTTTAGATTCGGGGGAAGTGTACAGACAAAACTATAGATGGACTAATTCACTTAGACATTAAAATAATAAGAAGCCAAAACAATTTACATCAGAGTGTTTCGTCTTCAAATAACATGGAAGCATTTGGCGTTATTACAGAGTCACTGAGAGGAAAATGAAACAAGATACTGTGTAGCATAATATTTGACCTACTTTAAATTCTTTTTTTAATCATGGTTAATTACGTTAACGTTAAATACTTCTGCAGACAGAAGTAATTGACTTAGAGAAGCAGGGAACAAGTTGAACGACAGTGAGCCAGCTGTGAAACCTTGGTTCACACGTCACATGTCCATTCCTTTATTCCCTAACGTCCTCCTCGTCTCTGTCTTTTTGACCTTGGAAGTAATCCAGCGGAGGACGGCGTGACAGAGGGACATCAGCAAACCGAAACGCAGCGATCGAGTCCGGGGGGGGGGGGGCGCAGCCACTGTTCCCGTTTCAGATTTGCCCTCAAGTACTTTCATCAAAGGACGTTCTTTCACATTTAGCTGAGCGGAACTTCCAAACATCTCCGTCTCAGTGGATCCAGTCGGGTAACATGTGTGTGTGTGTGTGTGTGTGTGTGTCGTTTTCTTACCTCTACACAGGTCTCGATGTCCTGGTATTGATTCATGATTGGCAGGATGGTCTCCATGCTGCTGTGTTCCACCAGGTCCGACTTGTTCCCCACCAGGATCAACGGTACTCTGTAAGGAAGCCGTTCATCAGTAGATTAAAGGGCTCCAAAGTTCTGTCAATTCATTGATAGGTTGATGTGACGTGAACACACACCTGCTGTCCTTGTCCGTTCTGTCATTGATGAGTGGAATCCAGTGGCTTGTCACCTGGTGGAGCAAAGCACTAACATTGGCTTTCTCAGAGTTAAGATGAGGACATACGCCAGTTATGCGTTTGATGAAGTGAGCGTAGAGAGAAAGCGTTCTCACCTTTTCAATGGACTTCTTGTTGTTGACAGAGTAAACTATGCAAATAACATTGGCCTGTGAGGACAAGTACCAATATTAATACATCATTACAGCTACAGACATTTTAATGACAGATGAGTGAAAATGAGGAGAAACCAACCTTTGATATTTCTTGGTACAGCTGCTCGTCCGACTGTTCGGCCTCTAAAATGGCGTCAAAGGAACTCATCAGCACAGTGTGTGATATTTTTTGAAACATTAAGATCAATTATTGTAACCTTGGCTTTAATGTCGTGGGGTTAAATCCAATTTCAATTTGATTGTAATCATCCCAAAAGATAAATAAGTGTTAGCATGCAAAAACATTTCCCATTTCCCCAGCGAGCGCCTAATAAAACATTATTTAACTATGAAACAGGTCCGAAGTGTTTTAACTTTTTTTTAATGCCAATGTTTCCAAATTGCATTAAAGAGCACAAATCATAATAAGCGTGTCCTTAATGTGCGTTTTTTGGTTTTGTTGGGAGGGCTTACCCGAGTAGTCCACGATGTGCGTGGGAACCCTCTCTGGGGTCACATCGGCTGGGATGGTGATCTCTTCAGCTCGAAGAGGAACCTGGAAGACAAGAGAACAATTTCCCAAATCCTGACAACAAGCAAGGCTCGAGAAACATTACAGAATGATTCTGGTTTCACCAAATAAAAAGACAAATCTTAAGACTTAACAGCTACCGGGATGATTTACACCGTCTTTCGTGTGGCCGCCCGTTGATACGTACCTCATCAGGAAACTCCTCGCTGACCAGGGACATTATCAGCGACGTCTTCCCCACCTTGGCTGAACGGGCGAAAGTGGAAAAGAATATATATTATTACAATCTGACGTTACGCGCGTGTTTTACTGACACTGGGAAGTTGACATGTGACCGTCTGGGAAATGTGTGAAGTGAGAGATAAGAGAAGCTGGAGCCAAGAGCTCTGGCAAAGTGCAACAAACACTCAATGAATTCCTGGAAAGTGGTTCAAAGTGTTATATTTAAATATAATATATAATATAATACATATTCTGAATCCTAACGGTTACGTATTATGTTTTCATCACATTCCCCCTGAAACAGCTTCTATCCACATAAGACAAAATGCTACTATAAAACAACTAGAACAAACCATCCACCAACATTATAATACATCTTGATCAAAGAATGTTAACAGATTCATATTTCAGAGTCGAGGCTTTTGGACGAAAGTAGTGTTTGCAGCAGCCATCCAATACAGTTTTAAGCATTTTTCTGATCAGCTTTGTGGGTTTCATTTCCTTTGCTGAAGCTGCAGTAGACATCAAGTATTTTGGCAGCAACGCTGTCAGGAACGATCAGTACCAACTCGACCAATGTGGCAGCGTCGGCCAACCTGCATAGTCGAGACTGAAATATATAAATAGTACCGACACAAGACAACAAACAGACTGGATGAGACGCAGTTATGTTGGGATGGAATCTAATGCCTTCATGGTTTGATTTTATCAATTTCTTTAAATTAAATATTATCTACCCAGGAACTTTATCAACAGCTATTGTTACAATTATCTTTATCGTCATTGTATATTAAAAAAAGTCTCAATATTTGATGATGGCAAACTGATCGACCTGGCGTTTTATAATATTGGTTGTACAAAAAAAGTCAGTATCAGCTTTAGGAAATTAATATTTTGGGGGAAATTGTGACGGCCACTTTTCTGGCAAATAACTATAAAGAAAACATCAAAAGACAAATCAATTAGTACTAAACAAAAATATGACAGCGCTTGGTGTGTTGCGTGTTGTGATGTTCACCAGGAGCATCGGCTAACCGCCAGCTAGCTTCCAGCTGCTCCCCCTTACTAGCACGTTAGCTAGCTAATAAAGCACTCAACCCGCTTCGCGATTTAAGACACCGGCCACTTACGTTCCCCTACGAGTAGTATCCTCACGTCCTTCCTCATGTTTCAGCTCGTTTCCCGCTATAAAGGGACTAGTTTGTGTCATGTAGTCCTTCGGAAGCCGTTTCACCGCCGTCGGGCCTGCGCACTGAAGTGCCGCCGCTGTCAAACCGCTCGGGCGCCTTTGTAGGACAAAACGGACGGACAGTTTTAGGAGCTCCTGCGAGTCTTACGCGCACTTCCACTTCGACTCGCGGCCTGTCGGCTCGGGAGTAAATGCAATTCAAGCGGTGGTTTGTGGCGAACGTCTCCGTAGCGTTAATTTCCAGGTTAATCGCACTCTTGTTGGCGCTCGCATAGCATCTCGCAGGAGATGTTTCATGGGCAAACCCGACCTCCAGCACCCGGCGACTACAGCGAGTCGTAAGGGACAAACTTCTACTAGAGTTTGAAAAAAAGGTAAACGCGTTATGCTGCTCTCTGGCGACAAGGACAATGATTTATTTTTCAAATATGTTCTAATTACATTTTTTCTTGCAAGAAGAGGAACTGCATTCAAATGATGGATAAACCGCATTAAATCACCGAAGCACGACGGAACCGATTCTGGATTATTTCTCTTTCACAATAGTGTAAGAGAAATAACAATAACAATAAATTGATTTATTCATTTTTAAAAAAGCTTAATTTCCCCGTGATCGTGTTGGCTTCAAATGTATGGATTGCACCTTGTTTGTTTTTTAACATTTATAGTTTGATTTAGTATTAATATTATGAACTATCAAACTATCAAGATCAAAAAATACTCAGAGGTTGGACGCCCACATTTTAGGGCACAACAATTTAAAATATAAACATTTTATTGGAAATAGTATACTAAAATATTCATTGCATTACTGAAAATATTCAACAAAGTTAGAAACATCATACAAATAGCATAATATTTAACCTATCTTTTCTTAAAATGTAACACACGTATTTTTCAAAGATCTGACATCAGTTCCGGTGTCAGTTGAAGTGTACAATCCGTACTCTGGCCCAGAGAACCGTCCAGAGGCTTTACATCAACGCTAAGATGAGTCAGTTCTGGTGGAGTGCTGTAACAACAGGCGACTGTCCTCCCTTGTGCTCCAATAGTTTATTCACATGTGATTTCCAACGTTGAAATCTTCTCCCCGCCATCCTCTCCGTTGTTTCTCTTTAATAACTAATATTGGATTCAACTGCAATGACAAACAAAGAGTATTAGTTCGAGGTCATACGCAGCTTAATATAAAACATGTGTCACCCTTTCACCGTCACCCTGGCTGTGCCCATGCATGTCGACATGCATCCAACCCTCCTCTCATCCCCCCACTGCACGGACCCAAAATGTAAAAGGTGTAAATTGGGGCGCTATGCGTTGTGGACGTGTCCGCGGCGTCCCCCAGCCATGCTTACTGGTGTAATCCTGCGGGGCCATGGGCCTGGAGAGCACCTGTCTGAGGGCGTCCAGCCACTCTCTCTGCTCTCCCTCCTGCTCGCACATGAAGAGATATTGTCGCCGGGGCGTTCCCACCGCGACGCCGTACTTCCACTTGTTCCCCCGAGCATGCATTTGATCGCACTCCTTTACAGAGTAACCCTTGCTCTCTGTGCCGATGAAAATGACCCCCAACTCCTCCGCGTCCTACGCGCACAAGCGTGAAAAGACATTCAGACACAGTGGAGGTTAAAAGAGTTGCAAACAACCTCGCAGCGTTCAGTTAGAAGGAGAAGTCCTCACTAGTTGTCCTTTGAAGTACAGCAACTTCCTGTTTTGAGAGTCCAAAGTGAACCATCTTTTTTTGAACGTCTCCTTCCGCTGTTAAAAACACACACAACGCGTCACATGAAAAATTACGGTTCTATTTTAAATATTTTATGCTCAATATCCCCTCAGTTCTTCTGTTGTGCGCATTCTGTAGACACGTGATATTCAAGTTGTGTTTGTGTGTGAGAGGAAATGTGAAAGGAAATCATGCAAAACATGCATCTGCGTGTGTTTCACCTTTTCTCCTGCATTAACTTACCGACGGCCCCGTCTTTTCCATGTATCCCTCTTTGAGGTAGTTCCTTGTTAACTTTGGTATCAGCTGACAAAGAGGTGTAAAAGGCACACGAGTGTTTTGCTTGAAAATGTATTACGCTATTTTTAAAATTATTTTAGAATGCATCAACACGTGGAAAACATTTAGTCGTTTCATTTTGAGAGGGTTTGGCGTTTGACGCTTACTTCTTTGTCACTTCCTGTCGGGTACGCGGTCTTGAAGTAGGCATAGCGAGCAGCACGAATGGCGTTGAACCATGTCACTATTTCCTAGAGTAGAAGAAGAAAGCCTCAGCTTCTCCACAGTCCCTCAGTACGACAATCAGATGGATCTATCATGCGGTCCCACCTGGGCGCTCTCGTGATAAACATAGAGGTTCCTGGTGTGGTTGCCGTCTTGGAAGGTGATCTGCAGCCCGTGAGAATGACCAATCTTCTCCGGCTGGAAGGTGATGTTTAGGTCCTTGATGGAGATTACAGCTTTTGGGCCTTTGGACTCCTGGATCAGATACACAGCACATCAGAGTTTGTAGAATGATGCAACGACTGGAATAAATGCAGTGGTTTGTGCAATGAAGTTGTCTCTGCAGTGGCATGGTGAGGTGAGGCAATGTCGGTCGCTCAGTCTGACACAACTACTCAAAAACTGCTAAGATGGTCAAAATGTTTGTCCAATATTATTATAATTCCACATTTTGTACTATAAAATCAGTGGTTCAGTTTGATTTGTCGCATGTGAAAGTTAAGTGACATCAAGCCCTTAAGGATTTGCCGTTTATTCGTCTTGTATTTTGTATTTTACATGCCGCGACCAGATACAAAAGGCCCGTCCCGTGTGCAGCTCATCCAGCTTCTGGGAACTCACGTTTTCCTTGTTGTAGTAAGACAGGGTGAATTCCCGCTGCGACAGCACAAACTTCCTCTTAAAAAATTGGGCGTTGTCTTTACCTTTCTTCCACAGCATCCCCTCGTAGAAACCTGTTGTCCCAAATCCAAAGAAAATATACTGAGTCACTGCAATGCCACGTTTTGCAAAACCAGATTTCACCTCCCGGCTCTTGTGTTTGCAAAGAACAGGTTTTTCTTGCGCAGTCTACGAGTTTACGAGGAACTGCTTTATGAGGACTGCCAACCCTGGAAACATCACCTGCAGTGTATGAAACAGGTGGATACTTTGTTTCTCCCGTGAATTCCTTCCTTTGATATTTGGCCAGAATCCACTGCTCCCTTAAGATTCTGCAGTTCAAAAAGGCAAAGATAGAAATAGTATTATTCTGCGTAATTATAGAGGCATTTTTCTCTGTGCAAACACGATGTTCAACCCACGGAAGTTTTTCTGAAGAACGTCCTCATACGTACACACAGTCCTTTTCCCGGGGTCGATAGTAGTACGCAGGAACAGCCTTCTCATACACAGCTTTGGCGTGGTCATTCCCTCTGGACTTCATGAACTTCCCAGATTCCCCCCCAAAAGGACACGCATGAAGATTACACACCGGCACAGAGAATTTGTCCCTTCAACTGAAGAAAGGTCGTTACCATAGGAACGATAACAAACGTGGGCACCATACCTCCACTTGTTCATCCTCCCAGGAGTCCAGCTTTATGGATTTGACCCGGCTGGACAGGCCGGAATGGATCCCGGAGCAGGTCAGACACACAAAAACACCCAGTTTGTAGGACGCCCACCCTGGATCTGAGGTGTAAACGAGGAGGTGGGATCTGCATTTAACACTTTGCAGAGACAGAATGTCCCGTTTGGGGCCCCAAATATGTGCACATATTCTCATTTAATTGAGTGAGAAAATCAGTCCAGCTTTTAGGAATATACAAAAGAGTGCAGTTTAAGTCAAGGACGAGGTCTAGAAAGTGCGTATGTCCTGTTCAAAATAAAAAATAAAATAACGCAATGTAAATAAATAAACACAGCACATACACACGTCTTACCCGGAGCTGCGCAGTCTGCGCACCGACTGTTGACCGCCAGCTTCAAAAGCTCCAGCAACTCCTTCTGGTTTCGGGAAAGGTTCGACATGTCGGAACGAATCTCCTTTAACGACGAATAATCCCGAGGTTTAAAAAAAAAACCCACGGTGGTCACATTGTTTTCACAAGGAGCGAATTGAAAACTGGAATTTGCGACAGGTTCGGATTTTTTTTCACCGCGGGCAGAATGAGCATTTACTTCGAAAAACAAAAGTAAAACCCGCGTTCCGGTGTGCGCGTGCTTATGAGGGAAATACGGTAAACGCGTGAAGCGGCTGAGCACAAAGTAAGAGACTTCCGGTACATTCGTTTTATAATCCAGTCATTAACTGTTTATTTTATTTGTTTGGATGAATTATCAATCTGTGAGAAAATTATAACTATGGAACATTTTCACTTAAATTGTTTAGCTAGTTATTGTGATTTGAAGGTAGCTCATCCGGGAGATTTTCGAAAGGCTTTCATTTTGAAATCCTACATCCGATTAAAATATTGTCTGAGCTGACGGATACTTGACGTTGTGTGCTATACTTTTGAACATAATTTATCTTAATATTGAATTACCTTTTCATTTAAAAGTTAATCCTAAATCATAAGAAAGTTAGCTAATGAATTACATCATAAAGGGCTTTTATTCTAAGATTTGACAAAGTAATTGATGGTCTGTCAGCATTTAAAGGGCAACCGGTCACTTGTACAGTTTTTGTAAATCATTGATATTTCAAGTAATTTATCTATGATACAGTCTTGTTGACTCACTTATTAAATGAACGTGAAACGTCTTTGTCCTCTATGGCGACTACTGAGAAGTCCTCAAATCGATCCACCAGGTGCACACCGGAGGACATTGTACGACGCTCACAGCAAACCGGCATTTCAAGTCCCGCCACAAAAATACCATCCACCCTACATTTAATAGCTCAGGAATGAGGATAGAAAGTACTCAAGCATACACACGGTAAGCCTATTTCTTTATTTAGTTGTTATAAACCTTTAGTTGGTCACAACTGATACCCACTGTGAACCATGTGTAGATATTTAAGACGGGAAAAAAGATCAACTGAAACCTCCCTGCGAAAGTGATTTAGGGCTGACGAATAGAGCCCACCTGCCTGTTATGAACTTCTAAAAGTTGAGTGCATCTATACTGGGTCATGTAGGCAAATGAAAGCGTACACAAACACTCACACAGTGTCCATTTTCCATGTCATGTATATTAAATCACGCTTCTCAAAATACATTTCTACGAGATAGAAACACTTTGCGAGAGCAAAGCAAATTGATAAGTGGCTTTGACACACAAAACACTACTGTACAAAAAAGACACTCTTTAAACACTCAGCTTAATATTCCAAAAATCATATAGAGTAGATTCATGTTTAGTGCATTCTTTGAAAGCGCCATATGATGTGCTGAATGAGCCGGCGTTTGAGGTGGTTTTCAGGTGAAAATACCGTCGGTATTCAATCATTTCCGTCTCAGAAGAGACGCGTGAAACCAAAATGTCACACGCGGCTCGGACCAGCTCTTTGTGTCACATCAACGCCCCAATGATCGCCAAACGAGACAAAACGGCCTCAGTGTTCATCATTGTGCCACAGCACCGACTGTGAAATTGTTCCTTCTCCCAGAAAGCGCGTCCCGTAGAGGTGCGATCACTGGGAAGGCCGTAAAGACACGTGTGATGCTCCGCGTGCATCAGGGGAAGTCTTCGGCCAGCTGCTGGTGAGTCCTCTTGTCCAGACCCAGGTGGATGGCGTCGAGGTAGTGCAGGAATCTGGAGGAGGATAAAAGACGTTTTCTGTGAACTCATTTCATTACATTCATTTTTTAAGACATACATTTTCAGCACGGATATCAAAACAAAGACTCCCATCGCCATGACTGTGATTGGACGTATTTAACCAAGTGACCAAACCACCGCTCACCTCCGTTTCACTTTGCCCTGCTCCTTAAGCTGCTCCGACCGGCAGATGGTGCGAAGGGCCGGCAGGTAGTCAACAGCAGCCGCCGGTCTGTTGGCCGGCGTTCCAAACACTCCTCGGAGCGCCAGACGCTCCATCACCTCTCTCCTCCGCCGCACCAGCCTGCAACGCATCAACACACGGGTCGTTTCTTTGCACCGGTTCCAACAAGATCAAGATTTACTTACTTTGCCGATGTCTGTGAGAGAACACTCACTGTGGCTGACAGGGGCCGTCCTGGGTGAAGCTGGAAGCTTGGCGATGAGCAGCCAAGGGGAGGGTGAGTTCCACCGCGGCCTCCCGTCCCGCCTCCCCCTCCAGCTGTCGCGCTTTGCTCCAGGCCTCCGCCACAGAAACCCGGCACCCGTGGAAGCTCAGAGCCTCCACGGCGGCCGGGATCTCCGAGGCGATGCAGTCCGCTCCGCCCCGGCACCACCACCCGTCAGTCGCCTCCCTCGCCTCATCCGTCATCCCGTCCTTCAGCACCGCGCCGACCGGCGGCAGCCTCCCCGCACTGTCGCCCGCGCCCGGGTGGACCATAAGGGAGGAATCCATGAAGGACATGTTGTCGAAAAAGTCAGCCATTGATTGCAGGCACTGGGAGACCGGGAGGCTTTTTAGCCGCTCCTCGCGGGTCAGCGGCTTCCTCTTCGCCGCCGGCCGAACAGAAGTCTCTCTGCGGTCCTGCTCCGCCCGAGGAGCGACGTGCGGCTTGCTGATGGAGAGAAAGCCGTCTTCCGAGTCTGAGTCGGAGTGGGGTTCGTCCGGGTGGAGCGAAACGTGCCGCTTCTTGCTCTTCCTCATTCTGTTGGACATTTTGATCGGACTGCCGTCTTCCGAGCATTCTGCTGACTCTGCGGTGTGCGGCAGGCTGGCGTGTGGTGGCAGCTCCTTTGGATGCTCTTGCGGGGCAGGAACCGATTGCTCTGGCCTGGCGGTGCTCAGCCATGTCAGCGGGAGGGGTAGGAGTGTCTCAAGGTTGCAGTAGAGCAGGTCCACTCCTCGCCGCTTGCCGTTGGACAGCAGCTCCAGGCAGGACATCGCCTCCGTGGGACTCTGTTGACAAACGCACAGCGAGTCAGTAAAGCACAACGGGAACCAAAGAGGGACTCACTCTTTGTGTGCGTGTCCTTGGTCTCAGCAGTGGCACGTAATAGATGAAGAGTTTACCCTGAGCCGCTCCCAGATGTCTCCCTTGGGCTCGACGTTCAAAAGACCCAGCATGCTCTCTGTGCAGCCGGTGTCGCGGGGGGGGAGAGGGTCCACGGCAGACGCCTGGTCAGCTGTCTCCGGCTTTAGATCGGCTTCTAATGAGCGTGTAAATGGTCATTAGATTAAAAGCTTACCTTTCCTAACACAGCTACAAAGTGCTTTTAACAAGAGAAAGGAATACAACACAAATATAAATAAATAAAGCAAACAAGAGTGATTCCACGAGCTCATCTCCTCACCATGTCTTCTGGTGGGTGTCAGCGCTCTGGTCACGCGACGGCCTCCGTCGCTGCGAGTCCAGAACTGCAGCTGCAGCAGACTCTGCCGGATGTCGCAGCCGTTGAGTCGGAGCAGAGAGCTGATGTCCGGCGGGTCGGTCCTCATGTCCTCCGTCAGACACAAGAGCCGCAGGAAGCTGCCGACGTCCGACTGCACCGGAGGAGAAGGGAGAGGAGAGTGCAGGACGGATCAGAACCGACTCAACCCGACTTCGGGTTCGGAAACGTTTGCGAGGGCTCACTCACCACTGAGGGCGTTTTGAAAATAATCTCTTCAAAGTTGCCGTCAAACATGGAGCTGAAAGCGGGATCTAAAAGAAATAGAAAACGAACAATATTTAAATTAAATTCAAAAGACCAGAGACGGTGTGAATAAATCTGAGAGACACCGACTGAGGGACATTGGAGCTTCGCCCTCCGACTCACCGCTGCTGGTGAGGACAACCGGCCTCTTCGTGGTCGTCATGAATGTCTTGATGGCGGCTAGAAACCCCGAGTCATCATCCAAGATGACATCGACTTCTTCAAACAGGATGAGCGAGGTGGCCGTCTTCTTGCTCTGTTCTTCGCTGCTATTCTCTTTCTGCTTGTTGGCGCACTCGTTTGTTTTCATTATTTTCTTGGAGTCAGCTACGCGAAGACAAAAGAAACAGTAAAATACTTAGTATCGGGGTAAGCTATTCATCATATAGGTAAACGACAGACATATTTGGAGAAGACCTGTTTGTTCCTTCTTCTTGGAGATAGGAGTCTCCTTGGAGACAGGTTGACCCATTTTGAAGAAGTTGGCCAGAGAGGTGGGGGCCAGGCTCCCTCGTTTAGCACCTCGAGGGGACTGGGGAGGCTTCCTGGGAGAAGACACCACTCTACGAGGAGAGCTCACCCTTCCTGGAAGATGAACAATACAACCTGAATATGCTCTTTTTTTTTTTTTAAAGCAGATCCTGCATCACACGCTATAGAATGAGGTCATGGGTGTTCACCTCGGGACGTACTGGGCGAGGATCCGAGCCGGAGAGACCCGCCACTGCTGCTCGAGCCGTAGCTGTTGAAGTAGCTGGGTTTGTGGGCGTTGACCCCCTGGCTGTCCACCTGGTGAGACTGAGTGGCTTCCTTCAGCTGGGACAGAATCAGACGCCCGCTACGCTGGGACGAAGCGTTCACCTCGAACACCTTAAGGGGCGAGGAGATGGAGAGTCAGGAAAGGGGAGAGGCTAATTTCCCCACACGAACGTCAGTCTTGCAGCGCGAGGCTTTGGTACCTTGAAGCCCAGCTCCTGGGCACAAGCGTAGACCGCAGCTGTCTTTCCTATTCCTGTGGGTCCGGTGATGAGCATCGTATTGCACAACATGTCCTCTCCGTCCTGGGAGTCCTCTTCACCGCAGTCCCAGTCAGAGTCTGGACACAAAGAGCCATCGTTCAGTCAAATAAGTAGTTATAAAGAAGTAGGGAAAGGATGATGAAGAGTCTGTGCTCCCACCGTTGCTGCCTTCCTCTTGTTTCTTGTCTTTCTGCTTTTTTCTCTCCTCGCGGTCTGCACGGAGTTTCCATTCCTTCAACCAGCTGTTTGAAAAGAAAAATACGTGAAACATTCGCCCAATGTACCGCAGCAAAACGACGTCATGCCGACGAGCAGGGAAATCAAATAAGTTGGACGCCAGCCCGTTCTCGGCTCATGTCTCCATACAGGTGAAGCAAATGCAGTGTTTTGGTTCCTCACCTGTGCAGCCTCCTCACTGAGGAAGTGTTACCGACAATGTCGCTGGAGTGTTGAGGCTGATATTTGTCCGTCCACAACACGTCCTCTCTCACCACCTCTGGAGAGACAATCATTTTCTACGTTACAGACAAGTGGCGTTAATGGACACCCGCCGGATGAAGCACGTTAACTGCGAACACAACGTCTCTTTCTCTCTTTGGGGCTCTTCTACAAAAAGCCAGTTGGAGTAAAACGTGGTAGCTCACCTTTTCTCCCAGCGTTCTCTCCTCTCGATGAGTCATCGATCACAATCACCGAGTCATCCGATGTGACGGGTGCAGTTTGGACTGCAGGCCGAGCTTCCTCCTCTTCCTCCTCCGGCCTCGACCTCCTCGTTCGTCTGGCACGGCCCCGTTTTGCTGGCTCAGACGCAAACTTCTCTTCCATTCCGCGGTTGGCCCGTTGCTTCTTGGCCACCTTCACAGAGACCCCCCCCTCGTCATCAGTCCTCTTCCTCTTCCCTCCGACCGGTTCGGCCAGCAGCGCGGCGCCCGGGACTCTGGTTGCCGCCTCTGGTTATGGGGAGCAACAAGCAATGTTATGATTACATCACCACGCCTCCCTTCGTCCGAGAGCAGCAACCCGCCTGTCGGACCGACCTGAGGCAGCGCTCTGCTGCTGCTGAATATGGTGGTCGGCGCGTCTCTTCAGGAAGCGAGTGGTGAACATCTGGATGGGGAAAGGAGGGTTGGAGGTGCTGACCTCCTCCATTAGAAGCTGCCGGACACTTTCAGAGATCTCCGCCCTCCAGCCAGAACCCTTCAAAAAAAAAAAAAGGGGTAAGAGCCTCTGTCATCAAGAGACGTTTTAAAAAGGTATAACGGAGGAGATACTGGCAAACTGGCAGACAGCGAGTGGTTGGTCTGTTGGACGTGGGACTTTGACGTACCCGTTGAGGAAAGACTCTACGCTGTGGTTTGGTCTTCACACAAAGGGGGCCGGTAACCGATGGGGGCGAGCTGGATGTCAGGCACCAGGGCTCCTTTAGATGACAGAGTAACGAGGACACGGGCCACAGCAGACTCCACAGAGGACAATCTGTCGATGTATTAAAGTTGGAAGTAGTGGAGTAGAAAAACTTGTTAGAAAAATTAATTAATTTTAAATGTACCAAAACTTCTTAAAATTAGCATATATTGGATCATTTCAGAAAAATGAATATATTTATTTAAACGAATTATAGTGATCTGTTTTTAAATGTCTACACAATTTCAAAATCGCCCCTCGATGAAGGGGACGCTCATTTCTTTCCCTCCTGGACCCGACCGAGAAACTCTTTTCACCTCCTCGCTTCAGCAACGTTGCAGAATACTCGCAGGGGCCGGAAGGCATCGGGATCACTTAAGCCAGTAATAATAATAATAATAATAATAAAAACAACAACAACCTGAACATTAAAGTCCCTAAATGTAGTAAAGTAAATATAAATGGGTTTCTGAATAATGACGTTGTGTGAGCTCACCGTGAGGCGGCTGCTCCACATGAACAACGGGCTGGAAGGAGGAGCAGGAGAGGGAGTACGCCTCCCTGCTCGCCGCCGTCCTCGCCATCTGCTTCCTGAAAGACTCCGGCAGGCCGCTCTTCAGGAACTCTTTGCGCGCTCTGAATTGCTCGTCGTCCTGGGAGGCTTCGGAGCTGCTGTCGTCGAAGATGGAGATCACGGCGGACGCCTTCCGAGCGCCCTTGTCTTGTCCCGCCGACGTCCCTTCGGAGGCTGTGAGGGAACACGCGGCGCTGTGAGGTTAGATTTTGACTGATGCTAAAACCGCGAGGGATGGTTTTGGAGCAGGGAAAGGTCACCTGGGACGGCTTTGGTCTCCTTTCCAACCGATGCCCTTCCCAGAACTTCGTTCAGACTGCGCAAAGGCTTCTGGGTTTTACTCTTTTCTGCCATCTGGTCGTCCAGGCAGATGACAGAATCCTGAAAAAGAAAATTACGACATAACTTGTCTGTTTGTTTGCCTTATTTGATCTCATTTCTAAAGTATTTAAAATGTATATATGTTTTAGCACTCTGGCATTCATAGCATCAAATGTAAACCGCTCTCTCTCAGTGGAGTTATTCCTCTCGTGCTTTTAACTGTACCTCGTCTTCATGGAGGCTCTTCTTGCCCAACGACCCGCCTCGTGACGAACGCCTCCTGCTGACCTTTTCCTTCCCAGCCTTCTTTTTACTTTGCTGAATGACTCGGGCTTTTTCCACCAATTTCTTCGCCTGCTTCCTTTTTTTAGACTCATTGGTTGTCTGAGAATAAAGTACCATTCTTAGATCACAGATGTTGTTCCTCGTCAAGTCAGTACATCATTTCATTCAGTAAATTCAGAATTTGTCTAATCTGTAATAAATACCATGCTTACTTTAGCGGCCAAAGAAGTGTTTATGCCACTTTCATGCTTGGTCGTGGAAACGTTTTTATGGACTTTAGTGAATTTGATCCTAATAAGAAGGAAAACATTGAATTAGAACACTAAAATGAACGATTACACGTAAATAAATCCAGACACACTGACGTTATTGGCAAGTTAAAATTTGTGCAGCAAAATACTTGTATCTTGTATTTAATCCCATTTTTGGTTCTGCTGTTTAAACGTTTATAGAGATGTTGACTGTCAGATAAAGTAGTTTGAGGTCAAATTGTATTGCATTACTGTTTCTAATATTTTATCCATTCCATTCCTCATCAACGAAAGCAGCCAAAATAAAAGAAACAACTCGCTACTTTATGAAATTAGTGAGTTGAATAAATGAAAACCGTTTCAACCCAGAATGGAATATTGTAACCTTCTTGTCTGCAGGATGGTCCGATTAGTCTACCCACAATAAACTGTACGCTTGCGTCCAAAATGTTCATGATAGAATGTGCAACTGGAGGACGGGGTCACCTGATCGGGCTTTCTTTTGTGTCGGGTGGGCACACCAGCTGTGCAACGAAGACTGGGCGTTTGGACTTGCGTATCTTTGGGGTGGTGATCACTGCGGGGCCGGCATTGGGTGGAGAAGCAGCAGCAGGTGGAGCAGCAGGTGGAGCAGCAGTGTCCTTTGAGCCGCTGCGTTTCCTGGTTTTTCGGATCGGGCTTGTTGGGGAAAGCTCCGGTGCTCGCCGGACTGCAGCTTCTCTCTTGGACCTCCGCGCCCTCGGGATGCAGGGGGTTGAGGTGGAGCCACCAGGAAGCACCTCTTCTTCATCTTCGACCTCACCAACCGTTGCCACGGTTTCTGCCACGGGAGCAGCTCCAGGTGGGGAGGCGGTGGCCTCTTCTTCTACTTCTTCTTCTTCTTGAGCTTTTTTTCTTCCTTTTCTCGTTGGTTTCTTTTTAACCGCTTTGTCTTCCCGAGCGGCAGCAGGGACTCGCTCAACAGAGAGTGGAATCAAAGTGTCTTCTTCAGCAACTTTGTCCGCATCGTCCCCAGCCTTCTCTCCAGGTGGCCTCTGCTTGCTCTGGCTCTTGACAGGCTTGGTTTTGGTCCCCTCCGGGCCCGGCTGCTTGAAGGCCGCCATGAAGTGCTTCCTCTCTGCCTCTTTGCACTTGGGCACCGAATCACTCTCAAGCACATCCAGCTCTAAATCCTCCTCCAGAAGAACCACATTGGATTTACGGCGGACGGTGTGAGAAGAGGGAGAAAGTGGCAGCTCGGCCTCCTGGCGAGAAGACGACAAAGGGCTCGACGTCCTCTTTCCTCTGTTGAAGATGGAAGCCACTTTCCCCCCCGCCATGGCCGCTTGATCTTTGGGTGAGATGACATGCACTTCAGCCTGGATGGTGATAGTTCGGGGGGAGACGTAAAAAGCTGAGACTTCTGAACAGACATTTTGTTCGGCTTGAGGGGTGCGCAACCGGTCAGTGTCCACTGCTTCTGCCTTACTTTTGTCTTCTCTGTCCTGCTCACCTTCGCCGCCGTCTTGGCTCTGGCTGTGCACAAAATCTTCAAAGGAGATGGTGACTGTGCTGTTGTTTAACCTTGAGGCCTCATCCACATTGACCTCCATGCTAACATCACACAAGGAGCTCTCTTTTTCGCTCTCCTCTGGTTCTGAATGCTTTGCCTTCCTCGAATTCCGTGCAGCGGTTTTCACTCGTTTCGGTTTGTCTTTTGAAGGTACAATCGGAGATAATCCGATACTGCTCAGCTCTGGATTAAGTTTAACACCGTTCCCACATTCGCGACCACCTTCTCCCACCTGGTCAACGCCGACGGTCTTAATGGCAGCGACACAAACCTCTGCACTAAGCTGGGCGACGGGGGCCGCCGCGTCACTGGAAAGAGTCCCACAGCTGCCGATTGCTTCCGCTGCCGAGTCTCTGTCACCATGTGGCTTCTCTGCGATCGGGCAGCTCGGCTCCTCGGCGAAGCTAACGGTTTCGGCCTCCACAAGTTTTCTCGCAACTTTGCCGGCCTTTCTCTTCCGTTTCTGGGATGGCCGCGTCACGGCCGCCTCTGCGCCGGTGGGTTTTTCTGAGGGCTGCGACGTCTCACACTTCTCTTTCAACGGCTCGGGGGAGCCGGTCTTCGCTTTAGAGGACGGTGCCTTCCGGTCAAAGTAGTCTGCGATGTTGTTGGAGCGAGGGGGAGAAAAGGGTTTCTCCACGGGCTTGGGCACAGGAGAGAAATAATTTGTGATTGTCTTGACACAATGACTGCCGCCATCTTTGCGAGATTTCTTGCCAGGCTGTAAAAAAAAAAAAGTGTGAAAATACATAATAAGCGTGTGAAAACATTTTGTTGCAGCTACTGATTGCTATAAAAACAGTAGAATCAGTGTCATAAACATACCTGTGTGTCAAAGTCCTCAATGACAGATGCCATTGCCACAACACCAGCCATAACTTTAAGGCACCTAAAGCAAAAGGAAACATTAGGTCGATGACAGCTGAGCAGACACTAAATAAAGTTATCACCCAAGTGGAATGGGAAGTCATTCTCCCAGTATATTAAACCCAGTTGGGAAGCTTTATCACGTTTACATTGCCTCTTTACCAAAGGAGACACCATAACCATAACAATGGTGTCTGCAGCGACTGAAAGATAACAGACTGCTGGGCAGCAGCATTAATACCCCCGTGGAGGAACTATTTAAGTCACTCCTCACGTGGCGCCTTCTAGCACGTAATAACGTTACAGTTGTTTACGACAGACCGAGATAAAGATAAAAAGGAAAACACTCACCGCTAAAACAAAAAATGAAATGAACGTGTAACTTCAGAGAGCCTTTCTCCCCTTCACTCCCCACAGCGTGCGGATAAACAACAGACGCAAAGCTCCCGGTGTGGTGCGGACAGCAGTGTGGAGCCAGCAGCCGTTCGAGCACGAGAGCAAAAACAACGAGCTAGCAGACTTCGGTAAAAGACGCTATTCTCACAGCAGCTGCGCTCCTCGCGCGCACCAGAAACGGACCCGACATGTCCGCCACGGACGTATGAAGGCCGACTGGGGGGAAAAAAACGCGTCACGCGGATATTCTCCGAATTGTTCCAGGGAGGACTTCAAAATACATGTTTCTGGACTTTGTTGCTCTTTCAAAAACGCGCCAGACCGGCCTCGAAGGAAGAGCGCCAAATATACGTGACGTTCGTCACGACCGCGTTCCACCAATCGCAGGAGAGGAAATGAATGCGTCGTAGCCTGACGTAGCCGGGCCAAAACCAAGATGGCGAGGGGTCTGAAAAACGGACGACTGCCTCTGCTGGCCACGCCAAGGCAATTCAACATGGCTGCAGGGCTCTGCACTCACCAGTGGTCAGTTTCCCTAAAGCGTTGAGCAGAAACTTCAAAAGCAGTCAGTAAATAAAATGTCTGCGTATTTGTAAGATGTTTATTATTTATGTTAAATGAGTTTACAAAGATTTTATTTAATTTCATCACATGGTTGTAACATGCCACACCCTGTGCAATAATGTTTCACCTTAGTGAAAACAACATAAAGTACGTGCTCTTTTACACAGAGGCACATGGTGTTCTGGGTTATCTGATATTTAAGATGTTTGTGCGACAATGTTTATAACCTCATAGTGACTAAAAGGATCGTCTACATACAAGCACATACTTTTTGCCCAGAGCACCCCCCCTGTTTTAGTATGTTTTATCTTTGAACTATATATTCCCACTCCGAATATGAACACCTTTGAATAGAACCTTTATTTTATACTTGTGTCAATACGGTCTCCCGCTTGCAAGTATTATTTAATAAATGTCCTGTTTAATGATTTTTTTACCTATGTTATTTTGTAAAAATAATTGGTCTTTTGAGCTGGATTGCTGACCTTCTTCCTTTCCTCACCCGTCTCATTAACAATGCTCTGTTATCTGGCTGTTTTCCCAACTCTCTGAAGGAGGCAAGCGTTAACCCACTCCTGAAGAAACCAACCCCCAACACATTTGAAGAAAACAACTAGACCGCTCTCTCTTCTTCCCTTTTTGTCCAAAACTCTTGATCGTTCTATCTTTAACCAACTCTCCTCTTATCTCCACCATAACAACCCGGGGTCAAGGAGGTAAAAGTCTTTGACGCACGAACATCTTGATTACCAGATAACATCATGTGGCACTGTGTGAAAGAGCACATACAGTACTTTCTGTCGTCTTAGTAATAATGACTAAGGCAAAACATTATTGCAGTCAGACATTTGCCTCCTGTTAATAGTAATTAAAAAGGAAAAATAAGTGTTTCCGGAATTTCACAAAAATATTAACGCGTATCCTCGACCATTAAAATCAATGTATTTTATCTCGCTCCTGTTCATCGTCAGCCTGTAGCTGTGTATTTGCGTGTGTGTGTTCGTATATGACCTGTTGTCAGTTGAAAGGGCCAACCCCGCTTGACCTTCATCTCGCTCCTCCACCCGAAACCGCCCCGTCGTTTGAGGCAAGCCCGGCCACCAGACGCTCGCTGTCAAGCCCTCCGTCTGGGCCTGGCTCCTTCCCTCTTCCACTTTTTCATAGAGTCTTTTGAACCATTCTTAGTCTGGCCCCTCGCCTGAGAACACTTTGGTGGGGGTCAAAAGGGGCGTTTCTAGACCCTAGGAAAGAAGGACCATGGGGCCACCCAGAATCATGATAAATGTCCAGGACTACGAATCAGTAAAGAAATCTTTTATTAAACAATTAACATATTAAAAAAAAATCAATAACATGACTATCTGAATGCAAACTTTACACACAAGATAGAAATAACAGAATATCATTTTCAGAATGATAAAAACGCAACTAAGCAAAAAAACAAACAAACAAGGAATTGAAGTGCAAAGGAAGAAAGGAAGTAAAAGTGTCTTTGAGACAGGTCACTGTGGTCGATACTCCAGGCTGGTGGTGGCACTACCCACGAGAAAATACCCCAAAACTAGATCAGATAGAAATAAAGAAGAGTGTGCACATGTGTCCACCGGGGCCTCACGCCTTTCTTCTGGTCATTCGTGTCGGTTCTCCATTTCCTGAGATCTTCAAGCGATCACTGGAAGAGCATCTGCAGCTTTTTCCCAAGAGAGTGTTTGATCACACCATTTTGTTGTTTACTGCAAAGAGTCCAGTGACTGATAAAATGTTAGAAAAGGAAATCAAACGGTGGCCAGCCCTTCAGGAGATTCTTAAACAATGTGGAAACCGAAAACACGTTTTCAACATCAGCGAAAGGGAAGATAGAACTCAAGTCACAACGCTTTTTAAGAAGATAGAAGAAATGGTTGCTAAAAGGGCCGGTGGTCACTATTCTATTGACAGTTGTGATGGACATTTTCCAAGTGAGGAAATGAAGGCAATGGTGGGTCGAGCATCTGAGAGGATTGCCAAAGTGCAGACAAGAAGAAGGGAACTCAAAGCCCTGATTGAAGGTGAGTCTGATCAACGCTTAATGTGGTTTATTGTGTCATGCAGAAAGCACCATTAATGCATATTTGGATTTTTTTACAGATACTGAAATCAATATTTAAAAAAAAAATGAAAATATATGTCAGCCAATATTCTTTAAAAACTAATAACAAACAATATTTTTACACTACAAAACTAATGATTCCTGTGATACTAAATATTCACTGATTTAATATAGCTCCTTACTGGCCTACACATAATCCTGTGTGATTTAATCCACAACACCTTATTTACACTTTTTTGATTGTTTGTGACGTTGTGTGGTCTTGTGATGTCCTTGGAGAGCGTCAGAAAGAAAAAAAGCCTGAAAAAAAATCATTAGATATGTTGTCCCCTATTCTAGGTGGCAAGACCCCTCCAAAACATTTGAAAATGGTGATGGTCGGAGCACAGTGGTCGGCCAAGAGCTCAGCGGGCAACACCATTCTGAGAAAACAGGCTTTTGCTGTTGATCACAACAGAACCACAAAAATCTGTGAAATGAGCCACAGCATGGTGGCGGACAGGCTTCTCACAGTGGTCGACTCTCCCGGCTGGTACTACAACAACACCCTTCATGACACCTGCAAGATGGATAAAGCTGAAATAGAGAACATAATGCATCTCTGCCCTCCCGGCCCCCACGCAGTGCTGCTCGTTGTCGGACTGGCTTCCGCGTTCAACGCATCATATTGGCAAGCGGTCCAGCAGCACATGCGTCTTTTCAAAGATGAAGTGTGGAATCACACCATTGTGCTGTTCACTCGAGGCGACTGGCTGGGGAGGAAGACTGTGGAGGAGCGCATAGAGAGTGAGGAAGGTCTGCAGTGGCTAGTGGAGAAGTGCGGAAACATGTATCACGTCCTGGATAACACCAAGCGCGACGATGAGGCGCAGGTGACGGAGCTCCTTGAGAAGATTGAAGAGATGTGGGCAGGAAACAAAGCTCCTCTTTACGAAGTGGACCTCGGCCGTGCAGAGGAGATGGAGGCGAGGAAAACGGCCAAAGGCGCGATGGCCAAACGGATCAGGAAGACGAGCCAAAGACAAGACAGAATACTAAGGGAGTTGTTTCGAGGTAATCAACATCCTTATCATCATTTTTGATTAGTTCAATTACCATTACTGATGAAAAGAATTTTTCCAGGGGAGAGGCAGTCAATCACTGACGTGAGGGTTGTACTAGTTGGCAGAAAGGACTCTGGGAAGAGTATGGTGGGAAACTGGATCCTTTCTGAAGAGCTATTTGACTCAACTTGGATGAAGAAGGTAACTAAGCATACTGCCTAAACTGAAATGTTATAGGAGCAGGTCTAGGATAACATGGACTTTGTCTTGTCTATATTGTATTGTTTTGCCATTTAGGAATTTCAAAATCAGCGAGGAACCACAACGTGTGTAAAACATGAAGGAAATACATCCGGAGTAAACTTCTCCGTTGTAGAGGCTCCAGGCTGGTCTAGAGATTTGACGGTACCCGACATGATCAGGGAGGAAGTTAAGCGCGGCGTCTCTATGTGTTCTCCGGGCCCCCACACTTTCCTCATAGCGGTTCCCCTTTCCCAATCCTTTACGAAGGCTGACTATGAAGCAGTGGTTGAGGTCTTGACGCCATTTGGTGAGAGAGTCTGGAGACACTGCATGGTGATGTTCACCTGGGCAGAATGGCTCAATAACAGATCCATTGAGGAGCACATTGCCGCAGAAGGCAAAGCCCTCCGGAAGCTTGTGGAACAGTGTGGGTTCAGATACCATGCCGCCAGCGGCGCTCGTTTTGTCTATCCATTTCCAATCAACGAGCTGTACCAGAAAATGCTCGTCATGATGACACGAAACAAGGGCCACTACTTTGCCGCTGAAGTCAAAAAGAAGAAACCAATGGCAAACTGGCAAGAGGAGTGGAACCGCAGGGAGCAGGAGCTGATAGACCGGATGTTGAAAGCTGTGGCGCAAGAACCTGACGAACCACTGCTGCCACCTGTGAAGATGACAGCTAGCTCCAATGGAGCCTTCCTCCCAAACTGTGAGACACCCCATTGAGTTCTGCTATCCATATGAACCCAGAAATGTTAAATATGTGCACCGCTGTTATGAACTTTTTCAACTTTTGTTTTCAGTTAGCAGATACCGAGATGTTTGGAGCCCAAAAGCACGCCACTGGGTATCAGAATGGCTGACTATTGGAGCTGTGAACTCGGAGGGCACCTCTGGGATTGGTAGCATGACTGCGAGTTACGCTGGGAAGTTGGAAAATGATCCACTGATGACTACGTTTTTTCACAGAAAAAGACGAAATGAAGTTAGATCCTCTCCACGGCAAATTCTTCACCGACGCCCAACGGAGGCACTCTCTTTAAGCAAAACAGAAGTAGCATACACAAGCAGGCAAAATGTTAGGGTAATGGGCCACACAATACAGTATAGGACACACAATACAGTATAGGACACACAATAGGAAAGCACTGTTTGTCAAACACTGTGTAGAAAATGTATCCAAGTCTAGTTGTATTACTTTCTCATGTTTGGACAGCTGATTGTCAGATCTTTAAAGTGATGTTTAAGGAAAATAATAAACTACTTCGAGCCTAGCTGTATTAAATGTTATTGTGTTAAATGTATCATGAAAACCTTGACTTACACACAAACGTATCACCATGTGTTTGGGCAGGTTTATAATGTATTGGTTTAAAATGCAGTAAAAAGGCTAAACAAGGAATACAAATAGAAGCTATGGAATAGTTCAATTATATGGGGGATATATAAAATAATCTAGAAATGTAATTAATGAATTAAATTTGCAGTTTTGATTATTGTATTATTCAATAAATATCTTTTAAAAAACAAAATACAAGATCATTTTCGTCATTCATTTCTTTCTTCATTTCATTTTCTACAGAGTAGGACTACTAAAGGACTCCCTGCCTTGTGTTTTATGTTGATCATTTAATAACAACGCAAAAGGCGAAACGCGAAAGCCCCTTCTCGGCCACCGTCGTCGGCTCCGACGTTCACCCGTTAGTTTTCATGACTTTCCTTCCTGCTGCCGCAGCAGCACCGACGGTTGTCTTTTTGCTGCCCTCTCACCAACCCTCGCCTTGTTCTCACCCGTCAACATGTCGGAGTACAACGCGGCGACGTCGCCCGGATCCGGGGACCCTTCGTGCGGACAAGCGGCTCTCGGGAACGGAGCAGGTGGCGCCAATAAAGATGCGTTCGCGGACGCGGTGCAGCGGGCCCGGCAGGTGAGGAGCGCGTCCCTCCGGCTCGTAGCGAGCGAGCTAACCAGTTAGCTTCGGGGCTAACGTCGTTAAACCGGGCTGGACACGTCACGCGAGGAGGAATGTCCGGAATCCGCGCGAATTGATCGTTGTTCAAGTAGCGTTGTGTCAGTGCTGTTTTAGCTAACGTTAGCTATCGACACTGCGCGCCCCGTCAAACCCCACAGGGAGAATCGGTTGTTCCAGACGCGATGAATTAAGCCAAATGTTCGTTTAATTAACGTCACATAGACTGTGGAGGCGGTTGATATAAAGTAATGCATTTCACAGCTCTTAACTACACAGAAAACCGTGCATCGAAATATAATAATGCGACAAAGTAGACGTTAACGTTACTATGACATCCGTACAATAACAAAACCTCCTCACCAATATTAACCATATTTAATCAATTAATAGAATGTAAAGCCAAATCATCGATACTAAGAAATTGATGATAGAAATGATTTGTTGAAAATATCAAATACTTAAATATATACCGAATACAGTCCAATCAGTACCGTAACTAATAAGTGTTTAAGGGTTTTAAAATCAATGTTTTTCTTTGCTCAATTCCCACAGTGAATTGTTTTTTCTCTTGTGTTTCAGATTGCAGCTAAAATCGGGGGCGACTCCGGCCCCCCTATGAACAACAACAATAACACCGCATCAGACGTCTTTGCATTCACTGCACAGAAACGACAGCTGGAGGACGCAGGTACCAGCGGCGTCTCCCTGATCTACTGACCCCTCACTCGCCGCCTCGGACAAAAGCGTCCGTACAGCGAATAAACATCGAGTGTTACACAGACACACGATCGCTGAAGTTATCTGTTGTTTCCCTCACCTGACAGACGAACCGGAGAGCAAGAAGCTGGCTGCAGAGAGCGACTTGGACTCGGCCAATGCGTTGTGTGAGTTCACCCCGCTGTGTTGCGCTCCGTTCGGTCTCTCCTCTATGAAATCAGAAACCGGAGTGTCGCCGGTTTGAGTCGCATCACAGACCAAAATACTGTGTATGTGGTGGCCGAACGCTGGGCTCAAACGCAGGGATTAGATGTCACCGCGTGCTCTGCTGTACGACAATAGACGTGGATTTACATTCTACATTAGCTGACTTCATCTAATATACACGTTCAGTCACGTTGTAGCCGTTTGCCACTTTATCTCTCATCTGTCCAGATGTGTTAATCCGTAATCCAAAACCTCTCCCTTTCTCTTTTCTGGTGTCCTCTCAGCGATTGGTTCCCAGCTAGCTGCTCTTGCACAACAAAGGTGAGACCTTTCACAGCTTGCAGTTGATTGCGCAGTATTATCGTAGCATCATAGCAGTGGATGTAAACAGGCTTGTGGTGTAAATAGCTGATTGTCTGATCTGTTGCTTCTTTTTCCTTCATTGTCATCGTCGCCGGGTGATGGCGTCAGGCCCGCCTCGAGCACAGAGGAGTTCAGTGTGCCAGACAGCATGGTGGGGCTGAGTGAGTGCAGCTTAACTGTTTCTGCACATTTTCAAGCTGCTCTGTGTAAGACACTGACGGATCCTTTATTGACAATGTGTACGGACACTTTGCTCTCTGTTGAAACAGTTATTGGCCGCGGAGGTGAACAGATCAACAAGATTCAACAGGAGTCCGGTTGCAAGGTTCAGATAGCGCCAGGTACCATCACCTCTGTAAAGTTACAGTTTTACATTTTTTAAGTTAAGTATTTTCTTTTTTAGACGTTGAACTAAAATGTCACGGACAAATGTTTTCTTTGTGTGTATGTCCAGATAGCGGAGGTCTTCCAGACCGGTGCGTCTCTCTCACAGGTTCCCAAGACTGCATAGAGTAAGTATCAGACTGAACGGAAATGGACTCGTAGTCTTTTTTTTGTGGAACCATGCAAAGTTATTACCCTTTAAGTGGGTTGTGCTCGTGTCCTCCATCACAGAAGCGAGGACATATTTGAAATGGTTTTGAAAACAACGTTTGGCCACATCAAACCTTTTCGTTACGATTTGAAGCGCGATAATTTCATACCGTTCTGTAAACCCAGTTACCTATAATGACACTTGTATCACGTGCCGTTACACCTCTTAAAAGCATCATTCTGTACAATGAAATCGGAGTAACTGGTAAATTTTGCCCTGGCCAGGAATGCCAAGAGGCTGTTGGATGAGATCGTGTCCCGAGGGAGGGGCACACCCCCTTCCTCTTTTCACGAGTCCACCAACGGGCAGAACGGCTCGGTGCATGAGATGATGATCCCCGCTGGCAAGGCTGGCCTCGTCATCGGCAAGGGAGGGGAGACCATCAAGCAGCTCCAGGTATAGTAAACGACTGTTCTGATGGCGGCACCTCGCTTAGTTTTGATGTATGAAAAAGTAGAGCGCCAAATGTATATGATATATTCCAGGAGCGCGCAGGCGTGAAGATGATCCTGATCCAGGATGCCTCTCAGGGACCCAACGTAGACAAGCCCCTGCGCATTATCGGAGATCCTTACAAAGTCCAGGTGCGTTTGTGAAATCATCTTGTCAGCATAAATACGAGGTGATGCGTTGCCATTTGTTGTAATCACAAAGTTTCTCCGTTCAGCAAGCCGAGGAGATGGTGCAGGAGATTCTCAGAGAGCGAGACCACGGGGGCTTCACTGACAGAAACGACTTTGGCTCCCGAATGGGAGGAGGCATGGATGTGAGTTTGTGGGAGGGAAGGAGGGAGGAGGAGCGGGAGACTGGAAGTGGGATTAGTTGTCTCGGAACCAAATCCAAGTTTGTTTGTTTTTTTAAGCACATGTTTCCCACACAGATCCCCGTACCGAGACACTCGGTGGGTGTGGTCATCGGGCGAAACGGAGAGATGATCAAGAAAATCCAGAATGACGCCGGCGTGAGGATACAGTTCAAGCAAGGTGATGACTTCCATGATCATGGTTTTCATCGATGAATATTCATCAATTCGTCAATGTAGAGACAACTTCAAAGTTCGATCTCTGATGCCAGTGACACCAAGCAGAGTTTTTCACAGGAGTTTGTACATAAAAGGTGTCGTCTTGCTCTCTTTTTGCTTTTCTATTGACTCAAGGTGCATTATAGACAAAGATGTCAGAAAACTCTTGCGTTACAAAGGAGAACGTTGTGTTGAGTGAGCAGGTGGCCTTCCTCCACGGCTGCTTTTTGTTCGTTGATTCTCAGAAGCACACGTCGGCCTCCCACGTGACTAACGGGATTCCGAATATCGGAGGTGCAGCTCGCTGAATATCTCGATCTCTCTTACAGACGACGGGACTAGTCCAGAGAAAATCGCCCACGTCAGCGGCCCCCCTGATCGCTGCGAGCACGCCGCCCAGATCATCAACGAGCTGCTGCAGAGCATCAGGGTCAGGGAGGAGGGACAAGGGGTACGGCTCACCCCCCCCAGACTGATGTTTAGCTTTGAAGCAAGTTTGCATCAGCAGTACAATAACAAATGATGTAATAACACAGAGGCTGTCTCTCTTTCTCTCCGTCCACAGGGTCCCCCGGGTCCTCCGGGCATGCCTGTGGGCAACCGGGGCCGAGGCGGGGGACAAGGCAGTTGGGGCCCCCCCGGGGGTGAGCTGACCTTCTCAATTCCTGCCCACAAGTGTGGGCTCGTGATTGGCCGAGGAGGAGAGAACGTCAAGTCCATCAACCAGCAGACGGGGGCCTTTGTGGAAATCTCTCGACAGCCGCCCCCCAACGGAGACCCCAACTTCAAGCTCTTCATCATCCGGGGCTCCCCGCAGCAGATCGACCACGCCAAGCAGCTCATCGAGGAGAAGATCGAGGCATTTCACGTTCTCGTTGTTTTGGGATGCACGTTGTGGAAGTCTTTTTGTTTGTTCTTCCCGATTTCACGCGCCATTGTCTCGTCTGCCACAGGGACCTTTGTGTCACGTTGGCCCCGGACCGGGCGGACCAGGTCCTGCTGGTCCGATGGGTCCCTACGCGGCCAACCCGTACAACCCCGGACCGCCCGGCGCCCCCGGAGCCTCACAGTGAGTAGCGACAACTAATGCGCGGCTGATTGTGTTGCTCTAGTTTAATGGAGAAATAGTTGCTCTATTAATCCTGCAAGAGAGAATTACAGATAGAAAATAGAATATCGAAATTACGTAAATGATTAAACAATAGTGCAAATTTAACCAATCAATTTAACCAACCAACAGTGTAAGTGTGTGACAGTTTTGTGACGGAGTCTTCTTGCAGTGGGAGGGGATGATCTCCTTCAGGTAGCATTTCAGGAGAGATTTCTCTGTCATCACGTCAGGGCGATGATCCAGAGAGATTATGAATAATGTCCCATTTATTTCCCCCTCAGTGGTGGTCCTCCGGGTCCTCAGCAGTACACCCCTCCGGGCTGGAGCAACACCTTCCAGCAGTGGCAGCCCCAGGCCCCCCATGACCCCAGTGAGTCACCTATTGACTTTTCAGGGACCAATGTTTGTTTTTCCCCCATTTTTAGCATGTCGAGTCAAAGCGCGTCAAACCCGCTACCCTACTTTCATTCCAGGCTGTAGGTTTTAGTGTTTACGTGTCCCAGACATTTCAGATGAGTAGTTGCATTTCTTCTTCTAAGTCTGGGAGGGTCAGCAGGAGTACTGATGGATGTGTTGTCATGAGATGCAGATGTCTTGACCTAAAGCTGCAGTGGCTAACGCTGTCTCTGTTTCCCCCCTGGTCTCCAAGCCCGGTCTCCAGGCCAGTAGCAGGGGCTCACCCTCACCCTATGAGGACCTCACACCCTCCACCCTGCCTCTTTTCTAGGCAAGGCAGCAGCCAATGACCCCAACGCAGCCTGGGCAGCCTACTACGCTCAGTACTACCAGCAGCCATCGGGGGCCGTGGCGGCCCAGTACCCCGCCGACCCGGCTGGAAGTGCCCAAACTTCAGCGGACCAGAGCCAGCCTGCTCATGTGCCGGGGGGCCAGCCGGACTACACCAAGGCCTGGGAGGAGTACTATAAGAAGATGGGTGAGCTGAATTCGCTTGTGCTGAATTGGTTTGGTGGTCAATCCACTGAAGAAATCAGTAAAAAAAACAAAAAGCCGATCAGACCAAAGAATTTGATACATTGTTTATCAGCAGAAAGAAATCACAGAAAATTAAATAAAACAGTTTATAGGGTCACGGTCAACCCAATGTTTTATCAGCCTAAATGTTTTTTTCCAGTAGCAATTTGTGCAGCACACTCAATGATCAATGACATTTACCATCCACTGCATTGCATTCTGGGGAGTTTGCTACATCTCATCACATTAATCCACAAACGAATGTGCTCGCATCTCTCCTCGTCCCTCCCCTTCAGGCCAGGCGGGGGCCTCCGTGCCCGGGACGGCCGCTGCGGCGGCCCCAGGTGCCTCACCGGCAGCAGCAGGGGGGGCGGCGTCCACGGCGGGGGGGCAGCCGGACTACAGCGCCGCCTGGGCCGAGTACTACAAGCAGCAGGCCGCGTACTACGGGCAGACGGGACAGGCCCCCGGCCAGCAGTCCACCCCCCAGCAAGGACAGGTTGGTTACAGGAGCCACTGCCCACCTGAACGCACGTTGGTTGATCCTAAGAAGCCGGCCCACTTTACACAAAGGATGTGCCTCCTTTCTATCGTTGGGGTTCTAGGCGCAGTGAGAGCTGGCGCCGGAAGGGAGAGGCTTCGGGACACGGGACGAGGACGACCATCTGCAAGCTTGAGGGCCGGGATCTTGCCTGTTTTCACTTTCTTGTGATAAGACAAAAAAAAAAACATCAGCCACACCACCGGGATACTTTTTAATAGAAATATGAACTGAACAAACGTTCTAGCGCTTTGCTGCTGAAGGGCGGGAGAAGGCTGATAATCCCTCCATGACAGGTGCACAGCTTCTCAGCGCTTCTGCATATATATATACATATACTATATATATATATATATATATATACCATTATGAACATGGAAGCCATGAAACGTGTACTTTATTACAGAGGGGTTGCCAACAAAGCTGTCTCATTTTCCTTTTATTAACTTCTTAAGACCCATTTTTATAACACCTCATACCCTTGTGTTATATTTACTGAATCGCACATAGCTATTAGGACTATAATCATATTGTGTATCTGGTACAGGTTAGAATACATCCTTTTTAAAGCTTATTTCATTTGCTCAATGTTGTGACTTAATATATCCCCCCTCCCCAGCCTCAGCATGGCGTTTCAGCACAGTTGGATTATTTTTGCTTTAGATGAATGCTGGAAAGTCCTTTGTACCAGTGAGCCTGTTTGACGATGCACAAATGAAATCCCGCGTTTTTGTGATTGGCGAATGCAGGCTGAGTAATAACAGCTGAAACGCCACCCGATAAAGAGGGAGGGGTGATCCGTCGCCTGTGACAATGTCTTCGTTGGGGAGGCCGTGACCGCTGGCAGGTCCTGAAAGGTGGCAGGAGTTATGGGGTATTTGTTCGGCCCCTGGATAAAAATGGCTTCCCTTTAACGGCCCTCGCCATGAATAGCCACCACTGTGAGGACCCCGACGTGAAGCAGCACCAGTCTGGCTCGTGTGGTCATGATTTAACAAACTTTCTCCTCGCTTTAGTTCCCTTTGCATCGTTACCGCACTCCATCCGCTTCTCGGCTTCTTCTGTCTCTTGAAAAGTCCATCCAGGAGAATGATGCTGTTTTTATATGAGTGATCTCATATACGCGTTGTGACCTTTGTGCGGAGGTCCCGTTGTCACCAGGCTGTGACGTAGTTTCATCTGGAAGTTGCACGTGGTTGCTTTTGTTAATATGCTTTGGTTTACTAGAATGTGTTGATCCTTTTTTTTCTTTCTTCCCAGAGTCATTGTGTGCAGCAGAATGAAAATGTAGTCTTCCAGTGTGTCTCACTTGACGATATATTGCATACATCCATATATTCAGCAATATAAGGCTGTTGGTTTTGACTTCCGGAGATGTATCAGGTATGAATCTTGTCTTATGATTGGCAGCTGTGAGCCTGCCTTTGGCAGCAGTGTTGATATTGTTAATAGACGACCACCAGCAGCAATACTCTGAATTAAATCCAGGCAAATGCCGATTACTGTAAAATGTGTGTTCAACATGTTGTCTTGTGCAGTATTTCAGTGTGTACATGCGATGGATCACCACTACGTGTCACTATTAGTCTTCAGGTCAATCCTGCAGAGATGAAAAACACAAAACAATTTCTAAAGCTCTCTTGGGGAATGAACGACCTTGGAGTCGTTTGGGTCGGCGGCACCCAAAGCTCAGAAACGTATCTGTGGCATGACCCACGCGTGTCATGACCCGTGCCGTCTAATACGTACCACTTTTACACATTCACACCTGGATTTCTTTAATGCAGCATTTCTATTGTGTATACATTAGTAACTGTACTGCACAAGAGAGGCACATCAAGTTGCACAACAGACAGAAAATAGTTTGTGGTTTGTCTGCAGCAGAAGTAACAACAGGGAGCGTGTGAGCCAGGAAGTCGCTGCGTTTAGATTTAGTAAGAATGCGGCTTCTCATTCGCGACCAGCTTCAGAGATGGTAAACACTACTGTAACGAGACATGTGGCCGTATTTATGAGAAAATGAATACGCAGGAGTGCAACTTTAAAAATTCTTTAATTTATATCTTTAAAATGAAAAACATCTGAATTGCATTCTACCATCTCAAGGCACAGTCATACTTATAGCAGACCAGATTCATAAAACACTGCCACCAAACATCTTCTTTTTTTTTTTTTTCCTCAATTAGTTTTGTACATGAGAAACTGATGCACAATAAAGACGACTAAGCACGTTGTCATACCGGGTAAACGATGTCCATTTAAAGGACGACGTGCTGGTTGCAAACAGCTAATGCTGAAAACACGAGCAGCTCTTTTCAAAGACAGTCTTCAAATGAATCCCCCGAAAGTGACACGTTGGCAACAACCCAATCTCGACAAACGGTGATTTAAGAAGGTGAACGTCTGCAGAAAAACGAAGCCGTTGGCGGGAGGGCGGAAACGCAAGTGAGACGACGACAGCGGCGTGTCGGTGGAAGACTGCAGAAGTTCTCACCTCTTCACCACGCGCAGCCAGATGTTGATGAAAGAAACACCAAAGACTTCCAAAGAAAAATGGAGAAAACAAAGTCTTATAACGGTCAGAGTTTAAAAGACAATATTCAATATGTGCAAAGAGGCAGAGCTTTAGCCTGTTTGTGGTAAAAGAAAATCCCCAGAGGATATGGGGTCGATAACCGAACGTACAATCACAAAGCAACAATGCACACACAGGTTGCTTACGATGTGTGACAACACGGCACCATACACTGCACAAGAGGTTCTTAGTGACAACAAAATTCAAAGTAGTGGATACATATACAGTAGAATATAAGTACATCAGCGTTCTTACTCAGGCACAGTCCTCCTCAAAACGTGGAAAGAGAATTTAAAAGCAATGGATTCTGGGATAAAAGCACACAGGTTTTGGCATACGACGTTGAAAGGTAAGTATGGAAATAAGGCAGGGAAATTAAAATATCAAAAGGGAAAATGAGGCCACGGAGGAACTTATTAGACGGAAAGGAATGCAGAACTTTGAACAAAAAAAAGGACACCGACACACACAGGACCTCTCTCATGGATCCAGATGTTCTATTAAAGAGAGGATTTTTGCAGCAACTAATGGGAGCCCCAATTCCACAGCCGTAGCTTCATCTTTAAGTGTGTGTAGCAGCTGTGACAGGCACTCAAGTGCAATATCTTTACAGGCAGATGAAATCCAACAACTCCACACACGTCTCCCAAATCAAAACCTCAATGCCTTAGAAAATATCTACAGAGGAAAAGAGTCAACACTTAGCAAGACTCACAAACACACACACGCACACACACCAGCATGGAAAACCGCGTTCAATCAGCCTCCAGAAGTAATGACAGGGTCATGTGACCCCCAGTGCGCGGACAGAAAACGGGAGACAGCGAGGCTACAGGTTGAGATGCGAGAAACCGAAAAAAGACGAAGAAAAAAAACATGCCTGGCATTAGTTATTTTTACAAATGGAAACAAACCAAGATGGATGAAGCCTGTTGCAGCGCTAGTGACTGTATTGAATCAGTGGTTGTGCCATCAGCGGCCCTCTGTGCAGTGACTGTGTGGGCTTGTTACAGTATGCACACATATTTACAGGCTCTATGTACATGTGTCGAGTCTATAAATTAGTGTTCTTTGTACATCCGTGCGTTTGTGCCTATTCGCCACAATCGAACGCACGCCGGGTTTAGTTGTCGGCCGACCCGGTCGCGAAGAGGACTCTCTGGTCCATCCGCGCCAGCTTGGCGGGCGGCTCCAGAGACTCGTCTCCCAGCACGCCGCCGTCCGACGGGAGGGACAGCTCCTGGCCTTCGTCGTCGCTCTCGTCGTCCTCTTCCTCTTCCTCTTCTGCAGTGGACACGGGGGGAAACGGGTTAGTGGCAGACAACGCAAGAATTGCATCAGGGGCAAAGAGCCCGAAAGGGTGGTTACCTTTGTCGGGATCCAGCTGGTGTAGACCTCGGCCTAAACTGGCAAACTGGTGGCAGGAGAGGAAGGTGTTATTGTTGTGAAGAAAGCTCACAACATTGAGTTTGTCTGTGTGGGTAAAGCGCTTTGGTACCTCTCCCATGACAGCAATGGGGGTCTCCCCTTTGGCCTGGGCCACCCTGTGCTCTATCAGGTAGTACATGTACTCATCGTACAGCAGGCGGATCAGGTGAAAGGAGCCGAAGCTGGCGGCGCTCCTCAGGGTCAGGTCCCGGATCACCATGGAGCTGGGGAGGGAGCAGAGGTCAGGGAGGTCATTGCCTTTTAGTGCTCCAAGCTGCTTCCTTGTCACTTAACCAGACGCAACGGGAAGTGTTTCTTGCGACAGAGTTTCTAGGCGTCAAAAGAATACTAGAATTCCCTTCAGCTTCTCCCATTTCTGTATTTTCAGCTATTTCAAATCAATTTCTGCTTTTCTAATATCTCATTTCAGGAAATGTATTAAAATTCCCTCCAATTTTCTGTATTTTCAGCAACTTTCTAAAGTTCATTTCAGCTTTCAGCTTTCCAACACATTTTCAGCAGGAAATGCATTTTCTAGTTATTCAGTCATATTTATACAAACTACCTAATCCGTCTGTGGGATTTATTTTACTGAGTTCTGAGCGATGATGGTTGAGATGACGCGTTCCTTACAGGGGTCTCGCACAGCATCATCGACGGAGAAAACAAAGTTGAGTGGAAATCATCATCAAGTCTCCCGTCGCACCTGTAAAAGGACCACTTGAGAAGGAAGAGCTTGGCGGCCTTGGGGAAGGCGGGGCTCTGCTGGTAGGGCTTTAGCACCTGGGACACCACGCCGTCCAGCCACGCCGCCCACTGCTCCAGGGAGTTCTGCTGCTGGAGGGTCAGCTTGAAGTCCTGCTCCAGCCGCTGAACCACGCGGTCTTCACACCGGCACACCCACGAAGCCTGCTCCTGCAAGGCGGACAGAAGGCGTCAGCGGGAAGCAGTTACTCAAGAGGGCGTCAGCATCGAACCCGTCAGAGACGTGACCGACCTGGACGTTGGCGAAGTCGACGCGGTTGAGGTCGGACAGCATCTGGTTGATCTGGGCCGTGTTCTGGAGGACGGCGCGGGCGGCCTGGGCGAGGTGGTTCAGGCTGGTGTAGCGCCGCAGGGTCTGGGCAAATGCATTGGCTGACGTTACCTGGAGGGACCACAAGGAGAAGCGGATAAAAGGGACGGGTGAAAAATACTTGCGGCGGAAGATGTGAAGGCTCTCTGCGGTCCTGGTGTCATCAGAAAGCTCGTTCCACCATTTAGGAGCAAGGAGAAGAGTCGTGATCTCGTCGAGTGTTTTGCTCTCAGTGAGGGAGGGACAAGCAGTTTGGGAGATGTTGATTTATACCGAAGCAAAAATTGACAATTTATACTGTGTTTAATGTTTCTACAAGGAAATATTATTGCCCCGAAATAAGCAGGCAAGTAATAGGACAGTATTCCACGTCAAATCAGCCGCAGCTTTTTTTAGTTCGTTGCTACTTCGGCACTCTCTCCGCAACAGATTTCACGATGGCTGAGCCTGCCAGCGTAAAAAAAAACACTCCATGGCTCATGAAGTGTGTAGTTCCACCAACTGCAAGCTAATCCAAGGAGTGTACCTTGATGCGGACCATTTCCTCCGGGATGTTCATCATGGCGTTGGTCAGCCAGCTCTCCAGGCTCTTGGCAAAGTTGCGGATGGCTTGAGTTAAGGCACCTGGGGGAGGCGAGGGGAGAGGGGATCAAAGACTTCAGAGTACGGTTTCATTTTCCTCAGCCCACGAGAATGTTCCAGGACAAAGGATCAGAATTCTTGGTCGGCACACGCTTAGTGTACGGCCATGTTTCTGTGCAGCAGGAACAAACCTGTTTTTAAGTAATTATATTAAAAAGCTTCCAGTGTTACACATCAATGTGATCTTTGTTCTCATTAGTAAATCCTACCATTTGGCTCGGAGTAAAATAATGTCTCTTTTAGCATTTACTGTAGATACGGATACTAGTGCTGTAATTAAAAAATGAAAGTATTTTTCTTATCGGTGTGGGCACCTTTCAGGTGTAAGTATTTCACGGTGTGCATATTACTGTTCGGCACCATACTATTTATATGTTGTGCATCATCACGCTGGTTGTAAGGCCTTACTGGGGATGGGCCTGAGGACATCAGGGATGAGGATCTCCACCAGAGCCTGGTACAGGCTGTTGTCACAGTCCCGGCTCCATCGCAGCACCGGATCGTACTTGCACAGCAGCACCAGACACGACTTCGGGAGCCGCTTCTCCGACTCGTCGTGGCTGCGAACGCACAGAGACGCACGCCAGTTTGTAATTACCTGCATTCCAGTGTCAAATGGTTGTGCTTCTGCGCGAGGAGAATCCTCTCACTTTGGTTTGGGACTGAATTTTGAATAAGTTTTGCCCACTCACACAGCCAGCGTGGCGTCTCCAGCCTGATTCTGGCTGAACCTCCAGAAGGTCTTCCACAGAGTCTCCACCAGGGTAAACTGCAGGTTGACCATCACATCTAGTATCGCCTGAAGGAACACACACGTCGTATAAACAGCACATTCGTATTACCACGCGATCAATCAGACGGACACAAAGTGTGGGAAAAGAAGGACATGATCTATTCATGTTTTATTTTTCTCCTTCTCACAGCTTTTAGTTCTCCAACACAATTGCTCATGCAGGGTTCTTTCAGCTAACGGATTTCCTTTTATTCACTCACCTCACAGTGCTCCCTGTACAGCAGCTGGAAGCTCTTTATGTGCTCCAGCTCGATTCCCTCTGGCGGAGACTTCCCCTGGAGGTCGATGTCTGGGAAGTCTGGGAGAGCTAGGGATGCATCTGGAACACAAGAACACTGGCTACTCAACGGGGAGCCATAATATTACTGTGACTAACTGCAATCGTATTACACTGAAAGTTGTATGTACATCAACAATTTATCCAATATCACCGTCAGACTCATAAATCCTTTAGACAAACCATCACTTCCACACCTGTAGGTACAGTCAGGTCCATAAATATTTGGACATTGACACATTTTTCATTATTTTGGCTCTGTACACCACAACGATTCAGTTGAAATGAAAACAGATGTGCTTTAAATGCAGACTTTCGGCTTTAATTTGAGGGTATTTACATCCAATTCAGGTGAACGGTGTAGGAATTACAACAATTTCCAATGTGACCACCCTCTTTTTAAGGGAGCAAAAGTAATTGGACAATTGGCTGCTCAGCTGTTCCAAGGTCAGGTGTGTGTGTGTGTGTGTGTGTGTGTGTGTGTATTTCCCTCGTCATTTCATTTACACAGAGTAGATAAAAAGGTCTAGAGTTCATTTCAGGTGTGGTATTTGTGGAATCTGTCCAAAGAGCTGTCGCTATCAGTGAAGCAAGCTGAAAAATCGAGAAAAAAAAAAAACACTCAGAAAAAACACACTGGTGAGCTCAGCAACACCAAAAGACCCGGAAGACAACTGCAGTGGATGACATTTGGCCAGATGGCCAGATGAAGAACAGTCTCCAGGAGGTACGTGTATCTGTGTCAAAGTCGATAATCAAGAGAAGACCAAAGAGTAAATGCAGAGAGTTCACCAGCCTCAAAAACAGGAAGACCAAATTAGAGTTTGCCAAAAAGCATCTAAATGAGCCTGTGCAGTTCTGAAAGAACTTCCTACGGACAGATGAGACAAAGATAAACTGATGGGAAGAGAAGAGTATGGAGAAGGAAAGGAACTGCTCATGATCCAAAGCACACCACCTCATCAGTGAAGCGTGGTGGAGGTAGTTGTAGCAGGCCACAGCCTGCAGACTTGTTTTTTTCCATCTGGCTAAAATAAAGACGGCGGGGCAAGGAGAAGGTGAGAAGATTGGACACACCTGCAAGTGAAAGAAACTGACACAGGCTGCATGCCATAGGAGTGAGAAGAGAGGAACCAACCAAACAGGAGATCGCTGGTTGCTGACCTTGTGGAGTTCTACGAGAGGAGTACTAAAAGACCTGCTCGACACTGCAAGCGGAAGAATTGGCCGGAGAGATCTTTTGGACCGCCCTGGACTACGGCTCGCCGGGTCGATCAGGGAAGCTAGTTCCCCACAGAAACACCTCTCCGGATTCCCCAACTCACTCTGACCACCCCACACGGCAACCCTCCACTCAACCCAACACTCACCGTCCTCTACGATAACACAACATTTGACATTATCTGGACTCCGTAACAGACTTTGATCAAAGGACTTTCTACTTTATTATTGGTGTGCTTTAACATGTGTTTTTCTTAAACTGCTGTACCTTAAATGATATAACCCCCATCAAAAGTTATGTTTGAATACAGCTGTTTTCCCTGAGTAGATGGGCTTCCTGATTTGGTCTTTGATTTACTTTACATTTTTGCAGCAGGGGTACCCAGCTGGTCGGGTACATTATTGTGCATTTTACAAACGATAGTATTTAAAAAAATGACAGGGAATAACGTGGGTTATTTGCCTGTCTGGCGCCCAACCTATCCTTCGTTTTAAACACGCACCCCTAGGTTACATAGTGTTATGGAGTGAGCCTTTATGGCTGCCAATGGAACTAGTGCCCTTGTATTTGATTGGGTGACTGCTGACAAAAGCAGCAGGATGAAGTTTTTCGGGCAATATTATCTGCTCATATTCAGCCAAATGCTTCAGAACTCATTGGACGGCGCCTCGCAGTGCAGATGGACAATGACCCGAAGCATTCCGCAAAAGCAACCAAGGAGTATTTTAAGGCAAAGAAATGTTCTGCAATGGCCAAGTCAATGACCTGGCCTGAATCCAATTGCGCATGCATTTCACTTGCTGAAGACAAAACTGAGGGGAAAATGCTCCAAAACCAGCAGAAACTGAAGACGCTGGCAGAGCATCACCAGGGACAAAACCCGGCGGCTGGTGATGTCTATGGAATCCAGACTTCAGGCTGTCATTGACTGCAAAGGATTTTCAACAAAGTATTAAAAGTGACAATTAGATTTCTTAAATTAATTTGTCCAATTACTTTTGGCCCCTTAAAAACGGTGTGGCCCTTTGTAATGTACAAAGGGCCACACCGTTTTTGGGTGAACGGTGAAGGAAGCACAACAAATGTTGTTGTACTTCCTTCACCGTTCACCCGATTCGGATGTAAATACCCTCAAATTAAAGCTGAAAGTCTGCACATCATGATTTTTTTCAACTCCATTGATGTGGTGTACAGAGCCAAAATAAAGAAAAATATCCAAATATTGATTGACCTGACTTTATGTGTTCGCTCTACACACCAAGGAACTGCTGGTACTGCTGAACCTGGGTGCTGATGTCCACCTGCCCGGAGCCCTGCTGCTGGTTCTGCTGCTGCCCTGCTCCTGCTGCTGTGCCATTGGTCAGCCCCTCTACTTTGTGCACTGGCTTCAACCTGCCAGGGGTGGGGGTAAAGCACATTTGATAGGGTAGATTAAACACTCCGATCTGCATGTAGGCTTTAAATAATAAAGTGAAATGAAACGGGAGGTCCGTCTCATCGGCCGTGAGGTGAGTTAATGGAGGTGATGGACGATGGATGTGTGCGCACCTCTGTTTCTGTGAGAAGGGCTGCTGCCTCATGGCCAGATGTTGCTGGTCTTCCATCAGGCGGAGAAGAGAAGAGCCGGCCTTGATCCTCAGGCCGTAGTAGTGGTATTTAGAATTACCCCTGTCGGGAACAGATTTGTAGGTTTTCCACATCACATTCCCGTCTCCCAGAGTAAATATATTGAGGAGAGATGTGAGAAGAGAGGGTTTACGTCGCTCCCCGTAGTCTCAGTACTGGTATTCAACTATACATGTTTTTAACTTCAGAGCATTTGATAAGCGAACACATCTCATTTAAAACCTTTTAAAAGTCAATCTTGCTCGCCCACTTTCACTTCCATTATGAAACTTCCTCACACCCACACACACGCCTATCTGTCTTCATCTGTACGCACATTTCTGCCTACACCACGCAAACCCTCTGCAATGCTCGAAGGATTCTAACCATTACAACAGGGTGTGTATTAAAACCACTGAGTGTGTGTGTGTGTACTGTCATGTCTTCCGTTCCCGTACCGGGTGCCCAGGCGTCGCGTGCGTAGCCCCATGAACACGGAGCGAATGAGTTTCCCGAAAGACGCGGCATTGACGGGCTCCAGTTTCTGCTCCTGGCAGTGCAGCAGGTAGTGGCAGTAGAGCGTGGAGCGCGGCAGACTGACGCCTTCAGCTGTCTCGTAGTTGTCCAGCAACCACTGTACCTGACACGCAGGCAAAGACACAGAAAACAGCTGGTGCAGTCAGCAAAGCCAATAGATACACTCCGACCCGTGCACGCGCCAAACTAGGCACCAACACACTTTTCGGTTGTACAGCACATGCAATCACATAGCTTTACGTTCACACTGTGTCAATCTGTTTGGGGATGAAAACACAAGTGCGCCAAACTGAGCTCGGCCACCTGTAACATATGGGCTTCAATGGGATGAATTTGGCATGAGCAGTATGTTTTGGGGGCATTTCAGGCAAAAAGAATACTCATCTCATGCACTGTAATGATATGAGAATGATGAGGTTTTGTTTCCTTTCAGCACAGCTAGAAAACTCTGCTGGCCACAACACATTTTGATGTGATACAATCCTCAAAAGCATTGTCATACTCAAAGGTATCGTATCGCCCACGGCCAAAACTCTCCGCTCCTCCTCCTAACAACCTCCACATTTTAAATTGTGCTTTCCACGGGACAAAACGATGACACATCATCCGTATGTGCCACCAAAGTGGGGAGAGGGGGGACTGGGGGGCCCCTGGGGGATGAGAACAAAACTCGAAAAAGTTCCTGCGCTTGGCGCCTCTGCATACCTTCTTGTCTGCCGACGGCACGCTGCTCTCCTCGCCCTCCGTCATACTCACAGTGGCCGGGGAGGCGCGGGCGGTGTGCGAGTAGCTCTGACTGTTGCCCGCTGCCCCTCCGCCGCCGCTGCCCAGCATGTAACCCCCCTGGATCACATAGCTGCCCGCTGCGCCCCCGTTGGTGCCTGCCCCGTCCACCGACCCGTTGGGGGTGCCCCCCGCGGTCACCACCGTGGCCCCGCCCCCCGCCGCACTTGTGGGCTGGGCCACAAACATGGAGACGCCCCCCGCTGCGCCAGCGGTGACGGAGACGGTGATGGGCGTGCCGGGGGTGGAGGCCTGTGAGCCTGAAGCTGGTTGACCTTCATAGTACTGGGCAGTTGTGGTCTGGGTGTACAGGGCGGCGTCGGTGTACGGGAAGGCGCTGGAACGGCTGGATCAAAGACACGGAAAGACGCGTGAGGGACAAAGTCAACCGTGAGATGGGGACAGGTTCTGCGTTGACACGCGTTAGCTACTGATGGGCACGGTCTCATTCTGACATGGTGCTGGTGGCGTAGTTGGCCTCTCCTCCTTCCACGTACTGCACTTGGTTGGCATACACATGTTGCACTGGCGTGAGCTGCTGCTGCACCTGAGGAATGAGCGCACACACACAAACTCTGTGAATCCTTTTTCCCCCTGAGTTAAAGCACTATTTCCAGCCTGACAATCTGCTCACATCTTGCATACACAGTTGCTTTTGAGGTTATAACTTTGAGCTGTGGACATATTCTCTGGCTGTATAGCCCTTGTGTCCCTGACCTACTTGGAAAGCAGAAGTTGCATCTTGCGACGGCGGCTGAGAGAGGCCTGCGCTTGTGACTGCATGGTGGGCTGCTCTATCCTGTGTCTCAGCAGGCGCAGGGGGCCAGTAGAGGCACTGGCAATACTGGAAGCGGTCCGAGAAGAGGCGGGTCGGCACGCAGCACTCTCTGGGGTAATGTGCCAATACGTGGGCCTGCCACTCTCGCTGTTCTACCTCAAGTTGATGCTGCAACTCTCCTAGATTCGCATCCCTGACTAACGCTGCCAGGTCATAGCAAGGGAGGAACTGGAAGCAGTTTCCACCACACATGTGATTAGTTGTCTAAAACGAAGCCACAGTGTGAAGAAGTTGGATGTTGCATGTGATCCCCTTTTGTTATTGTCAGACAGCCACATTTACCAGACAGACTGTGTGTGCGTGTGTGTGTTTGACTGACCTCCTGGCTGATATGAACAGGCTGTAGACTGGTGACACTCAGAGTGCCCGGCTCAGTCTTGGCTATCTGAGAGGTGGCCTGCACCACTGACCTCTGCGGAGATAAAGGTGATGTACAGTTTTGATTACGCCCACATTCATTTCATGGCGTGTTTGTGCGAGCGTGCATTTGTATACCTGCTGAGCAGCCTGCACTTGCTGGACAACCTGCGTGGGAACTCCGGTTTGCACCACAGCTGGAGGGGGGCTGGAGTCTGACAAGCTGTCACTTGAGTGAAGGGAGCCCTCTTAACAGTGGGAATGTAAATATAATCACAATATTTTAATTTCATGAAGTTGTTGCTATTTTTGACCTCTCATTTCACCACTCAAGTATTTATAACTTACTGCCCTTAACTACAGTGTTATTAGTTTTTTATAACGGCTGATCTCACTCTGTAAAATATACAGCTGAAAAATGAAAGACACCATAATAACTATGGTTACTCTATAAACCAATGGAGTTCTTTAAAAGAACCTATCAAATATGGATGTTTTAAGTACACCACTGCTTCGTCCCCGAGGGAATATCATGGTATGTGTCACGGTTTGGATTCATGTCCTGCTTTATTTTGTAGTTTCTTGCCTCTTGTCTCCCTGGGTAACTTCACTTCCTGCCTTGTCCTGTCCTCCCCTGTGAATGTCTGCCGTGTCATGATTTTTTCCACCTGTGTCCAATCACCTGCACCTCCCTAGTGTATTTAAGCCGTGTGTGTCTCTTGTCACATCATTGTTGAATGTCTGGAAGTCCATGTTGAAGTGTTCCCGGTTCTCGTCTGTGCTTTTGCCCCCCCGCATCCTGACTTAAAGTCTTTTTTGTTTCAAAACTCAAAAGCGTTTGAGTCCTGCCTTCCCTGCATCCAGACAGCATGCAAAGCTCTGATCTTACCTGTGACTGTGACAACAATGTACTGAGGAGTGCTGTGAGCATTTCCGGTCTGTGTGGGAGAGCCCTGGATCTCTGCAGTCACATACTGTGTCTGCGGAGGCTGGGCTTGTGACGTGGACTGGACTTGAATAACATCCGCCGGCTTCGGGGACGCAACTGAAGTGGCCTGATCAGCGGGGGTAGTTTGGCCCGTGGGTGTGACGACAGTGGGAGTGTCCACGGCAGTGTGAATCTCAGCCAGATACTGAGGGGCAGCCGCGGGGCTGGAACCGGTATCGGGTTGCCCCGCTGCCACAGTAGCACCGGCCCCCTGGGGTTGGGCCGCCGGCTGGATTTCACCTACGTAGCCTGAGGTGGCCATTTCAAGAGCTGGGAGTCACTCTAGGAAAAAGAAACTAGCGATTAGTTACGCATGGTCACAATAGTTACAACAGATGCTCTGAATGCTCCACTATGAGTTCCAGGACGAATCTTGGAAATGTCCAGTTATATGGCTGGAGCACAAAGTCATTCAGTGGTTGAAGCCTGTGTACGATCATTCAAATAAAGACAAGGCAGAGGATCTAGTCAGAGTTTGGAACGTCTTGAGGGTGTAATGTAACAGCTGTTTAAATATTACATTGGAAAAGTTTAACTAAACAGAGTAATACATACATACATACATTGCACATACTTTGGGGTGGGCAGTAAAACCTAAACACAACACAAGTCATGTTGGCTGCAGGATCACTTGAAGGTGTAAGTGGAAAAGAATGATCAGCCCCCTCAACACACACCCACACATGTTTTAATTATTACTGTAGCTGGCCGGTTGGTGGTGCAGCTGATGTGGGAGGGAGAAGCCTTGAGGGTAACAAACATGTCGGTGTCTCATTACCTGTAATGTGATCTCACATCCTGCGGCCATTCACACGTCAAGTTGGGAAAATCCCATACCACGTTGCAGTAATATACACAGTAATATGTCATTCACTTGTAATAACGCATGTGTGGTAACGTCGAATGTCACAGACAAATGAGGATATTACATGTATGTGATTAGTGAAATAAATGCCTACTGTATTTTAATACAGTTGCCTTGATCATTATTATTATTATAAAGCTCGCGTCTTTAATAATCTCTCAGAGGAGGGGGGGGGGGCATATTCTACACTGTGTTTTCAAAACAAAACAGTTTTTTATTTGACCTTAAACGGCAACAAGCAACAACAGCCGTTAACGCGACGAAGAAACCCGTTGAACCAGCTAGACGCGGACCTGCAGAGCACCTGCATTAAAAAACGCCTTCTCTCGCCACGCCCCTCACATGCTAAATGTCCGACACCTGCCGTCGCTACCAACGTCCCATCTTTGGCATTTCATTTGCCGGTTGATCTCACAAAAAACTGCCTAATCGTATTAACTGTTTTATGTTGACCATCCCTCTGTGACCCAACGTCCTGGAGCGTTACGGAGGGACGGGTTTTTTGTGCCGGGGGAGGGAGGAGGGAGGCGGCGGGTACTGAATGAAACGTATCGAATGAAACCGCCGCGGCATGCCCGTTAATTGCCGTTCAGAGAGGGGAGTTCCCGTTACTGCTAACGCGTTCAATTAACCGTACGTTGACGCCGAGCGGCGGCGAGCCTGTCGTGACGGCACCGAGGCTAGCTACCTAGCAAGGCAACACGGGCAGCAAGCTAACTGGTCTCTATAACAACCGCCATTTTGTACCTTTTGCATTTGACATCGCCATAACAACGGCCTGCTTGAGTATGCGTCTGTGGCTGCGTCGTCATGGCAGGCGCAAATCGGTGTCCCTCAAATAAGCAGCGGATAGAAACGACCTCCTTCACGAAACCGACTCAACTGATTTATCAATACGAAGACTAGCTTGCAGGCTAACCTCGGCTAACACTGGGAGGCAGTTGCCAGTTATGGCTACTGACACAAGGGAAAAAAGCAATAGCACAATTCAGTTGAACCATTATTGGACATTAAATCTGTTCTATATGTAAAGAGCTTCACCTCTGTATCCACGTGTGTATTGTCCACCGGTTAAATGTCTTCTTTTATTTTTTTTATGGCGGATTCAGTTGTTGTTGTTGATTCTCGTTGCTGGGTTCTTGTCGCCAGGGCTACCGTGGCTATGGCGCTTCGTCCTCACCAGGGCAACTGTTGCTACCCACCCGCTCCCTTCCCTCCCCCTCCGTCGCTCTGATTGGCTGAGTGCTGCCAAATTGTCTTAAAGTCAGAGACGCAGCAGATCTCCACCAGAGCCTTTTAAAGAGAGAGTTGCGTCAAAGGAAGTTGAACCTGGTGGTTTGGCACGTGATTTGGATAGCTAGACTTCAGGTAATTCCAGGAAGACCTTTTCCGGGCAATATGCAGCGTAGCTACCTCAGAGTAGTATTCATTAAAAACTATCGTTATTCATTAATATGCATAGACATGCATATGTAGATCTTCCTTTAGTGAGATGTTAATGCCTGTTGGCGAAGTTGCAGATTGTAAGCAAGAACATTCTCCGTTGGAAGGACGAGTATCTTTAGGATTGTACAAGAAGCTATCTGTTAACATTATTTTAATCAATTTAGTGACGGGAAATCCACTAAAATACTTACAACACGAACAGCACATTTTGCTTGCTAACAGAACTACTCAGAGGCTGAACAAGCAGCCGTTGCTGTGAAAAACAGGCCTATTGGAGTGAATGCATATTTTGTGACTTGGCTCTGGGTTCTACCATTAACGCCCTATTGTACGACATACCTGTCCAACATAGACACACAATATTTTACAGCATGCGGATGCTATTCAAGTGGAAGAAAAGTTTATTTTGGTGTCAGTTAACAATTCAATACTGTCACAGTAGTCTCTCAAATGTAAAATGGGCAAACAGAACAATGACAGCACCTGCTGTGTAATGAAACATTTTTTAAACTCCATTCAAAATTACCCCGGGCCATGTCAACAATATATTGTTGCTGGATATTGCAACTATTTATAGTGTGAATTGTTGACACACAGCACATTCATTTGAAGTTAAAAGTATGGGCTACTGCGTTGTCACATTGCTGCCATGACCTCCACAGGTCACGTCTGTGACTATTGTTCATGAATGTCAGGGTGGAAACCCTCCTACAATGCCATTTTGTTTGCTTGTTATCGTCACATTAATTACAAATTCATGGTCCCCATTTAAAATTCTCTAAATGAGCGACCTTTGACTATGTGGATACACAGATAAAAATATGTTTTATTTGTGTCTGACTCACAATAGGACTTCTATGTTATCTGCTTTTGGAAATGTCGCTGGTCCGGTCTCAGTTCTCCCAGTTCACCTTTAGGCAAAGATATGATAGAACAACCCATTTTTGAGAGAAAAGAAAATTATACACACTGAAGGTACGCAGGGTTTTTTGTTGATTAAAAATGGAAAAGCAGATGTTAATTATTGTGATATTGGTCACAACGGCTAAAATTTAGCCTGCAGGGAATGTTATCAGGGAATCCACGGCAACATGTGTAATTAAGCCTGAATCATTGATTTAAGGTATTAGGCTAATTTCAGTTTATCGTGCATTTCCTTTCTAATTTTTAAAGAAATAACCTTTACAATGCCCCTCTATTCTTGGGACTTAATATTTTGATATACGTGCTAAATATTTTGATCTATGTGGTAAATACACCTATCGGGAGCCAACTTGTACATTATTTCTTAAAATTTGATAAATCCTTTAAAATTCTCTTTTTTTGTATGATTAATCGACAAATGTATACATCAATGCATCTTACAAGAAAATGAATTGTATCTGTAAGGAAAGGACATCACAATATCCATTGATATGGCAATAGTGTCACGTCAATTTAACAAAGAAAATGTATTTTTTCAAAATATCAAATGTCTTTTGAGAAACCCATAAAACCAGGGTTGTACTTGCTCAATGCAAGCCAAAACTTTTTCATGTGACCGAAGCCCATATGTTTTTGATTTAGTTTGACATCAATGTCAATATGCTTTCGATATTCACATCCTCAGCACAACCCACAATTAGGGGATGCGTACATATTGAATGTGAGTTATGATGTCATAACATTGAGGGACTTTAGAAGTGACAAAAGTGCTTCCTGTGCTGAAAACCAATTATATCATCCGACATTTTGGTTTATTATGCCACCTTTGGTCTCCTTTTTGTCCCCATAAAGGTCTCTGACGGTATCTCTTTTTCATATCTGTTTTTCTTGCGGAGACGGCCTGCGTGCGCAGTGTGCAGACCCCTTTATAAACCACGCCTGGGTCAGCTAGAAAACCATAGCTCTTTCAAACAGGGAGACCAAAAGCTAAGTGGTGCTGAAAGCAAACAACATTTGGACCCCTTTCTGTTTTGCTCCGTCTCTTTGTGCCGCTATGTGGAAAACTGTGCTACTGGCTGTGTGCCTGCTGGTGGCTGAGGTCCAGCCCATGGTAGACCCAAACTATGGGGTGAAACTGTGTGGCCGAGAGTTCATCCGGGCCGTCATCTTCACCTGCGGAGGTTCACGATGGAGACGATCACTCAAGAGCGCAGGTGAGAGTCCATGATGAAGCCTCTTTCTTTACCTTCCGGTCATTTGTGATCGTGTGAAATTCTGCAGAGAAACACATGCCGTTGATTAACGTTAACAGAGGTTATTTTCAGTGCAGACGGACGGGAAACACTATTGATGACGTTAATGAACAGCATTTTTTTTAAAAGTTGTCCTAGTGGACAATCTGTGTTGGAATCAGAGAGCTATGATTCTCATTTCCCTGAGATGTATCATGTGGAAGCCCTGAATAGAAAAATCCCTGACCCTGAAACAATTCTACATCCTACAGGTCCTCATTGCAGATAATGGAATGTGTTATTTAAGTGTGACAAGACAAAAACAACAATATTCTGTCATTTTGCTGCAGACGTTTCAGAGGACCCCTTCAGCTCCCCTCAGGAGGAGTCCGCCGAGGGTCTGAGTCCCAACAACGTGGTGGAGAGGCTCCTCCAGAGGGACAGAGACCTGAGCTTCACAGCCCGAGACGACCAGGAGGGGTTCTTTAAAAGGCCGACCCGTTCGTTCATCAATGAGGAAATCCTAGAAGCCCTGCGCAACGCTGACCGCAAGGGCCGGGACGTGGTGATAGGCCTGTCCAACGCCTGCTGCAAGTGGGGCTGCAGCAAGAGCGAGATCAGCTCCCTTTGCTGAGGGTCCAGCTACTCAGAGAACACAGCGGCGGACTTATACGTACAAGCGCACAAACAAAAGACACAACACCCTCTCGTATGTTTCTCGTCAAGCCTTCTCTTTGTAATGAACCGCCTTAACTTTATAATCTTCAACCAAGCTGTTTTGTCGTTCACACGCATCGCAATTAACTTCTTTCATTACGAGCTGCGTCTGAGAGTCCGACAGAAAGAATTATCATTATGTTTTCATTTGACAACAACTGTAGATTCATTCATTAATGCGTAATCTTGTTTGTCAATTAGAAGTAGAATGTTGTTTTTTTCAATTTGTTTCTAATCAGAGTACTAATTGGGTTAAAGGTTCAGATCCACAATAAAAAATGTATGAAGAGAAGCCATGTCATTGCACATTTAAGTAATGTTGAGGTTGCGTCTTTCTTCAATTGCTGACTTCAAATAATCTCACTTTGCCTGAAATATGCTGTGTGGGCCTTTTTTGCATTCCGTGCTGCACGAATGCTGAACGTACTTACGTATAAACACTGTTTAAAGTCCTCATCAGCAACATTAGCTTAATGTAACAAAAGAAAAAATATCTGCATTAAAATGGTTCATACTGGCTTGTTTTTCTGCAGCATTTCAATGTTATAGTCGGTAGAGGCTAGAGACTTCAGACTAAATCTGAAAAGTTGTTAAATGATTCATCTTGCAGGGAGAAAAAAGTTCTACAACAGTTATACCACACAAATCTGCATGACTTCATGGGACTTTTCTCTAAGTGTGCCTTTGTTTTTGTGAATCAATGGATGATAAAACTACTTTGGGCGTTTTCAACGACTATTCACGTAAAGCCACCCGAGAAGGGGAAATCCTGATGATGAACTGCCAACAACTCATACACACCAGAAGCACAGACCAAAAGGAGCAGCACATTTTTTACAAAAAAATCTTAACGTGAAAAGAGTAGAAACAATATGTATTACGGTGTAAAAGAAGTACTCAAGTAAAGTACATGTGTAAAACGAAGTTCCTGCAAAGGCCAGTGTCAGTGCTCAGTGTCGTCACTATCTGTTCTAACGTGTGTTTTTTCTGTGAAGGTTCATGAGCTCCTGCTGCCTTGTTGTCGTACCTTCGTCAAACACACAGCAGGAAGGAAGTACACCGAGTAGAGCGCGACAGTGCGCGAGACGATTACGTCACTGGATATTCCACAAATGGGCGTGGCCGACTGGTAACAGAGTCGCAACAGACCAGAGACTTTTTGTTAATTACATATTGTTGCGCAGAAGAATGCACGACGGTCTGCGGGGGTGTCTCTCGACGAGGTAAATAATCACAGTCAATAATGATGGTAATATAACGTTAGCAGAAGAGACAATATTCACATAGAAACGCTTCTTCTTTACTTTAGATAACGGTTATTTATTAGCTCAATTCACACTTGAGTGGATCTAACAGGAATGCTTGTGTGTTTGTGTGTGTGTGTGTGTGTGTGTGTGTGTGTGTGTGTGTGTGTGTGTGTGAGAGAGAGAGACAGACAGACTGTTGCGGAATGTGAGAATAGCTGATTCACTTACTGGGTCGAAATGACCAACAACGTGCTCGGACTCGATCTTCCGTGTTGATCCTTTTTCCCTTCGTGTATCTGTGTCACTGACGTGCCATGCGTTTGTTTGTGTCCGAGTCCGTTTCTTTCCGTTCAAACTTCTAAGTTTAATTTTGAACTAAAACTAACACTGAAAATGTAGCGTGGCGCTATTAAAAATGTGAATGTTATTAAATTCAAAATAAAATAGTACGGAATATTTTATTGTAAACATTTTTCTTTAAATACCATAAATTGATTTGGGGATAATTAAAAAGAAAAGGTCCCGCAATTTGCATCGTCTTAAATACCAGGGGGGCAAAACCGTGAATATGGTACTTGTATTTTGAAGTGAAGAGCTTAGCAGTCAACGGGATGGACATTACTTTATCAACTGTTTCAGTGATATCCCATTTGTGGCAGTGAAAATTTGTTCAGATCCCCCTCAAATATTTAGAAGACAGCCTTCAACTTGCAGATAGAGCCCAGAGAATAAGTGATGCTGCCGAGAGGTGGAAGCGACTGTGACTTGGTATCAATGTTAGAGAAACTTGTCTTAGAGGGCAGAAGACCTCAATGCTTTGTTTGAAAGAAGTGCAAAGTGATCTGCTCATGGAGATTGGGAAAGGCTTTTCTTTTGTAACTCTTTAGAATGTTCTGAGCCTTGAAGTGGATTGTTATTAACCTTTAGGAAAATTACTCTGTAACTATGGACAATTTCTGGACACAGAAATGAAATGGCAGAAATTGATGATTTGAAGAAAGCTCACAAAGCAGGTTTTGAAGGGCTTCAACAAAAATAGATCTGTTGATCTATTCAATCTTTTGCAATCTGGCCTATTTCTTTTCTGTGCTGAATATGATTACTATAATACTGGGAGATATTTTTACAAAAAACTTGAATTATAAATGTTGCTGAATATCTCTGTCGCTTAATATGCTGTAAGAGATAAGGGAACTAATGTATTGAATGTAGAACCGGTCTACTGACGATCCAGTGAACATGGAGTTGGAGGGCAAGGACGCCTATGCAAGACTCCCCTTCATAGTCTTCACATCAGCTTTCAATACAGTCTTCCCACACAAACCCTCTGGGTAGTACACCTGCCCTCTGCAACTGGGTGCTGAACTTCCTCTCTGGCAGACCCCAATCAGTCAGAGCAGCACAAGAACTGTGAGCACAGGGACCCCCCCCCCCCTGAGTACTGAGTCCCCTGCTGTGCACCCTCTTCACCTACGACTGTGTGGCCTCCCAGGAAAGCACCAGTATGATGAAGTTTCCTGATGATACTGTGCGTGTGTGTTTTTTCTCCTCAGGCACTAGAGGCCGGGGTCCAGATGTAATGGCCACACTTTGGTCAAGGTGCCTTCCGTCCATCTTGCTGGTCATCATGCCAAGTTGTTTTGCTCCAGGTAGGCTTATTTCGTTCTTATGTTACCTAAATACCGTATTCATTTAGTCCCCTCCTATACTCGCGTGTGCTTTTTTTGTGCTTTATTGCTTTTGTCCATATATTTATCTAACAACTATACAATGGTACATACTTTGCCGCTTCGAATTGTACATACAAAATATATGATGAGCTTGTTAGAAATGACAACAGGCCATGCGATATTGTCAAGTAACAGAATACTACTACACTTTGTACTTTGTCGGCCACAGACTCATCAAGGTTAACTGTGGATGTTTCAGGCCCTTCACTTTATGTTCTCCTTATGCCCATGCGGATACCGACACGTTTTCTGATTTACAGGCCGACCTTTTAAGATGTGATATTACTGTATTATACTCTTTTTGAAGAGGAAGTTGTGACAAGAGAACCTGATCACAGTGTTGATTTCCTGTTAACATTACTGGAAGCGCGCTTCCTGGCAACATGCTGTGTGCAGGCTGTGAATGGATCACCACTAATGGCGTGTTGGCTTTTGAGAAATGGGTAAATGTGACAGGCTTGTGGGGAATAGATAAAAGGGTGTTTTCGGGGTGTGGGCGTATTTGAAAATGTATAAAATTTCTTCCTTTTTTTTTTTTTTCTTGTGGTTGAGATCACTCTTCTATCGCGTTGCCTCTCTTATCTCGGATATTTGTTGCATTGCCTTTATTACATTTATATCCATACGACTAAAATATTAACAAACATAAAAAATTCTGCCGAAGATGACCTTTACCTTTTTCTAACAGCAAGTAATGGTGTTTATTCAGATGTCTTTTGGCTACTTGTGTTCTGTTCTGTTTCTATTTTAGCTCTATATTTCATTCTGAATTAGCGAACATCCACGAGGTCTGTCACAACGGGTCAGTACCTTTGCTCGTCAAAAAATCATAGCTGTAGCTGTTTGGAATGGATGTTTTAGTCCGTGGGACCGACCCTTTTGTTCTGCATAGTGCAATACATGCAAAGAGCTCTTCACACTCAGACTACGGAGTTTAAAAATAAATCCAAACTGTGTTATTTTAACCCCCCCCCCCCAAAATAAACTACTACTTTTTACCCGATGATAATCAAAAGTTCTTTTCATGGGCTTAATTGGGGGTTCGCTGTCTTGTCTTGATTTAAGAGTTAGGTAAGGGTGGAAGCAGGATGTGCCGAGCAGGCAGACACGAGTCTGACAGGATGGGGAGTCAATTTATGTCCTGGCTGAGGAATGTAAGGTCTGCGGGTCAACTAGAAGATTTACCAGCCAAAGGAGGGGTTAGAGACACACCAACACTATTCAACATACACACTCTGTTCGTTGATGTTTACAGTAAGTCAGGAGTCTGGACATTGGATGTGACCGGATCTTTAGATGCGGGGAGTGGAAGGTCCTCCTCTACCCCAGTTTAGGGCCAATAGAAATCTTTCCTTCTCTGTCTTTCAAGGGTTATAAAACATGATGTTCTTGCTGATGTTAGTCAGATGTTCTTCGGGCCTGTGTGCTGCCTGAACTGCTCCTGCCTTTGCAAACGCAGCGCTGATACTTTACCTGTGATCTGACAAATAAATCTCCCAGAACAACTTACATTACACTTTAAACCCATGGCTTTATAACATTTTTTCCCGGGGAGCAATTAGGGGTTAGGTGTCTTGCTCAGGGACACTTCGACATGGAACATGGGGCAGCCTGGGCTTGAACCACCAACCTTGTGCTTCACAGCACATCTTCTCTAACCCTTGCGCCACGACGACCCCAGGCCAGGCTCCAATTCTTGAACACGTATTCTTACACCGAGCATTTTCTTGAATGCAGTATATACAGTACCCTTAGCATACATGTATATTGATGTCCATGTTGGTATGTATGGTCAGTCCTGCTTATTGACACATATTTGCTGAATCCCTTTTGATGTCGTGCCTGTTCCTCTGTGTCTCTCCAGCTACTCCTGCGTTCCCATCGCCTCCCCAGTGCCATATCCCATGTCCCGAGGACGACTGTGCAGAAATACACTGCAGTTTGGATCCAAGGCCGCACCCTGAGATCCCCACAAACTACAGCCTGCACTGGGAGCCGGCAAATAGCGAGTAAACGGGATCAAAAACATTCATCATCGACTTTAAAGTTTAACAATCGCTTGGGGAGACGGCCTCTGCATTTGTTGTACTCCTCTGGTCTTGTGTTCCAGCGAGGGGCGTGTGCTCACCGGGACCCCTTTGAGTGGGATTATCCATCGGGAAGACTTCACCCGAGGGGAGCTGCGTGTTTGGGTCCAGGCTGAGGACCGCAACGGTTCTGCCAAATCTCAAGATGCCTCGTTTCATACAGCTGATATCAGTGAGTTCGTCCTGCACGTTCACAATATCACAATAATGCGGCTGCATACTGGTAAGAAGTTGATACTGACTTTTGTGATATTTCATCTTATTCTGCTTCTGTGTCTCTGTTGCTAGTCAAGCTGCCGCCTCCTAAAATCTCATCAGTCAGCCATCAGGAGCTTTTAGAGATTTCCTGGACCATTCCACCTTGTGATGACCTGCAGCTCAGTTTTGGCCAATGTGACGTCCGATATCGGACCGAGGCAGACCGAATGTGGCTTGAGGTGTCTGATTTAGGTTTTGTCTCCCACTGTTTTCCTTTTCGTCATCTCAGCATGGTCCACACTGTGTAATGGAGTACGTTGACACTGAAAAGATCAGATAGTGTCCTGAAAACCTCAGAGCTATTCCTAAAAAACACCAAGGATGGTCTCAAGCTTTGTCTGAACACGCGCTTGTTTTTGTCCCCATTCTACACAGGATGAGAATGTCCATGTCGGCTATACGATCGAAAATCCTCAGGCTAGCACGGAATACGAATTTCAAGTTCGCTGTTCCTGTGGGACGGGCTTGAAGAGCGACTGGAGCGAAATCCACTCAGTACGAAGCAAAGAGGCGGGTGAGTCCTCTTCCGTGACGTGGTCTCCTGGTTCAGCATTTGGCAGAGAACTGGCTATATATCGTGCAGATATTTACCGTTTTAAATGTGCACAGTTTGGTGAACCATAGACCTACTGAGGCTCTAATTTGGCTCCATTGACTCTCAACATTTTTCTCTCCACCTTGCTCATTTGTTCCACCGTTGTTCAGCCCCAGAGGGAGCGCTGGATGTATGGAGCGACTGTGGGATATCCCAGGAAAGCTGTGACTGCTTTGTGACGTGGAAGGTCGATCAGCACACACGCACGGCCGTCATTTTCAACTGAAATAATGAACCAGAGTCTCCCTCTGTGCAGACACGCTCCTCCTTAAACTCTTACTTCCCTCCATCCCATCCAGGAGCTTCCTAAAGCTCAAGCCCGCGGGCACATTCGGGGGTACAGAGTCAGACTGTCTCACAACGCCCCGGTGGAGGTGAATATGTCCACAGACTGTGAGAAGAAGATCTGCCGCTTCAGATCCCCTCTGAAGGACGTGTCCTCCGTCAGCGTGTCGGCCTACAACGCTTGCGGTGCCACGTCGCCCTCCTCTCTGGCTCTGCCAACACCAGATAGCGACTGTGATCGAGTAAAAAATACGCAGAGTAAGTGCAGATTGTGTTTTTTTCACCAGATGCCAAATTCACAACACACGGCGAGGGGGAAAAAGCAGCTCTTAACTGGCTGGATACCTGTTTGGTCTGAGAGGCGACTCATTCAACAGGCTGTTTGTTTCTGGCTCAGGGAAACACAAAAGCGAGCGAGCTGTTCACCTGGTGATGAATGAAGAGAACCTCACTGTGTCCTGGGAGCCTCCCTCTCAGGGCTCAGACCACCTGAAGGAACACGTGGTGCAGTACAAAGAAGCAGGACGTCTTCCCGGCCAAGGATTCGATTGGATCAAAGTGGGAAAAGGCATAAGGACCGGAATCTTTGAAGGTCTGTTTGATTTGAACGCTTACAGGCATCTCATTGGGTAGAGAGAACGTTCATTCATTGATTCCAAAGGACTGAAAATGTGCCGTACTTTATTTAAGGTTGGGATCGTGCTGACTTTCGGTGGCTGTTTAATCTGGTTTGTGTCTCCACCTTCAGGTCCGTTTACGAAATACAAAGCCTACCAAGTGTCACTGTTCACTGTATCAAACAGCAATAACGTCCATCATCTTTCGTCAGTTATCGGATACTCACTTCAAGGACGTAAGTATCAATGCCTTGCACTTGATCTTGAGTTGTCTTTTTTAATTTTTTTCATCGCCACCAGCTCCTCATATTTAATGGAATAAACTTCTCGCCATGACGGACCTTTTCCCTGTCACTTTTCAGCCCCCCCTAAAGTGCCGTCATTTGAGGTGTCCTCCATCGCTGCCACTCATGTGAACCTGCTCTGGGAGTCTATTCCCCTCCCCATGCAGACTGGGAAGATCCTGTACTACCAGTTAATAGTGGAGAGTGGAGCCGGCGGACAGAAGGGTACAAAGCAACAGCACTTGACACACTTGTAGTAATTAGTTTAGGAAAGGTCTGAAATCTAAGGGATTTATTTATTTATGCAGATAACTGTACAATGAAATGCCCAAAAAGTTGGTACACAGTGTGACCTGTACTGGTGTATCAATGCTAATGTTTCTTTTTAAGACTTAAAAAAAAAAAGTTAAACAACATAGTTGTTAAAAGATAAAAAAGGACATTTAAAAAAGATGATATAAGTTTAAAATTTAAAAGGATTTTTTTTTTTAATTTAAAAAAGAAAGAAAAAATCATTAAGCAGTGCACATTGACACAAGTTAAGCTGTTATTTATTCATTAAAATGTAGACATTAGTGTTCACCTCAAACCACTGTGTTGCTATCACAGATTATGACAAATGCATGTCTAAAATAATGATAAATATATCCGAAAGAAATGTACTTTTGGTCTCTGTCAGCTGTTCTCCGGTCACTAACGTCACTCGTCACAATTCGCCTCTCCTAGTGTTCAACGTGAGTGTGTCGCCGCAGCAAAAAAAACAAACGTTTGAGCTGCGGCGTCTGAGTCCCGGGCAGGACTACGAGGTCCGGATACGAGCCGTGACGCCGGCCGGGCCCGGAGCCAACGAGACGGCAAAGTTCAAAACGAACCACCATGAACCCTTTGGTATTATATGATGTAATGTCACAATGTGTTTTCTTGTTGGCTGTGATGAGCGTAGCAGAAGCCTTATGATGAGTGTGTGGTTCAATCACACCCCTCACACAATCCGTTTATCTCTCACGTGTCTTTTCTTTTTCTCAGAGCACATAATAGCACTTGTGCTTGGAGCCGTTTTGCTGGTCTTCATATGCATTCTTTTTGTTTTTTGCAGGTGAGATAATCGTTTAAAAGCATTCTGGTGCTCTCATCACTTATTTCTGAGTGTTTTTCTTTCTGTGGTAAATACCTTTTGAAAGAGAAATGCTCTTAATAATCCATTCTTATCTAATGATAACTGATACCACTGGAAATTCATTAACCAGGAAACAATATTATTTCAGTATTTTTACAGTGCAGTGAATCTGCATAGTGCGAAGATGAAAAGGATATTTAAGAGGAATTCTCTCCATTGTCTGATGAAATGTGGATGTGAATGTTACACATTGTTACATTGTTACACACAAGAAAATCATATTAATGCACACATTTTCTTTTAATTGAAATTGAAGATGTCTTATTCTTGTTTGTTTTTAACGCATGTATATCTTCCAGTGCTTGTCGAGGAGAAAAGAAAACATGGTGCCTCAGTGTTTCTTTGCCAAAAGTCCCGGACGCCCGCAACAGCCACATTTTCAGACACATGAAGCACCAGGTGAGCAACTTGAGCTGAAATAATAGCAACTCTTTGTCTCCGTCTGATTCAGCTTGCATCCGCTTATATTATGCAGTCACGTCCTAGTTTGTAAGTGCGTTTTATCCAAAAAGGACAAAATAAATCCTGTGTCTATGTCGGATTTCTCTGCAGATGAATGACTCCTTCCCTTGGATCTTCATTCCCGTCTATGAGCCACACCCCAAGATCTCTGTGTTGGAGGTTGTGGAAGTCCAGCCATGGGCTTCGGAGTCCTCTGTAGAGAAGATCTCCGACCCCGACGGCTCGACTAAGCTTGTGGCCAAAAGTGGGTGCTCGAGAGCGGAGTGCCGAGATGATCAGAGGGAGGAAGCTGTTCGAGAGGAGAGCCACAGATATGGACGGGAGGAGTACAGCCAAATGGTTGACTCAGATGAGGAGAGGGACAAGGAGGAGGAGGAGGACAGGGCGGATGGTTGGAGCTCATCAGAGGAAGAACAGTCGTCGTCGGGTTACGAGAAGCACTTCATGCCCACTGCTTTGGAAGTGCAGGAAGCTTGATGTTTCTCAATGTCGGCTCACTGACATTCCTCCCAGAAATGGCTTGTTGTTTTTTGATTCCCTTTCAAATGTTCTTTTTGTTTTGATTAGTTAAATGTACATTTGTGCATCTGTCATGTGTAAATAAACTATTTTTATAAGGGTCTGACTGCAGAGAATCTAACTTGTTCGACTTTCGTGACAACGTATCGAAGCGGGGGATGCTGTATGTGTCACTGTTCCAAAAGTCATTGGTTCCAAAAGTCATTTTACGGGCATAAAAATATAATACAATCATAATACATTTATGAAGCCAAAACACCACAAATATCACCTTATAGAATATTAACACAACATTGCCATTAACCGTTGTTTTCCCCATCCATCCAAGATGCACTTTAGGGGTTCTTTATTAGATCAAATTGTGTGTTTTATTTAAATGTATTTTTAATTTAGGAAAATATTAATTACATTTTATTTCATATTAATTGTCATTACTATTTATTTACCCAAGACAGCACTCCATCCATCCATCCATCTTCAACCACTTACCCCGGGTTGGGTCGCAGGGACAACAGCTCCAGCAGGGGACCCCAAACTTCCCTTTCCCAAGACAGCACTGTGTTTCCTTATTTATCTAGTCATTTCAAGTGTTTATTGTATATGGAAATGTTGAATTATTAACAAAAAGTACAACATTAAAGGGTTGAATCTATAAACCGCATTCTTATCTGTTGCAAAGCTAATAACTGCATTTACAAATTGTAGCAGATATTTGACTTGATCTGAAAAAAAACAGTTGAGGACACAGTTGTCATGTTATTTTTTTTGCAACAAATCACTAACATTATGAACACAACAAACCACATCCTGCAGATACCTACATGAATTTAACAAACATAAATTCCCTGTAATTTAATTAAATACGTACAATTATTATGTGTTCATTTGTTCGTTATATTTTAGGCTTAATAATTAACCAACATGTATTTTTAGGGGGGAAAAAGAGAGAGAAAAGGGCCACCTCTAATCTCGCGTTAGCTAGATTAACAAAGTGTGCGCGCTGGACGGAAGCCGTCATAGGTCAACTTCCATCGGCGTGCTCATTTGAACAAGAGGAACCGCTACGAAGCACGGGTGGAGAGCGGCCCAGCACGACAGTTCAACTCTCAAGTCGATATTGTACGTATAGTTGTATATACGCGTGTCCTGGAACGTGTAGACGTAATCCACGTCGATTAGACCGCCTCTGCCGGTTAACGGTTCCGATTTAGCGAATATCAGGCAAGTGTCCGTTATGTAGCATTAGCCGGGCTAGTAGCGTTAGCATTGCCAGTCAGAAATGGCTCTAGCGGCTTAGTGGCTAACGCCTGTTGGCAAAACGTGTTCACTAAGTGTGCACCGATAACTGGCCCCTAACGGCGTGTTAATAGCGATACAATACTCAACCGTTTAGATGCGATCTTAATACTAACATGATTTGTCGGTTTAATGGCGAGTTTTGTTAATAAATGGTGGGATTTGTCGATTTTCACGCCGGGCACATTGTGGCCGTCTCCTGCCTGGTGTTGCCGTGTCGACTAGGCCCGAGCAAGAAGGGCAACTTTGGTAGCAACGCAATAACTATGCGGAGGCATCTCAAACGATCAGCGAGCAAATAGTCGATTCAAGCGCGAACGCAGGTTGAAATGAAAGCGAACCAACCAGTCGAGTGAAAAGTTACTCGATTAAAAAAACACACGAACGTGGCCGACGAGCTTTAACGGGGGAGCCGGACATGGCGGCCCTGTTACATGGCCAACTTAATCCGTGACCACTTTTCTCACAGTCCGACCAACCACGCGGACTGCGATCCGGCGGGTAATCGTCGAAGGGCCCATTTCGGGTCCACGCGGTGTAGCAAAATCAACGAAAAATCCACCGGGGCCTCAAGTGTTACGGTAACTTGGACCGGGTGGGGGTCGGTCGGAGTAACGCAGAGCGGCTGAACCGGGTCAGAATTTTTAACGGCTCACGTTTTTTTTCCACAAGCCGATTTTGAATTAACGTTAATTGTATGCCTCGGCTCCGTCAACCGATGCGGGGTTTATTTTATCGCTCGTTGACGTCGTCTGCCCCACGCGGGCCCCCCGGGCCGCCTCGCACCCTCACCATGTGCACTTCACCTTCCTACAAAGCGGCTGCGCCCTTCGGCTTGTTTCCTACTCCCTCGACCGCATGGCACGTTGGCCGACTGAGCAAAAGTAATCCTCTGCAGAGTTTTTCAACTCGATCTATAACCCTATTATTAAAGGGGGGTGTATTTCTCTTTCGATTCCACCAGGACAATCGAATGGCGTCGTGTACTTCTTCTTTGTTAGAATATTCTAGAATACAAGTTTAGGTAAATGCCCTTCTTGAGTGTAAAGTCTGCTGGTAGACGATGTGTGTTCTCATTAGGAATTGGCAGACTAAAGGGGCTTCATATGCAAAGCGCTATGTAGTGCGTTCAAATGGCTGTTAGTGTGGATTTTTGGAGCTGATGCATAACAAAATAACATCTGACTCTGTGATGGTGTTTGTATTCATACTGTCTGATCCAGAAACCACGTTCTCAGATTTCTCCACCCTATTAATCTCTAAAAAAATAAATAAGAAAAAGCCCATGCCTACGTTAATTACATTTTTTTTACGCCGTTTTTCAGGATGGAGTGGCAGCCAGATGAGCAGGGACTTCAGCAGGTCCTCCAACTGCTCAAAGACTCCCAGTCGCCCAACACAGTCACGCAGAGAGCAGTCCAACAAGTATCCTACTACACTGCAGTCCAACGTGGTGCACGTTGTGTAGCACGCTTTTGCAAAGGGGCCTATAATATGTACCATGCTAACCTATTGCTACTTCTGCCAAGTTATCAAGTTCTATTTCTATCCACAATTTGAAGATTTTACTTGTGGTTATTTATGAACATAGTAATACCTAACTAAAAATTATTTTTGTTGATGTGAGTTCTATCTAGGTGAATCCATGTCAAGTTCTAAAACCGTATCAAATGCATTGCTTATAAGTTCAATGGTTAATTGCCTAATTTGGAAGCTCAAAGTGAAATAGTCCTTAACTGCCGTGCTAGAAACTTGAACAACTCAACCAATTCCCCGACTTCAACAACTATCTCATCTTTGTTCTCACAAGACTCAAAACTGAAGGTGAGAGGACGTTGATGTGTTTTCCCTCTTTGGAGCCATTTCAATTTCATAAGAAATTGCGCACGCCTAGAAATGTGATCCATGATTGCCTTTATGCTTAGTCGCACCTTTCCTCTCTCCTCAGACGAGCCCACTCGCTCTCTGAGCGGTCTGATACTGAAGAACAATGTGAAGGCCCACTACTTGAACTTCCCCCCGACCGTCGCCGACTTCATCAAGCAGGAATGTCTCAACAACATCGGCGACCCGTCGCCGCTCATTCGTGCCACCATTGGTGAGTTGTTGGGGTTGGGGCCGTTGTCTCAGCGTGTGGCGCTCATTACTTCTGTGGTTTAGCGTCCTTCCACACCTGTACCACACCTAGCCCTTTCCTACGCTGCCACCTCTGGAGATGATGCATAAAACATTAACTATACCTGAGTTCCCGTGAAGGCATTTGTATTCATACTGTCTGATCCAGAGCCGCTGCAAAGGCTCACGGTCTCATTGGTGCGGAATCACTGTCTGACGTTTGGGTTTCTCTCCTCCTCTAGGCATCCTGATCACTACCATTTCCTCCAAAGGAGAGCTACAAACATGGCCTGAGCTGCTTCCCCAGCTCTGCAACTTGCTCAACTCTGAGGACTACAACACCTGCGAGGTGTGCACCTAACCGGGCCCTACCTTCTTTTTATGATGCAGAGATGCAAATTTCCATTTATTCAAAAAATATTTCCATGTAGTATCAGGGATCCGTGTGATGACTTTGTATCATTTACGTTTGTTTTGAAATATTTTTGAAATACAGTTCAAATATTTAAGGGCAAATCTTTAAGATGGAGTATTTACTATTTTTCTTGCCTCTGCTTTGCATCCGGACATGATAAAAAACCCAGCTCATTGATTTACAATGATGCATATTGTTCCCATATTTTCTGATCCAGATTTGTCGAGGCTGTTGATCAATAGTAGTGTATTTTGCTGTTTTGTCAAAATAGTCGGCTCATATTTTAGAGTCCTAAACGCACACATTATGATATTTGCGTTTCGACGGATTGTAAAATAAAAGGGGATCTGACTAGAAAAGTGTTTAATTCTAGGAAAATTGCTGAAAATCGATATGTGTTTATTGCACTAAGTACACTTTTTTTTTTTTGCTTCACTGTTATTTGCTGATGCAGTCTCACGCTCTCCTCTGTTTTCTTGTATGTTTGCGTTTGATTTGACAGCCTCTCTGTGTATGTCCGTGTCTCAGGGCTCATTTGGAGCACTGCAGAAGATCTGTGAGGATTCGTCGGAGCTTCTGGACAGCGATGCTCTGAACAGACCCCTCAACATAATGATTCCTAAGTTCCTCCAGTTCTTCAAGCACTGCAGCCCTAAGATTAGGTACAGGAGAGAGGAAGACTGATTGGTTGTCATAGTCATCTGGGTGGGATAACATTGGACTGACCATGACCTGACCTTTGTGTTCATACGGTCTGCTCCAGATACTCGGGATAATGGGATTAAATTATAAATGTTCTTACCTTGATGCGTATCCCGCCTCGGTGTTACCGGTCTACAAGGCAAATACGCCCTTGTTGCGATTTGGTGGGGTTTTTTTTTTTTTTGCACCTTTATTCAACTACTAACTTTGCACAACAGTATTTACAAAAAGGGAGACTTGATAAACTTTAAGACGAGGTCTTAAAAAGTGTCTTGCATCTGGAAATGATGAAAATCCCAGCTCATTGATTTCCAATGATACCTTTTTGTTCCTATATTTTCTGATCCAGATCTGACAAGGCCGTGTAGGATCCATATATTAGCTATGTGTGATAAGCTAAAAGTTTTAACCAAACAAGGTGGAGCAAAGCCAGATGTTATATTAAACGTGCTGTATTTATTTCAGTGTCCAGCTCTGTTTGACTCCACTACTAACGTGTTTTATTTGCTGCAGGTCCCACGCCATCGCCTGTGTGAACCAGTTCATCATTGGCAGAGCCCAGGCCCTGATGGACAACATCGACACCTTCATAGAGGTGAGCTGTGTGCTGTGAAGGGGAAAGTTGTTCATCCACATTTAAATAAATACATTTTTTATGTGCGTGAACTCTCCATTAAAACTACTTTCTGTCTTGTGTGATTTCTGTCCATTTAGAGCTTGTTTGCGCTGGCAGCAGATGAGGACTCTGAGGTTCGAAAGAACGTGTGCCGAGCCCTGGTCATGTTACTGGAGGTCCGCATAGACCGCCTCATCCCCCACATGCACAGCATCATCCAGGTAAGTCTTGGACATCTGCTCAATCCCCTGTGGACCACCTGTACGTAATTAGATCTGGGCGAGCGCACTTGGACGGCGTCCTTAAGTGGACGTCCGCTTTGCATCCTGACATGATGAAAAACCCAGCTCATTGATTTCCAATGATACATTTTTGTTCCTATATTTTCTGATCCAGATTTGGTGATATTGCCCGCCCCACCCTCCCTCCTCAAACTGTTTATTTAACGACGTTGCCTGTCTCAAACATGCACTTTGCTCACCCCCCCAGTACATGCTGCAGAGGACGCAGGACCCCGATGAGAACGTGGCGCTGGAGGCCTGCGAGTTTTGGCTGACTTTAGCAGAGCAACCCGTCTGTAAGGAGATGCTGTCTGGACACCTGGTGCAGTGAGTAGCATGTTGACGTCGCAAGTTTCAATAGATGTTATCTTGTCAATTTTAACCAAGACGGCCTCCGCCTTCTCCCCCTTGATCTAGACTAACGCCTATATTGGTAAATGGGATGAAGTATTCGGAAATAGACATCATACTATTAAAGGTGAGCTCTTTGTTCTTGTAGTCCTGTACGATGCCACAAATATGCCGTTGTTAGCCCGTCCACCTTACAGGCTGCTGGTGGACTTGATCTTGCATCTGGAAATGATGAAAACCCCAGCTCATTGATTTACAATGATACCTTTTTGTTCCCATTATTTTTCTGATCCAGATTTAATAAGGCGGTGTAGGATCCATATATTAGATATGTGTGACATGGATATCTAGCATTAGATGGTAACATTTGTGACAAAAAGTCCTTGAACAAAATCCAAACCATAGAAATGTGCATTTAAAGCTGCTGATAATGTGACGGGCAGATGATTCAGAACTGATCCTGGGGCTCTTTTTTTTTTAATCTCTTGTCCAGGGCGACGTAGAGGAAGACGAGGCCGTACCAGATAGCGATCAGGACATCAAGCCTCGCTTCCACAAGTCCCGGACAGTCACCCTGCAGCATGAAGGGGCGGAGCATGAGGACGGCGAGGATGACGATGATGATGACGACGACGATGACGACGACACGCTGTCGGACTGGAACTTGCGTAAGTGATAAAGAAATGATTAGAAAAGAGGGAGGGGCGTTCTGGCGATAAGCACAGTTAATGTACACACTGAATTTGTATTTGCCTTTTACTCCCCATTTCTTGAATTTTTTACTTCATTTCATAAACCAAAACTCATTGTAATATCCTGTGTGAAGCAACGGGGCCGGCCTTTGACTGACAGGTCTCTCTCTCTGCTGTAGGAAAGTGTTCGGCTGCAGCCTTGGACGTTCTCGCCAACGTGTTCCGCGACGACCTGCTGCCCCACCTCCTGCCGCTCTTGAAAGGCCTGCTCTTCCACCCCGACTGGGTCATAAAGGAGTCTGGCATCCTGGTGCTGGGGGCCATAGCCGAGGGTAAGCCTGACTGGACCGGATGCCTCTCAGAAACTCAGACTTGCTGTCTGAGAAGTCGTCCCTCCTTTAGTCCTCGTGAATGTCTCCTAAAAGCTGGATAACGTTTTTGTTACTGGCTCGTTTTTGTTCATAGTGTCATGTTACACACGGAAGTGACCTGTTAATGACTGCCTGAGTATCTTCATTGTGGCGTTGAACTGCGTCTGTCCCACATCTGGAAATGATGAAAACCCCAGCTCATTGATTTCAAATGATACTTAATGTTCCTATATTTTCTGATCCAGATTGGCATAGAAATAAACAGATGATTAAAGCTTGATACCGATGTAATGAGAGGCTATAACATTCCACTGAAATCGTTGAAATCTAATTCGATTCAACATAGTGGTTTAGCAAATATTTTCCTAAAGCAACATAGTGGTTTAGCAAATATTTTCCTAAAGCATAGTTGTGTGAAGTCATTAAAGGCGATTCGTAACTTTCTTTAGTGGAACTTTGTTTCTTAACGCTCTCTCTCGTTGCCGTAGGCTGCATGCAGGGCATGGTGCCCTACCTGCCAGAGCTCATTCCCCACCTCATCCAGTGCCTCTGCGACAAAAAGGCCTTGGTGCGCTCAATCGCCTGCTGGACCCTGAGTCGCTACGCACATTGGGTGGTGTCCCAGCCCCCCGACTCCTACCTCAAGCCCCTAATGACGGAGCTCCTCAAACGCATCCTGGACGGCAACAAGCGGGTGCAAGAGGCCGCCTGCAGGTGAGCCCTTCCTCCCGTATGCAGGGCCGCCAGACCCGTATCACCGGGCCAAATGCTGACATGTCTATTCCCCCCTCCCCCCTTGGTGTTCCCTCAGTGCGTTTGCCACCCTGGAGGAGGAGGCGTGCACGGAGCTGGTCCCCTACCTGAGCTTCATCCTGGACACATTGGTGTTTGCCTTCGGGAAGTACCAGCACAAGAATCTCCTCATCCTCTACGATGCCATAGGAACTCTGGCAGACTCAGTGGGCCACCACCTCAACCAGCCCGTGAGTGTCCGTGAAGTATAGAGCTGCGCACGTCATGCGTGCCTTTGTCTTACAAATAGGTTTGATGGTTCGTTAAGTTTACCTTAGTTGGACTTTAGCTAATGGAATTTTAATTGCACTTAAAATATTATTTTTATGGTTTTTCAGGAATACATTCAGAAGTTGATGCCCCCCCTTATTGCCAAGTGGAACGAGCTAAAAGACGAAGACAAGGATCTCTTCCCACTGCTGGAGGTAAGAAGTTGTTTTAAGTGAACAAACTTGTCATATCTCCTAGGAGAGCGAGTCTTTAACAATGAGTCTGACTTTAAGGTCCATCTTGCTTCTGGACATGATGAAAACCCAGCTCATTGATTTACAATGATGAAAAATGTTCCTATATTTTCTGATCCAAAACCTCTTGGGGCTGTTGCTCAATACTAGAATATTTCGCCCCCTTTAAATTGTCTGCTCACATTTTAAAGTAAACTAATTCGTTGATCAGTTGTCTCTTTGATGGATAAATAAGAGGATCTATTGACAGCAAAGTTTTTTTTTTTTTTTTTTTTTTTTGCTTTTGTGAAGCGTTTTCTCTGCTCATGTATTTTTATTGTACATACACAAAGTGCCAACGTATTACCATAATCTCCCCCCCCCAGTGTCTGTCGTCGGTAGCGACCGCCCTGCAGAGTGGCTTTCTCCCTTATTGTGAGCCAGTCTATCAGCGCTGTGTCACACTCGTCCAGAAGACACTAGCTCAGGCTATGGTGAGAATGCGTGCGCGCACACACACACACACACACACACGAATGCTCTGTGTATTCGGTGATCAATTTTCGGATGTACGGAAGAGACCGTGACACTTCCCTGCCGTGTCTTTACAGATGTACAACCAGCATCCGGACCAGTATGAGGCCCCTGACAAGGACTTCATGATTGTTGCCCTGGACCTGCTGAGCGGCCTGGCAGAGGGTTTGGGGGCTCATGTGGAACAGCTAGTGGCCCGCTCTAACATCATGACCCTGCTTTTCCAATGCATGCAGGTATGATTTCATGGATGTGAGAATAAAGTAACTGGCGGTTTGATTTGAAGCCCAGCCGTATTTATGACACTACGGGGTCTGGTTTGTGTTGCAGGACACTATGCCGGAGGTTCGACAAAGCTCCTTCGCACTGCTGGGCGATCTGACAAAGGCCTGCTTCCTCCATGTGAAACCCTGCACTGGTGAGTGCTGGGCCAAAGTGCTGACCGGCGTCTACCTTCTGTGCAATTCCTGTTGTAGCCATAGATTGTCCGATGTCTTTTTAATGGGAGTCTGCGAGGTTGTAAACAAATCGCATGTGTGTCGGTGATCGGATGTCTTTGTTTGTGCTGTAATCCTTGTGTGTGTGTCCGCGTCCTCCCTCCAGCTGAGTTCATGCCCATCCTCGGGCTTAACCTGAACCCGGAGTTTATCTCTGTGTGCAACAACGCCACCTGGGCCATTGGAGAGATCTCCATGCAAATGGGTGAGAAAGCAGGTCGCTCTTACTGTTGATGCATTTGAGTTTGTTCCGCGTTGACATGTGCACAGTATCTGGATATGATGAAACTCCCAGCTCATTGACTCAGAATGATACATTTTGTTCCTATACATTCTGATCCAGACAAGGCATGACATGTGTCTGCAGGCTTAGACACGCGTCTGATAAAGTAGACAAACTGGTCTGCAGTTCTCTGTAAACTGAGTCCCAAAGTTGTCTCAAGCTGTTTGAACAATGTTCTTGTGCAACCAAGACTAGTGTCTTCATGCGTATTTGAACAGTTTTTCTGTGTTTACAGGTGCAGAGATGCAGCCGTACGTGGGCATGGTTCTGCCCCACCTGGTAGAAATCATCAATCGACCGAACACACCCAAGACGCTGCTGGAGAACACAGGTAGACAAATCTGTCGCGTGCACGCAGTGTGACCTGGAAGCTGCCTTTTCAAAAAATTAAGTGGATTTGAAGTTTATCGTTTTTTGTTTTCTGTCCTTGCGTGCAGCCATCACGATTGGCAGACTGGGTTATGTCTGCCCACAAGAAGTAGCCCCGCAGCTGCAGCAATTCATTAGACCATGGTGAGGTTATTATCATGACACCTACCCTTTGTACCAATTTTAATACAAGGGGTCCATTAATTTTGTACATTCCGGTCCAAAGCCCAACTGCTGTCATTTTATCAGATCATAAATATCCGTAGCAACCAAACTCCCGACCTAAAACGTTGTCATTGTGCCTCCTCCCAGGTGCACATCGCTGAGGAATATCCGAGATAACGAGGAGAAGGACTCTGCCTTCAGGGGAATCTGCGTGATGATCGGCGTGAACCCTGCAGGAGTGGTGCAGGTGCGTCCACTTGCTTTAAAGCGGCCTACCGGTCTACCTGGAGAGGATGAAACTCCCAGCTCATTGATAAACAATGATACATTTAGTTCCCAAATAAACTTTTCTGATCCAGTCACGCTCCTCACCCCCCGTGACCTGATCGCAGCGCTTCCTAGTAACGAGTCCTCTCTCTGTGCAGGACTTCATCTTCTTCTGTGACGCTGTTGCCTCTTGGGTCAACCCCAAAGACGACCTGAGAGACATGTTTTACAAGGTGGGTTTCTCATCAGAAGGGATATCGTGCATCACTGACCGGCAGCTTGTGGATCCAATGGCGTCACAAGTAGCTTGCTGTCGATCAAATGCTCCCTCACTATGCAAAACTTGCTCGCCTCACTCCGTGATGATCTCTTCAGACATTCGAAACCCGACTTCATGGTGTGGATAATTCTTTTTGAGTCTGAGAAGTGTGTGCAGAGCTCGCTGTTGGGTGGGGGAGCCGTTTTTCCTGGGACAGTTTCAGAAACCCTTCAGTTGGCGCAAAATCGTTTTTGGGCAGCCTCGTGATGGTTTTCTGTTCTCTTCTCCCAAGATCTTACATGGCTTCAAGGACCAGGTTGGAGAGGAGAACTGGCAGCAGTTCTCTGAGCAGTTCCCCCCTCTGCTAAAGGAGCGCCTGTCGGCCTGCTACGGCGTCTAACCCAACCTGCTCGCCCGCGCAGGACACCAACCTGTTAGGTATGTCTAGCGAACACGCACCTCCCTTCCTTGAGCCATTCATACGAGTCCTGTGTGGTGTCATTTGTAATCTCCTCTCGTTTTGTCTCCTCCCCAGGTTAATGTAGGGGGGGGTTACTGGGGAACTCATTGCACCTCCCAGATTGTGGGGAGAAACCGGAGCTGGAGCGATGTGACTGGCCTTGAGACCCTTCACTTAGCGGACGGCCTCCTTTCCCCCTGTGTTTCTCTCTGAGGGAGGGGGTAGGAAGTGGGGGGTGCGGGTGGGAGGGTAAACTAGGGACATACATATACCTCTCGGACTAAATCCAACTCACTCTAAAGTGACTTTCACCAGTGCAGCAATCCTAGGTAGGCGAGGACTTTGACCGGCCCCCCTCCTCAATTTTTGATTATTCCTCTAAGATAGTGGATAGGGCGGGGTGGGGGGGGGGGGGGGCAGACAAACAGGAATTATCTGAACCAGCATATAGGGTGCAACAACGCACGCAGTCGTAGACTCGCACATGTAGACATGTTCAAACGGGCCGGCGCTGAGCGAGAAACTCTGCGTTTTTACTCCGTAGCGAAGCGGGAAAACCCGCTCAGGTGGTCCGCACCTTCTTTTACGGCGAAATGATGTGAAAACCATTCGGTGCGCGTACACATGGGTCTTTTCTCTTTTCACATGTACATTTAGCTAAAGTGATTTTCGTCCTCTCGATCATAGGTGTTTTTTATTCCCCACCACACGCCCCCTTTCGATTTGAGGCGCTGGGGGGAATTTTACCATCGCAGTAACACGTTGCATTGCAACACGTTGCAGTAACACGCATGGCATTTGATCACCTCTTTAGTGACGCATGTTTAAGTGAATGTCCGTCTGGTTGCTTGCATAATTGTCGTCGGCACGGGGAGGCTGCCATCAGGTGCTTGGTTCGTTTGTCCGTAGGCGATCTATGTCCCTTTTGGTTTAAAGGAGGCTGTGTGTGTGTTTGTGGGAAGATCAACTACAGGTAGATTAATACAGGAAGGAGCTTAACTCTCTGCAACAAGAGTTCAAATGCTGTAGGCAGGTGGAGAATCCTTTTTGCTGCTGCTGCTTTGTTTTATAAGACTTTACGAAACAAACTTAATGAGAGCGATAAGACATCACCAAGAATGACTTGATTCTTACTGATATAAATGCACTTTTTTCTTTTGTAAGAAACTTAGAATTTCAAATGTAAGACTAACATTAATAATATACTGATCTTGAGACATAGGTTTTTTTGATAAGTGATTTTAGGACTGTTAAATGGTTAGCTGAAGTAAGCATAATGCTAAACGATAAGCAATGGGGAAAATGACTAGGTAAGACTTGAGGCCTCTTAACATAGTTAATTTTATAATGTGCTCCTTAAAATGGATTGAATAGGCTTCGAGAGGAGCTCGACATCTTAATTGCAGTATTTCGGATCTGTAGAGTGCGCCTTTCCATATCCGTGTTCCAGTGTCGCCGGAGCGTTTGGTTCAGCAATGGCTGCTCCCGGTCATTACGCGCTTTTCCACGAGGCTCGCTAATCTTTATTTTCATTTTAGTAATTTTATAACGGTCAATTCTGAGGAATCCGCGTTTCTAAGAGCTTTATCAATGGCATTGCAACGCGCTGCCGGACTAATAAGGTACTTCTCCAGTTTTTGATCAAACTAGTGATTGCCAATGCCATACATCCACCCGTCGACACTGTGTAGGATCTGCCTGGGAACGCGCTGCGTCCGTATGGATCTCCCCTGACACTGGTTAGCTTCTGTGAGAGCGGTGGTTATCTTTTAGTCATCGTTGGTGGACGCTTGTGATGGAAGTGCGTGCGTGTGGCTGTCGGCCAGTTGCTGTTTTACTATAAAGATGTGTACACGAGTGCTGCTTAGATGTAATTTTGCGCCGACGGCGCTGCGTCCTGCGCGTCGTTTGAGTCTCGCCTCGAGTATCAACACCCGTCTGAGAGTTCACTTTTAATCGCCTTTTTTTTTTTTTTTCAAAAATCTCCTGAAGCGAAGGAAAAGTCCAGAGTGGTTTCCCTCCTGAATATCAGCTCACATTTGTAGTGAGGTACTTTATAAAAAAGGAGGACCGTGTCAGTCGGCACGCGCAGCGGGTAGCGATGGCGTCTCACCCGGGTTTATCGGGTAGGCGCACGTTGAGGTGTGAGCAGCAACAGGTGAAGCTTTTTTTCCACATGAATTGTCCAGAAGGATCCTGTGCCACAAATGTTTGGTCAAAAGTGTGATACACTCGGCTCTACAGAAATAAATTGAAATGCTAGTTGGCCACTTTTTTTTATTATTTTTTTATTTTTTTTTATGCTCGTATGACAGTTTTGGTTTTATTAATTTATTTCTTTTTGTTTTTTTTTTGTGCTCCATTGCACAAATTCTTTTGGACTTTACAAGTTTTTTTTATTCTTTTTGTTTAAAGAATTTTTGTTTTCGTTGTTTTATAGCGGACAATTTGATTATGTCGATGTGGTTGGACTGAAGGAGTCGGTGCATATAGCTTAGGGAAGAATGTGGAAGAAACATTCAGAACTGTTTCAATCTGATATCAAGGCTGGCAATTGAATTTGATGTAACTTCCTTTTTTTTGCTCAACTGTGGTGCAGGTTGGATGTTATCTGATGTATCCAATTTTAATTTAATTTTTTGTGAATAGGGGAAATAAACTTTTTTTTTTTTTCTATTAACCTTGTTGTCTGTTCTTATTTCTGTGATCAGCTGAAATGTTAAAGACCAGAAACGTCTAAACGCTGCTCCTGGTGAGCATGAAGGAGCTTCGTCCATATAAACTAAAGTGACATTTAATTTTTTCTAACTTGATGCTCAAACATCTGGAAAGGTTGCAACTTAGACCAGTGAGTCTTGACTATGTTGAACAATAGTATTTGGCCTAACCCTTTTTCTCACAAAGAATAACCGCTTATTTTCAAGTTCTGTAACCAGTTAAGTTGGGTTTTTTCTCAGTTGTACAAAATTCTGGAATTTTGTTTTTCCTCTAAACAAAAAACTGGTCACCTATTTAACCCCTCGTGAGTTTGCAGATCTGGTCTGACGTGTCTGCAGGTAAATGGGTGTGAAACTGGTTCTGGTTCACTGGTTCTGTTGCAGTACATGATTGCTATAAATTCATAAATATACCTTTTTATTTATCCTTACCCCGTCGCTTGTTGTAATGCTATAAATGGCAAGCACAATTAAGACTCAGGAATCGGGAAACATTTATTGCCAAAATATGTCAAACATACAAGAAATTTGTCTTTGCTATTGGTGCGTGGCAGTAGACAGTAACAATAGACAAGACAGCAGTGCACAAGTAATAAAATGAAATCCCTCTGAAGCATGTGTGCATTAAACGGCACCTCATAAATGTGATCAATTAAAGCTGTTCAGTCTTTTGTGTTTACCAAAGACATTTTTACACGCGACACAAAGATTTAAATCTCTTTGCCGATCAACATCTGGGCAGCGTTGACTGACACGGGAACAACGTCGTAGTGAGTGGCTTGACAGAGCGTACAAGTCGTGTTTGACGTGGTCATAAAACTAAATGGTTCTGATTGAGTGAATTCACATCTTTACAAGATACTGTGCTTTAAGTAGCTGGTTATTTTGGGAGGGTGGTTGCATAAATAAGTGGTTTAAGATGTCACTGTGACTGAAAGGGGGAGAGCGCGTTGTGTCTTGACGTGTTAGAGGTTGTGTCTTCCTCAGAAACTTCCCCCACTCCACTGGTTGTAGATTTATTGGAGCTGTTCTGTTACTGAAAGAGGCTGAACCTGATTCTGCAGCGTTAAAGCCCCAAGCGCTCTATAAATGAAGGATCGAAGCAGGTCCCTCCTGGTCTTCGGTGAAAGGTGTGTGTGGACGGAGTGACTTCACAGACCGACAAGAACTTCAGCGCCAGCGAACCACCCAGGTAACCTCATCTACATGAAAGAGCCCTGAATACGTCCTGCAAGTGGTTTTCTGAATTTTTATTCAGTTTTTATTAACGGTCATGTGCTCCACATGGTTGAACCAGCATTGGAACTTTTTCAGAGCACGTGGCATATTTAAATGTGTATTACTAACACAATACCAGATATAATTGTTCTGCATTAGAAAAAAGTGTTCTTACACTCCCACATAGTTCTGCTTATTTTGCAAGTATTTGTCTCTACAGAAAGAGAATTTCTCTGTGCTCGCGTTAAGACGTGCAGGGACCAGCATGTGAGAATGGACTTGTTAGTGAAGAGACACGGCTTCTGTCTGCTAGTTAAACTTATGAAATGAAAATGTTTGCGTGTTTATAAATCCTGGCTTTTTGTAATGAGGGCAAAAGCCTCCATATGATTTTAAAGGTTTTCAACAAGTCAGCTTTTTTTCTTTGGAAAGAATTAAGCCTGCGCACTAATGATCATTTCAAGAATGTTTAGAAGATGCATGAAGGGGATCGTAAAGATAAAAGATCACTTTTTTCACCTCTATGGGATCTTCCAAAAAGAAAGATGTTTTGAAGTCTGCTTTTACCATTTCACTGACCAAATCACCATTTTTTTTTTCTTTTTTCTGGCCTGACTGGTTTGAACTAGAAGCCGCCAGGTGGAGAAAAAAACGTTTCTTCCTGAACCATAAGTGGTTGTGAGGGAAAAGCGAATAGCCTAATATGAATTGTAAGGAATCAATTAGTCGCAGACGCCTCAATGCTAAGAGACACCTGCTATCCTGCTGCTGACTCTTTGAGGGAACAGCTGCACGTGGATTTAGGAACTTTGCAGCACTAAATAATACAACTTGTGGTCCCATCTGAAGCTTCTGTCCTGAAGTTTAGACCCTTTAAGCAGCTTTTTGTGCTTTGCACTACTGTACAAAATATAATTTTCATATTAACGAGTAATGTCTCATGTGCATTGAAGTACTGCATCTTTTATAGTTACAGATCTAAGACTAATTCATGACCGAGCAATTTGTATCGTTCTTTCAGACAATATGGCAAACCACATCCACCCATTAATTGGAGTTTTGCACAGAAACTGTGAGCCTCTACCAGAAGATACACCAGAGATCCGGGGCTACGACTTCAACCAGGGAGTGGACTACCGCGCCCTGCTCAAGTCCTTCCTCAACACGGGCTTCCAGGCCACCAACTTCGGCCTGGCGACGCAGGAGATCAACAACATGGTGAGGGGGGGGGGGGGCACTGACCAGGGAGACTTAAAATGAGGCCTGTTATAGCAGTCAGATAATTGTTAGGGATTTAAGCCAGAAGTGCACCCCTAGTCAGGAAATTATAGTATGTGTAATAATGTTTAGTGTTAGAATTATAGTTTGTGTGTTATTAGATATTAGTTATTACATTAACATATTAGATGAAGTGAATGCAATTTCAATCAAACACAATTCATAGTCATTTAAACACTGTACACATTAACATTCTGTCACAATGTGATGGTAAAACCTGGGGACGGATGCTAATTGCCGTCCTTTATGGATTTCTCCCAATTTTATCCCCAAAGAGGGGTTTTTTGGGAGTTTTTTCTCCTGTCAGGAAGTAAATTAACAACTTAATGAAAGGCAGCCGACAGGCAAATGTCTTGAGAAATACGTCTTATTTTTTCAAGCCTGACTTTGGCGGAGATCATCCCCAGAGACCAATGCAGTTTAGATTCTGCGCCTGTGTTAAAAGCACCAGATGGTCTGTTACCAGAACAAATCCAAAATAGTTCAACGTTCTCAGGAGTTAGATCAAGAGCATTCAGTGCTAATGCTCCTAAAAACATCAAACCGCCTGTCCGCTGATTTCAGTTTTGCATTCGAAACTGATAACTTTGAGCGAGCTGAACTTTCGCGTTCGCCTCCTCGTCCACAGATAAAGAGGCGTCAGCAACCGGTGCCGGCGTTAAATGGGGTCGTTGAAGATCCGTCCACCTGTCCCTGCCTCAGGAGCTGCACCATCTTCCTCAGCTGCACGTCCAATCTCATCAGCTGTGGAGTCCGGGAGAGCGTCCGCTACCTCGTGGAGCACCAAATGGTACGACCCGCTTCAGCAGCGCGCCAACCATTAGAAGTGCATGATTGAATGTTGTGATGAGACACCCGGCTCATCTCATTTGTTCCTCAATGCAATTTTTCTGTCATTTTTAAGGTGGACGTCCTCGTGACCACAGCCGGAGGTATAGAGGAGGATCTGATCAAGTGTTGGGGTCCAGTTTACGTCGGAGACTTTTCTCTGTCTGGCAAGGATCTGTACAACAAAGGCCTTAACAGGTCCGATACAATCCGAATATGATACCTTACAAATTTAACTAAATTTTCGCATTATTCTGACTAGAATTCACTTAATTTACGCGTCGCTCCGTGTCACTGCAGGATTGGGAATGCTCTGATGCCCGAAGACAACTATGAGAAATTTGACGAGAGGATGATGCCGATCTTGAAGCAGATGCTGGAGGAGCAAAACACCCAGGTCCGTTTTTCACGTTCAGCATTTTCCTAAAATATTCTACATTGAAGTGTTCATTCCAAAATGTTGAACAGTATTCATCAAATGATTCCTCCTTTTATATCTTAATATTTTCGTCATGCTATAAAAAACCTTTTTGAAATGCTCTTGCATTAGAAAAAGGCTTTAAATCAGCAGCTGTCCTGATCCGCTCTCGCTATACTTCTAATTTTTCTCTGTTCCTTATATTTCAGGGCGTTCGCTGGACTCCATCTAAGGTGATCCATCGGTTTGGTAAGGAGATCAACGACCCACGGTCTGTTCTCTACTGGGCCTACAAGGTGAGTCCTGACAGAAGCTGCAGATATCATCGAACCAGGTTCATTAGTATGTTGGGAGGGTAAATAGCGGGACCGGGCCTGAAGGACGACAGACTTTGTCTCGTAACATGATTAATATATGCTGGTGTGTGGTGACGGGGGGTTGGGGGGTTTAATAGGCGACAACGAGTGTCGACGCTGTCGCCGAGCACTGATCTGGTGTCTGTTTCAGAATAACATCCCGGTGTTCAGCCCGGCCCTGACAGACGGCGCTCTCGGAGACCTGTTGTTCATCTTCTCGCGAGAAAACCCCGGATTGATAATGGACATAGTTGAAGGTGAAACAGCCCCGCTCGGTGCGTACGTCATTAGTCTCTTTGGTGTACGTTGGTCTGACACAATGCATTTCATTCCAGATGTTTCAAAGTTGAACAACCTCGTGTTGGCCGCCAACAGCACCGGGATCATCACCCTCGGCGGAGGCCTGGCCAAACACCACACGTGCAACGCTAATTGCTGGGTGGGTCATTTTTCACTACGACCTGTTTTAAATGGATTTGCACACTCACCAAGGAGCGCACACCTTGTTTCTGACCCCTGCTTTGTGTCCCTGCAGAGGGACGGAGCTGACTATGCGGTGTACGTCAACACGGCTCAGGAGTTTGACGGCTGCGACTCGGGGGCCAGACCCGACGAGGCCGTGTCCTGGGGCAAGATCAGACCAGAGGCCACACCCGTGAAGGTGTTTGGAGATGCAACCATAATCTTCCCCTTGTTAGTGGCAGAAACCTTTGCAGTACACGCCAAGGCTGCAAATGGCGAAAAAAAAGAATGAAACAATGCATTTTCAAGAGAGTCTGCAATGATGTGTTCATTGGCTCCATAGTTTTTTAGATTTGGGGGTTTTAATGATTCTTTTTTGTGGGGCCATTTTGCTTTTATTAGAATCCGAGGATCTCTGAGGCACACGCTGCCTTACCTGTGCTAGCAAGAGGCTGCTTGTCTTAAATTGGTTCCTGTTTCTGATTGGTCACACCCTGCATGTTTTTTATAGTTAGCTCCTGATTGGTTAGAAGAAGTGGATGTGGATACTTCAACCTTTTCACTATTTGACATGTACTTGCCATCTAATAAAGGCTTACTTTGGCTTTCCCCGCCATCCTGATCCTGTTAATGCTACCACATGGAAACCAGGCATGCAGATGTAGATCTGACCAGAAGTCTCTGAAGAGGGAGTGGAATCTTCCTTTCATGTGCACTTTGTGTGTGATTTGAGTCTAGTCTCCTGTGAATATGTCAACTTGAGTGTTGTGGATCAGTTTTGATTTCATTATATTTGGTTGTGGTGGTTTATTTCATGATTTTCCCACAAATCTTGTGAGTTCCATTTATCAATGCTTAGGGCTGCGCAACTTTTACTCTATCAATCCTTTATTGTGGCCACTGTTAAGTACTTCTATTTGACTTTCCATGCTGCCACCTACTAGAATGGATTTAATGAATTGTTAATAAAATCTGTGCTTGGTATTGCAGTCTGTTTTAGTTACTACAGTTTATTCTGTATCTTGTGTCTTGTGCATTGAGCATCACCATTGCTAAAGACATAACAAAAGTCTTTTTTGACTCTGTTGTCCCAGCCAGAAATGTATTTTTCTTGTCCGGGCATATATTTTGTTTAAAGGATGTACCTTCATTCATATTCACAGTACATTCATATTATATTGTTTTTACTAATGTTCTGTGGTGGATAGAGACGGACAAGGCATGAAACATACTGGCAACCATCTAGACAAATTAGTTCTCATGCATCAACAATGCTTTTGGCTGTTCTGCACTGCAGATAATCACCTTTATTTATGCAGCTGAATCCATACTGTATGTCCCAGATAGCTGAGGGTTATGATGGTCTGTTATTGACACATCACCATCGCTGTAGGTTTGAACTAGATCTTACAAAGTTGAGTCTTTATTCAGCTGTATTCCACAGGGATGTAAGGAAATACGATTAAGAGTGAAATGCACTGTGGAAGGTATCTAGTACGCCTTCCACAGTGATGCCACATGGATGTGCAATAGTTATTTTGTAAAAGCAGTGGTATATTTATGCATTGTACTTGGGTAATAATACCAGAGCAGGTAAATAACCTCTGCAAGTAGACATCACGTTTTACAAACTAATATGAAATGTATGTTCTAATCCTTTTCGGATTTTTTTGAATAATCCCGTAGCCCAATAGATCCTTCATCAAAACGCAATAAGTTTTAATCATTCAGTTTAAATTATTCATTCATCGCACTGATGAAAAGTCTTCAAAAGCTTTTCTGGAAACAGCAATTAAAACAATTATTTTATGTTTTAATTTTTTTTTAGACATTTAACCCTAACACTGTTTTTTGTTTTTGTTTTTTCAGCAAAAAGGGAGTATATGCACCATAGTAAATTTAAACCACAATAACGGAAACATTTAACGACAAACGAACTGTTTATCATGTTCGACAACACCGGAACCGGAAGTGGTTTTGTATTGTTTTGGACTTCAACACCGTTAACCAGCCGCATCGCTCGTTAAAGTTGGTATTTTTCTCTCTTTGCAACGAGCGTTTCGTTATTACGTTTTGGTTTGCAGACGAACGCCTACAGGAGCGTTTGAAGCCGTAAACCGAAGAAGCGTGTTCCCGGGATCCCGTCAGCTAACGTTTAACGTCTCTTCGGGCATTGTTTTGTCTTTAGATTTCGACGCCATCAGGGCACGTCACGTCTGTTGACGCCGAGGACGCAACGTTAGCACCTCATCGCGACAACATTTCAGGTCGGATGTGTCAAATACATCCGACGATACGAAATCGAGGAATGTGCAAAGTAATGTCGGCTGCGAGTGTGTGATCGTCGCGTGCCGGGAGTGCGCGAGGTGACGATGTCTGAACCGGAAGTGGGGACGCACGGTGACCAGGGTGGACCATCTCCTGACCCCGTGAAATCTCCCAGTGTCGACGCTTCTGCGCCCGACCTGCTAGGGTGAGACTGTCTCACACTCAGCTGTCTGTTCATATCTCACGAGGACATAATATTAACGAGTCATTATCTTTGTATCGGATCCAGTCTTCCGTCTGCTGGTCTCCCATCATCTGCAGACATTAGCCCCTTCCCCTCTGCTGAGGCGAGTGGCTTGTTGTCGTTGCCGTGGGAGATGGTCACGCAAATTGCCTCACACCTTCCAGCTCAGTGTGTCATCACTGTGCTGCCAAAGGTCAGTGTCCTTCCTAGAATAAAGTAAGAACGTTTCTTTCAGCCATTTCTTTTTGCTATGATGGCTTAATGCATGTGCATTCCATAACAAACATTTCCCCTCTTCCTCCTCTGTTTAGGTCTGCCATGCACTGGGTAACGTGGGTAAGGACAACACTGCCTGGCAGCTTCGGGCACACAGACTGATCGGATCGAGACTCGGCTTCCCAGTTGGGCCCAAGGAGAACTTTGACTGGCCGTCTGCTTGCCTGGAGATGGAGCAGCTGATAACCTGCTGGACAGGCCAAGCGCAAGTTGGTGCCATACAGACCAAAGAGGACGAGGAGGCAAGGGAAAAAGTGAGACTGCAGGGAAGGGCAGGGCTTTATGAGGAGCCCCTGCCAGGAGGACAGGAGGATGGTGGGGACGGTGAGGCAGAAGAGGTGGGAGTGGTTGCGCAGGATGCTGCGTATGGCGCCGACGAAGGAATGGATATGGCAATGGAAGGTGAGGATGACGACATGCGGCCTGTTGTAGGTGGGGACCAACTGGCAAGGTTAAGAGAGGGGTTGGAAGGAAGAGTGAGCGATGATGCAGATGCCCTAATGGAAGAAGAAAGGGACCACATGATGGTATTTGGGGCTAACGAAGGGCAAGATGGCGCTGCACATCACCAAGCGAACCACAGGAATCTGGGAAATGGAAGACCATTAGAAACGGAGCAACGTCCGCCCCTCAGAAGCCCCAGCCCGACCCCAGCGCTGGAGTGCATCACCCTTCCTTCGGACCACATTGCCCCGGTCAACTCAGTCCTCCTCGTTGGGGGGGAGGGGGCAGTCTGTGCCACAGGCTCTCGAGACTGGAACGTCAAACTGTGGGATCTCCAGACGAGCGCTGGCGGCACACTGCTGCACACATTGGGCGGGCGGGGGGACTTCAGCACTCATCGGGGCTGGGTCTGGTGCCTGGCGTCTCAGGGCCCCCTGTTGGCTTCAGGGGGCTTCGACAGCACGGTGAGGCTGTGGGACCTTCAGGCTGGTGGGGCAGAGAGAGGCCTGATCAAGTCCGGGGCCGCTGTCCACTGCCTGTCCTTTCAGACCGACGTATTGCTGGCTGGAACATTTGACAGGAAGATCAGCATGTATGACACCAGAGGTGAGGGAGAATGTCATCTGCATCTCAGATCTTGCATGACCTGCAAACAAAGTGATTCATTAGTTTTACAGATTTGATAAATCCAATTTGTTTTTGACAGCAGTTTGCCAAATTTGGAAGACCAACCTGTTAGCTTCCAAATGTTTTTCATGACCTATCTTGTCTACAGCTGCTGAACCGCTGGTGAAAAGCCTCCGTGTCCACGGTAACGCCGTAATGTGCCTCGCTGCGGATGACAAGTACATCATCTCTGGGAGTAAAGACTGCACTGTGGTGGTCTACGACCGGAGGGCCGGCAAGGGCTTGAAGAAAATCCGGGTACCCGCAAGCACGCATCCCGTTTTGTGTTGTGCCCTAACGCAGCCGATACCAAGACTAACCCCACTGTACCCTTTCCTTTCTAGCTGAGCTCATATCTGCTGTCTATGAGCTACAGTGGCTGTGAGGTGTGGGGGGGAGACAACGGCGGCATGCTCCACTCCTTTTCCATGCAGGCGGGGACCTTGAAGCCTCTGTCCCAGTTTGATGTGGGGCACACAGCTCTGGTCACCGGCATCCACAGGTCCGCTGGAAGCCTCTACACCGGCTCGTCCGACCGCACTGTCAAGGTAGGACGAGGGTAGTCCTGTTTTTTAGTTCATTAGACTCACTGTGCTGCTGAAAAGTCTTGAGAGCTGTGATTTAATGTCTGTATTGCAGGTCCATATCCCTTGTGCTCCTCCGAGGACACTTTGCACGCTGCGTCACCTTGCCGGAGTTAATGGGGTTAGTGTTTTGTACCACCACGTTCATCTTTTTATTATAGCTGATATTGTAAATTAAATTATACCCAGATCCATTTTAATTTGACAGGGCATTTAACTTTTATGAGCAAATGAACAATATGATCTTTTTGGGGGATGGGGAACATAACTTGAGCTGAAGTACAAAGTCATTTTTAAAACCGTATCCGGTGTCTGTGTGTTTTTTCTAAGTTAACTAATTCAGGCTCACTCTCATTTCTGGAATGTATTTGCTCTGCCTGTGTCTCCACTCTGCTCCACCGGTCTGTCCTCATCTGTCAGCTGAGTGTGGAGGCCGGAGTCCTTGCTGTAGCCCCAGGGGACGTGAACGTGGACATCTGGCGGCCCAGAAAATGAAAGACCCAAGGCCTGAAGCATTTGGAAGTACACAAAATAAAGAATTTGCAGGGTGTCCGGCTACATACAGACGATGTTAGTGACAAAGAACAGAAGAGGGTGATGCTGGAAATGAGGACAGTTAAATCTTTTGTGTTACAACTGGCCAAACAAATGCTTTTATTTTCTGCACTAGCAAACCATTGCATTTGTAAATATCCTTTACCAGTTATTTTATTTAGGTTGTGATGTTGCAAAATTCCCGGTGAAGATTCAGGTCCTCTGTGATGGTTCAGCAAAAAGCCCTCAAGCCTTTGTTTTTGTTTTTTAATATTATGTTAGATTCTGTTGAGATATTCCTTACCAATAATTGAACACAGTAAATGTGTTTAATGGTAACGTTTGTCTCATGTTACGTACATCGGGTTTGAAAGCGCTTGTTCCTCCTCTTTTAATTGTTCGAACAGTGTGAAAAATAGTTTACAGCGATTACATGCTCACTGCCCCTGGCTACTGACATTGTACCTATAAAGCATTACTACATGCATGTAGTGGAATACTTGTATCTAAACCCTCTGTGGCACACCGAATGTAACTAAAGCTCTTTATTTGTGTGTGTGTGTGTGTGTGTGTGTGTGTGTGTGAGAGAGAGTTTGTGTTTGTTAAAAACCACTGACTATGTAATTGCTTGGATTCATTTAACTATGACACACCGTACCTGACAAATGCTTTTATTAAAACACGTTTTTCTTTGAAAACTGGAATAAATAGCGTCTGATTTCTCGGCTGCGTGGGTACTCTGTGACGCCTTGAAAGGTTGAAATCAAACCCCTCTCACAAAATTGATTTCGTCATGTGAAGAAGCAACATAAAAACAAAGCCTTTCAGTGTAAACAACAAAAAGGCAAACAATCATTAATTACTCCCTCGACTGTGTTTTTGAATAAAAGGCTTTAGGAAGGCAGAAGCACTATCTCAGTGGTAGGCAGAAGACAAATGGCCTCTCTAGGAGGTTTACTTTCTACACATTTGACCGGATCCGTGGTCGTGCGCCCACAGGAGCCGTCCCCGTGTCCTCGGCCCCCCTCGGGATCGTCACAGCAGCACGCAGCTCTTCTTGTCTTTGAAAGGATTGGACGAGGCTGCGATGCCGGCGAGCAGCGGGTCGTGGCGCCTTTGCTCCTGACAGTACCGCACCAAGTCCGCTGCAGTCAGCGAGATCTGCTGGCACAAAAGGTGGGGTGGGCGGCTTTGATGATATAATCCTGTAAATCACTATGTGGTATTTGGATGTTAATATCAAGTCACTGCACTACATTTTAGGATCTATGGACACTTTCAAACAATTGATGTAATGTCTTGCAGTTTTGTTATTTGAGGAAGCTGTAGCATGCATGCAGTCAACAGGTTGTTGAAATTCTCACATACCTTCATTCGCTCCATGTCCGCTTCCACCCGAAGTTGATCCACCAGCTTTTGCGCCTGAATAACACTGTTGCTGCTGCACGTCTTTCCTGACATTTCCTTCAGTATGAAGACTCAGCCAAGGGCGCGCCACGTTGACTCAATATCCATCCAAACCAAGAAGGAGCAGCAGTTATTTGGCCAAACCCAAACGAGTCAGAGAGGCACCTGCCTTTGCTTTCACCTCTGCACCCTGTTTTATCCGCTGGTGGGGGCAGTTCAAAGGCTCTGTGATATAAAAGGTCATACAGCTCAGTTTTGGAAATGTCACAAACATCACACACTACTTCACACAGCCACGGCTGATGAAAAGATGATTGGCCAAGGCTTTCTGCTTTCTGCCCTGAAGCCACACTGTGTGCCTGCTTACAAAAGGAGCCGCTGGCTTTGTAAATAAAAAGGTGTTTATGCAATAATAGAACGGTGGCCCTTCATCATTCCAAGTGCTGACTGTAAAAATGAATACATATTAAATTATTCGGACTATTGATTTATTTGATAAATGTGTTTGTGTCCTGCGTAGACACCAAATGAGCTTTATAAGCCCTGTTAAAGTTAAAACAGTTGTCTATATAGAGACCTGTGGACGTTAGACAGCCTTTGTCCAGCTCAATAAAGACATGCATGATCATGTACAGGTGTGACTAAAACTACACTTTGATAAGGTTTTATTGAAGTGAAAAGTACATTCAAAATGAAAAGTACAATCATACGTTCTTATTTCCAGGTTAAGAAATTAAAATATTAATAACTAACTTGAAACATAATTAACTAACGACTTATTTAAGTTAAGACAAACCGTTCGCGAGTATAATCAGAAACTGTAGTGTGTATTCAGTCTGGCCCTGTTTGTCCCTTCGCGCTTTCCGTAGCGAGAACGCGTTTCGCTGGTAGAGACGACCCATGCCGCGTTGTTGACAGTAATGCGAGCCTTCAGTTGGCGTGCTTATTGTACCCGGTGACAGCCGACTACTCCACAAGCATCACACACCAACAGACATCCTTTCAAGAGTAGGTATTTTTAGTTTCTTTAAATGTTTAACCGAAACTAAAGTCAGCCAAAAAAGACAGCTCACCGTTAGCTCGTCTGCTAGCTAGCACACATTGCCCGAATCGAGAGTGAAATGAGTATCTCATTCATACATTTGCAAAAAATGATCTGAAAAATGTTTCCACGTTGTCATTTTTTATTTTCTGTTAATAAAGACAATTAATTAAATTCAGCCTAAGAGCATTAAAAGTGAACACTTTCCTTTTTGCGCTATTGTATAACGTTCGTTAGCAGTTATTTTAGTGTTCTATTTTTTTCTGTATTTTTTTAAAACTCGTATAGCATTACTTGTAATACATAAATGCTCAGTCCGAGCAGACAGAGGTGAAACCTGGTAACTTGCTCTAGCATTCTCTAACGTATCGTCTGTCGCTGTTTGCGGTAAAGATGGCGGACCACGGGGTGTCCGTTGCCATGGAGGCGGTCCTCAAGGCCAGCGGCGACCTCCCGGAGGGCACGCCAAAGATCAGAGGCTACGACTTCAACCAGGGGGTGGATCTGCAGGCCCTGCTGGCGTCCTACATCACCACCGGCTTCCAGGCCAGCAGCTTGGGTTTGGCCATTCAGGAGATTAACCTCATGGTGAGAGGAGCTGCCAAAGGTGGCCTCACGAAAAAAGACACATTAACCGTGCAGTCAGTTGAGATGTTTGTGAGTGCGATTTTATTGCTCCCCCGTATGCTGTCCAGGGTAATCTTAAAAGAACGGCCTTGTTTCTCTGGAAAATGCTCTTCAAGACTCTACATGTAGCTGTGATCATTAAAAACATTTTTTTTAAATATTTACCCGTCTGTGCGTAGACAAGAAATGTGGCGACAGATATCTGTTGTACTTTGTTATTAATGTGGTGAGCATCTTTACCATTCAGCACACTGGGGCTGCAATATTTGAAACCTTTTTCTAATTTTTAGTACTAAGAGTATTAAAACTCTCACTACTTCTACTCTTACAGGGTCGAGGATTCTCTAAAAAGTGGGATTGTTTATTAATAGTAAAGAAATGTGTTAATGTTGTGAAGAAAACCAACAACAATTCCATCCATGTCTAATGTCTCCACACGTGCAGATAGAAAAGCGTCTTGAGCCCGTGGACGAGGGTGAGGATAAAGACTCTGATGACCACCGCAGCAAGTCGGGCTGCACCATCTTCTTGGGTTACACCTCAAACCTCATTAGCTCTGGAGTCCGAGAGAGCATCCGCTACCTGGTGGAGCACAAAATGGTACACGTTGATAACGTTTTTGTGAATGTAGTTACATCCCAGGTAAAATCTCAAACAATCACCAGGGACACTAGAGTTTCAGAACCTGTCGCGTCACGCTGTCTTAGGTGGACGTTATCGTGAGCACAGCTGGCGGCATAGAGGAGGATTTAATCAAGTGTCTGGCTCACACGTACTTGGGAGAATTCAGCCTCCCCGGCAAGGATCTCCGCCAGATGGGCATCAACAGGTCGGCATCTTCTGACACAATGGATCTCACAACTTCACATCCTCGAACTCAATGCTGTTAAGGGTGTAGTAGGAGCATGTGCACATTCAATGCAGACAGCGTGCAGCGGTAGATGCGAGTAAGGCAGCTACAGTCTGGACTTAAAGTAAAGAATAAGTAAGTGGTTTAGTCTTGACTCCTCAGGTCAAAATGAAGTCCTGTCACCAAGGAGTAACTTTGCATTATGCAGTTGTTAACACGGACACATGGACAGCTTATGTGTCAGAGTCTTTAAGTTGTTTATTTACTTTCGGTCCACCCGTCAATCCCCTTCGTCTCTCCCTCCTCCTCCTCTGTGCTGGATGTAGGATAGGGAATCTGTTGGTGCCCAATGACAACTACTGTAAGTTTGAAGACTGGCTGATGCCCATCCTCGACCAGCTGCTGCTGGAGCAGAACACGCAGGTCAGTCTGCGGTAGTAGTCGGGCGCTCCTCGACAAAAGAAATTCTCTGCTTTTAATTAATTTCTTCTATATCATATTCGACTTTTCTATTTTCAGGGCACCCGTTGGACTCCCTCCAAAATGATCCATCGGCTCGGCAAGGAGATCAATAATACCGAATCTGTCTGCTACTGGGCCTACAAGGTGAGTCCTGGTTTACATTGGAAATGTATTATATCTTAAGGGATCCAAAAGGTCGTCACTCAAAATGAAAATATTTGGAATTTGGCTTATGAATAGACCAGAAAACCAGAATGGAACTGTTGATATGACTTTTTACTCACTTCATCCATCTTCCAAGATTCTGTTTAGTTTGTACATACCGTTGTTTATTTTCAATGCGTCATTAAACACGCTGTATTACTTTCTGTTTTCAGAATAACATTCCAGTGTTCAGTCCCGCCCTGACGGACGGCTCTCTGGGTGACATGCTCTACTTCCACTCTTACAAGAGCCCCGGCCTGGTCGTGGACATAGTGGAAGGTAAAAGCAGCGGAGGCCGCTACGGAAAGGGACCACCACGCCCGTGCTGCATGTCATCAATGTGGACTTTCTTTCAGATATTCGCAGGATTAACAGCCAGGCAGTGTTTGCCAAAAGGACGGGAATGATCATCCTCGGAGGGGGGCTGATCAAACACCACATATGCAACGCTAATCTGATGGTAACTATGGGGTCTTTCTTTTATACTTTCTAGATCTCATCGTGACATCAGCTTTAAATAAAAAATGTCAGTGTTGGAAGGTACCTGCATTTACTCCCCCCCCCATCTCCTTTCAGAGGAATGGAGCGGACCACGCGGTTTTTGTGAACACCGGTCAGGAGTTTGATGGCTCTGACTCTGGAGCCAGACCCGACGAGGCCGTGTCCTGGGGCAAGATTAGAGCAGAAGCCAAACCTGTGAAGGTACCGATTTGATCAAGAAATGTTTGAAAAGTTGGCAGAGCATCTATGATAATAATAATAGTAATACTAGTTTATTATAGCGCTTTTCTTAGTACACAAAGACACTTTGCTTGATGAGCATTTACCTCCATTCATACAGTCGACATGTTTTCTATTTGAATACATTTTACGGGGGGGGAGGGGGGGGAATGGAAATTAGTTTGCTGAATCGACCTCGAGCGGCAGAAAAACAGATGTTTGTGACACGTTTGGCCTCAAGGTGGCAGTGTGCGCACACAGTTTGATCCGAGGGCTGGGAGCGGGCATCAATGCACCAAGAGGCGAATGTGAAAAGCAGGCGCAGCAGTTTATTGTAATAAGTGCTTAACGCATCACAAACACAACCGCTGCGTCCTTTGTCCCCAGGTGTACGCAGATGCCTCTTTAGTCTTCCCGCTGATTGTGGCGCAGACCTTCGCTCTCCACGCCGACAAGCTGACCGCGGGACGGAAAACGGATTAAATGTTTACCCCGTGGGATGCTCCACCGGAGACGACGGGCTTCGCTCCTCTCGCTCTTTCCCCTTTTGAACACATAGTAAAATATATAAGTTGATCTTTTAAAAATTTCTGGCGAAAATCCGTGATTAAGATTTGGCCAAGTTGTGGCGGAGGGGGGATTCCTGTCGTAATGCTTTCCATAACAATATTTATTTTTAGATAGTAGCATGCTGTTGCATGTGCCAAAGGGACTGTGTCAGGTTTAACTGAGTGTGTGTGTGTGTGTGTGTGAGTGTATGTAAAATAAAACATTCTAGCAGTTTTAGCCTTGATTTATTTCAGATGTGCAAACCAACACAGGATGGAAGAGGTCTGTGTGACTCCATCACATCATAACTTAATATTTTCTCCCATTTACAAACCGTCTTTGTGCAGGAGGTCTGTGTGACAGAGGCTCAAGGGGTCCACCATGTGACACTTAACCTCACATGACTGTGCTTGTGTGTTGTGTAAAAGGACATTGAAAGACTCATCACAGCACACACGTGATCATCGAATGACATACAATAGTTTGAGTATCGGATGAAGTTTGGAGTCGGTTGCATTTGGAAGATACAAATTGCAGAAATGTTGCTGGCGCCACTTTATTATATACACTTTCTCAATCAATTGCAGTTTAAAACAAACTGTTCTGCCATATTTTCTACCTGTCATAAAGAGTTCAGTATTTGGTTATCGGGGAAATGCGAGAATTTAACTACATTTTTATGAGCCCATTAGTGACATAAAAGACACCGAGTGCATTCGACGATTTTGTAATGCGTAAATGTTACAACCTGGCGCTCCCACCTCTTTCTGTACGCTCAGCTGCCGAGCCTTAGAAACACCGCCGTTTTTTAAACAAACAATGCACAGCACTCTGTTACCAGACTTTTCTACGCCTCTCATTCACGTGTACATGTGGGGGCAGAGTTGCTCGGCCCTAAATCCACAGAGGGCTTAAGCGCTGTCTGTCGAGACCTGGTGAGGCTTGTAAGAGCATCAGAAGTGCGGCGTGTGCGGTTAGTGATCGCTGGCTCGCTTGGTGGGACGTTCAGCTCCGTCCCCGTCTGCTTCCTTCAGCAGAATTCAGAATGCATAATGTAGCGCAGTGATGAAGCCGTTTCCCATCCAATACATCAGCCTGCTGTTGTGGGAGTAGATATTTCCTCTGGCTCATCACTGCTCCCACATCCTCTACACTCAGTCCCCGTCACTTTTTCAACCCTGTTAAATTTGCAGGATTTGCAATGGAAATGTGTCTGCGACGAAGCCGTTTAAAGTCTGCCTGTTTTTTTTAACCTTTTTTGGTGTTTTTTATTTTGGAAAAGGAAAATTGGAATTGGAACTGGGATAAGGTCAACTTTCCCAAAACCTCAACCCCATGTGTCACACACACACACACACACACACACACACACACACACACACACACACACACACACGCAGGCTCGCACGCACAATTTGGGCGTTCCTGTCTTGGTGCAAACTTTCCATTCAGCCCGCCTGTCATTTCCCGCTGGCGGGTGGCACTGTGTTGACCCAGGGCTCAACAGGTCTCTATAAAAAGGCAACGACGTATGGATCCTCAGCCCTATAGAAACGCATGTTTGCCCTGTGTTAAAGACGAAGATTAAAGAGATACTGAGAGAGGGCGGAGAGGAGGGACATTGTTTGCGGATGAGCTGTAGTCACGCTATGATAATGTTGTATGGCGTCTCCACAGAGCAGACCGTGTCCCCCCCACCACCCCCCTTTTCCTCCTCTGCAGAACAATCAGTACACTGTGTGATGTGCAGGGCCACAGCAGTTATAATGGCAATTATGTCTTCTACTCGCCAGATTGGCAGCTTGCTTTATGGACAGAGATAGGGAGGGAGGGTTTGAGTAAGAAGACAAAGAAGAAGACAGAGGGGGCGCTGACCTGCTGCACAGCTGCAGGGTGGAGAGGACGAGTGGAGGGACGAGAAAGGAAATACACAGTGGAAAGATTGTGTTCACATTTGCATGTCTATCCATTTAAGTGCGTGTTCCAAGGACTTCATTTCACTTGAGCACTTGCGGGGACTTGGCTCCCTCACTTTTCAAAATCCGGTCTTATTTCAGCTTGTGTTTATTGTTTCAGGATGTGTTTTTTTGAGGGGGGGCGTTTTTGTCACTGAAATCATGTCCAGTCACCATATTCCAGATTACAGAGGAGGAGACGGCCCTGATAAAAATAGTAGTTATCTGAGTCTTTTTCAGCTGTTCCTCTGCACCTCAATTTCTGTTCATAAGTGTCAGAAATTTGTGTGTGTAAATATCTGCATTATATGTCATGCCATCGAAGGACCAAAAAAAAAAAGAGTGTCCACGACATCGACTTTGTGCTGACAAGAAAATAACCCTTGTCGCTCTGCATAGCTCGGATAGATCCGTCATAATGAAAGTTGAATTAAACCATTGTGTGATTATAGCGAATGAGCAAACAAAAGGGGGATTTAAGACGCAGTCAGGTTTGCTGCGACTGTGTGCAGCCAATAAAAGAAAACATCCAGCTGAAGAAAGTAGTGCAAACGGCGTTTTTCTTTTAAAAACGAATGTCATTTCTGTGGTGAATATTCTCTTAAAAATACGGTACAATCCAACATTGGTCAACATTATACTTTTAGCAGGCATATCAGACTTTTCATATTTGAACCACTATTGACGTTTGAGTCTTTTTGACGTGGGAGTCTCGGCCAAGATGGCAGCACGAATAGTTTCTAATAAAACAGCAAACAACCGACCAAAGAAGCACAAGAGTTCAAATAAACAACTTATGAAATTCAACAATACAAACTTTTTACAGACCAAACATCAAAAAGGGACTGGGCTGCGCTGGGTAAGTGCACAACAATACAATCATCAATATAATATATTCAGCAATTTCCCAGAAATGACTGAATGCATTTAAACCTTTTTTTTTTTTTTTTTTTGTGCTCTATTGTGTCCTTTTACGTCAGAAACCAAAGCTACGAGCCGGTGCCGAAGTGACGTTTTAAGCTCCTCATCGCCGCCACTGTTTACCTGTTATGTTGCCATAGGAACTCCCGCCTCGGAAGCCCATTGGCTGAGACCCGCAGAGGCGAGCGGCAGGTGAGGGAGTCAACAGGCGCGACGAGAGAGGAAGAATAGAAGAGACATTTACAGGGCGAGGAGGCGCTCGACCGCGTCAGAAAGACAAACACTCAGACACACACACAATAGAGGAGTTTGATAAATGAAAGAGGGACGTGTGAGGCCGGTGATAGCGGAGGAAAGAGGGAGGGAGGAGGAGGAGGAGGGGGGGGGGGGACTTTTAACCCCACCTCGCGGTCGTTTCTCAGAAACAGGAAGTTGCCAGTTGAACCGCCGTCTCTCCTCTGACGCAGCTGCCTGTGGCCGATGACGGGCGCGTCACCGTCGCCGTGGCAACCGCCCGTCGGGGACAAACATCCGGTCGGCTGCTTACTCATCAAATCTGTTAGGCGGCCTAATTGTAGTTGATCCACGGCGCGTTGTCGCCGGTCACCACGGTGACCGGTAAACAGAAAGGATGTACGGTGACAAGGTTTGCCTTTTATCTGTGTGACTCAACGTGTTTGACTTTTATTAAATAAGACACAAAACCCAGCTGGGAAAAGTCCGTTCAAATATGGTCTTAATTGATGTGTATACGTATGTTTTACACAACATTTGTATGCACATGTTATGTTGCTGGCAGATTTCTGGTTTAAATGATTTAATATGCATTAAGTGGAGTGCATATAAGGGTAGTATGAGACTGAATAAATAGTTGCAATGTGTTATAGTACCGCTAAAAGATGAAGCTAAAATAAGAAGCAAACACATATTATACATTGTAGGTTATATTTGTAGTCAATCTTGTAATATAAGTACTAAAAAATGTATTTACTAAAATCAATGTGAAAGTTTTTAATCTATACAATTGGTAAAAGTCCTTTGCCTTGCAAAACGTTCAGTCAAAACGAGCATCCAGACGCCATGAGAGCATTTAGCCTTTAGTTCCAGCCTCAGACAAAAGTCAACGTATGAACACGAGCTGCGAGGAGGAACTATTTGTCAGGGAAGTTTATTGGTGTAGTTTTGGTCATGGATGAAAGCAGCATTTGAGGAAGCCACAGAGTACAAGTTATTGCTCTTTTTAGATTCATTCATGTTTGAAAATATACAAAACACAAAGAAGATACTTCTTTATCAAATCTGTTTAATTCGGAATCAAATTGAATGCACACCATATCAACCAGCCATCATATTTTGTTGTTTGTAAAGCAAAGACACATTTGAAGAAAGAGTCTTGTTCGTCTTGTATTTTTTTTTTTTTACAAATATGGTACCAATAACAAAATATTATTTAAGAAATGACAAATAATTACCGAATACATACAAAAACACAAACAACTGCTGAATCAGACCTCATCAATATGTACTTTATTACAAGCAAGATATCCATTTCAACATCACTTTCACATTGATTTTGATTGTAGTGGTTTGCATCAAAGGCCAGGCACAAATCCAAGTAAATATTACAGAATGGGAGTGTGTACATCTGTTTAGGAAAATGTGTTGCAACTGTAGGAATTCAGTGGGACAAACGACTGAAAGGGAGTTTCCTGATTGTCAGTCATTTCGAAATCCATTCATTTATCCAATCCATCAACATCCAATCCATCAACACATCCAGACTGTAAAGCAATATACACATTCAGCGTGTGTGTGTGTGTGTGTGTGTGCCTGCGTGCGTTTGTGTGGAAAGGGGACCGGTCCTCTGTTCCTGCTGAACTGAGCCAGCCAACGTCACACACTGATTATCAGCACAGCAGGCACAGGAGACTGACCCATGAGGGGGGGGGGGGGGGGTGCTCTATGCACACGCATGGACATAAACACACTGATGCTCATGCAGAAATCCACAGGTGGAGCATGAACTCAATATAAAGTCACACAACGCTACACACACACACACACACACACGGTACAAATCAGAACATGAGCTGGGACGTCGCTCTCCCGACAGCAACAGGAGAGGTCTTTGACGCTAATGAGACGGCTGACATTTAGCAGACACGGACAACACTGAAGCTGCACAACTTCAGTCCATGAAACAGATTAGCAGCTTTTTGTTTTTGGCTCATGGTCAGTGGTAACTGCTTCCGCACGGCCCCCTTGACCACAATGCGTCATTCTTACGCTTTCACGACTAAATCGCAACACACAACATTTTTACATGTGAGCTGGATTTGAGCTGCTCTATTCAGCCAAGTTTCTATCCAAATTCAGCCACTTAGTCTGCAAAAACAAAATGGGAATTCACATTGTTTTTTTTTTATCCACCACTTTATTTGAAAATCCACATCGAGATAAAAAGCTTGTTTGCAGCCATTAAACCGTTGTAGATTTAGAGTGTGCAGCGAGATGATGTCCTCGTAAAGTGCCTGAAACAATTAAATAAAACATTAAATAAATTGCGTTTGTTTTATCTACTGATTTCAGGACGATTGCAGTGTTTTCATTGACTCATGAAGACACGTAGGTGGATTTTTTTTTCTTTCTTTTAATCAAAGCGAGCCTCACATTTCATCTCGTCTGAAGCTCTGGCGTCGATGCAGCTTGATGCGGTCCGGCTCCTCCCTGACCTTTACCCCCCGCAGGCTGCAGCCTTGTGGCGGCAGAACTTAACCACTGTGAACATGGCAGACACTCACTGCTCACATGTGGGTTAAGTCCTGCTGCCGCACAGCCGGGCCATCCCAGCGTCTGTTCGTGACAGAGAGCTAAGCGGCTTTGTTTGCATATGCAAATGGAGGAAAAAACATGGCCGCGTCAGTTATCAAATTCGACTGTGTTTCCGAGAAAGAGGTTGCGTTCTTCATGTCAGCCATTGGAAATCCCTGGCAATGTGATTCAGTGCGGTAGTCTCAAAAATCACTCTGCCAGGAATTCCCCTGGCCATCAGAGACGACTATCAGTTTCAGGAGGACTTGTAAAAGATGCATTAAACAAATAACATAACCGGCCCCCCTCCGTCATTGTTACCTCTAAGTTTGAGGCCCTACCGCTCATCTAAAACCTTTGTGGGAAAGAGTGAATTATCACAGCGGTCCGATGTGCTCGCCACATGCATTCACAGGTCGGAGTCATTGCGCTCTCTCAGCACTGTGTGTGCTGCATGTGCGTTGGTCAACTCCCAGACTTCCCGTGGCCTCTTATGAAAATAGCTTTTCAATGACAGAATGGAGAATTAGGCTAGCAGGAAGTGGCCAGTGGAGTGGCGCTCCCTCCAAAGACGCTGGCGCCCGCTCCGTTCCACTTGCAGGCCCCTTTATCGGTGCCCCTTCTGTGGAGAGAAAGAAAAGGGACGGCGGCTGCTGAGCTACCGCTACCTCTCTTCAGAAATTGTCAGGGATTTTCATCCCGACGATTAAAGAACACTGCTGTGTTCATGTGCTACTTCAGACCGACCCTGCCGAATGATACCCGATATCAACAGGCACGCCAGACGCATCGCCCCTGGAGCGCCGCTTAATACTCTGGATTCCCTTTTGTTGAAATGTACCTGTCTGGACACGACGTATTGAGATCCCCAGTGGATTTTTCTTTTTCACGGCCTCTTCAAGTCTCTTTACTTTCAGCAGCATGAACAGTCGCCCGTGTGCAAAGTATGAGTCAGTGGGACACCTTTAGGAAACTACGGAGTCTAACTGAGGGAGAGAGGGGGGGAACTGAGGTGCTATCACTACAGTTTACAGGCATTTTGAGAGTCTCCCTAAACAGTACAAAAGTCTCTCCAAGAAAGTGGAGCATTTTCAATACCACTCAGCCAAAGCAAAGCGGTGTTCCAATCTTTAAGCTGCAAGCCTTTGACTCGGTGCTGAACCTCCGTTTAGAGGCGTTCTAGTCTCCTCCGGGCCAATGTTCCCTCGCCCCCAGACTATGTTCCAATCCACCAATAACTCCAAATTAGAACACACTGTGATTTTGTTGCTCCTGGGAAGAAATAAACAGTTTCTGCTCTCTTGTAGAATTTTGTAAACTCTTTACACTCAGATTACAGTAGAAGAAGCATTTTTATGGATTACTGCTAGATTAGCGTAACTTGACGGCCAGGTTATGAAAGGTATTGCATGTCGCTCCATCCACGGAAAACTAAAGAATCCTCTATGGACATTTTGTGTTCTCATTGTAATCTCCACATGTTTACGATTAAACGTGCCGTCTCGAAGGAGAAAGTCATTTGAGGTCCCGGGCGCCCATCAAAGACAGTCCGCTAACTCCTTTTTTAAACTCCTCTCCTCCATCAACATAAAACTCTCCATCCCGCCGTCCTTTCATCTGCCAGTGGCTCCTCTCGTGTGTTATTTTCGCTGCCTTTTCATCTTTTCCATCGGTTTCTCTCCCTCCCCACCACCCCCACCCTCCCCGTCCGAACCCGCAGCCGTTAATGTCCATGAGCTCATTCCTTCCCTCCCCCTGTAATGATGGCGCTCTGGTTGACGCACGCCGTCCAACACCTCACCTCAAAACG